CCGCAGTTCTGACTATAACTTTCGGAGAAGCTAAAGACTCCCTCCCTTCCCAGCCAACTTCGACTACTCAACGCACCTCGTCGATGAGCGATAGAGGAGCCAGACTGACAAGCCTCGTTGGCGCTCTGATGTAAAGCTGAATCCGAGTTAGTTCGCCTCCAAGTCTCCGGTAGTGGGGGCGAAAGATAGGGTACGCCACTGTAGGGTGATGTGTCGTGGCGCTTTTCGATGGGTCGGGAGCGCATCGGGCCCACACCCATGCTGCGGCTGCGTTCCTGGGGGATCCCGGAGTTGCCACCGGATCCCGGCCCAACCTGCTGATATGCACTTTGATTATGTTGCATCTCTTCTAAGGTGTTCAGGGCAGTCTGCAGACAAGTCAAAAGATTTGCTTTAGTGCCTTAGTTAGCTAATATATTCAATTAAATTTTATTATTACAGGACATTACATTGCAATATCAATTTCTGTGATATATATATTCAATGATACATTGACCAATTGTATTTTTTAAATTAAATAAATCATAATCACAGTTTAATATATTTTGTGCTTTAAAACAAATGAATTAGCGTTAATATAAATTAATTTTTCTTTCGAATTTTGTAATTTGATAAACTTCGAATTATTCGTTTATATGTTTTAAATTCTACATTTTCTATTAAATAATATAGCTTGTTCATTATTTTATCAGTTATTTATATTTTTATAACTTCATTTATAGTAATCAACTGCCGATAATTGCAATATTATTACGCTTTTATAGCAGAATAAAATATTTTTATATGTGATAACATCTATTTTTCTACCACAAATTTTTATATCTAATAATACTTTAGAATTGGATTCTTTAATATCATATTTTCATATTCAAGAAAAATCCAATAATAAAACTAATAATTTTTATAACATAATATATAAACAGAAATGGATTTGCCTATTTTTCTTATGCAATATTTGATTTGACAAAATTATGTCTTTCTTAGCTCTAAAGCATGTAATATAAATATTATTTTTTATTATTTTTTATAATTATTTGCTAGTCTGTTATATAACAATAAGGCATTATTAAGGAAAATTTATAGAACCTTAATTTTTAATTACTTGCAAAACATCTCAGACAAGAAAAATTTATATATCATGCATAAAATTATCTTCTCACTTACTTTTACTTACTTACTATGCTGTATTATTGTAGATCAAAGACAAATTTAATTATATATTAATTTCATAGGATATGTAATAAACATTAAATGCAATAAATTATAAAAGTAGACACATGTATCCATAGTAAATTTAAATAAATAAATAAATATATATATACTAAAATTTAAAAAAAAATAACATAAAAAGAAGACAAATCTTTAGATAATTCATTCTCTACTATTGAGAAATATAGTTTTAATAATTTTATGAAAATTTGTTACTAAAATCTCGAACTGAAAAAAGCTCTTGTAATATAATAATAGCACAACAATAAAGAAATATCCAAGGTGGACTTACAGTAATAGACATACATGTATAGACAAACATATTTCGTTAAAATTGTTGCATTTTAATTAAAGGGGTAATTGAGAGCCGTTGCTGCCCTAATCTTCTGCTTACTTTCCACGCACGCGTCATCATACAGATGCAGTTACATTCAAATACAATGCATCTGTTTGGTTCCCAATTGAAAAATCAGCAGCATTTAATTCTTTGTGATAATATACTGCTCGAAAATTTACTTAATATTAGGTAGGATAGATAAAATGTTATGATCATGGAAAGGCCCGAGCTAATACGGAATCAACTGCAAATTTTCTCTGTTCTATGTAAAATGAAATGTAACATAGCTGTTTTTAAGCTTAATAAAATTACTCAGATGTTAATTGTAAAATTTTTATTACTTATTTGTTTTTAACTCTTCTTCGTGTTACACATAGATTTAATTGTAAGTGTATTAAATATTTAAACAAAAATTTTCACTGAATAATTTTAAAACATTTATTATTTGAATTTAACGTATTAATTCAACAACAAAGTCACGCGGTCATACTTATGACATTTTTATATAATGATAGATTCAACGCAATTTTTGTCATCATAATCAAATCATCACATTCCCAAAAAAAAAAAATTTATTATTAAAATATTTCTTTAATTATATTTCTGTATTTAATTATATAATATTTGTTTAATTTCACGGTTAGACTATTGATTAAAATTACTCACTGAATTAGTTAAATAATTTTAATTATTTTTTCTTATTATGAAGATATAAATTTAGCCTCGAACAAATAGTAGAAAATGTGCGTTCTTTTAAAGTATTTTTCAATTGCTAATTTTTTTTTCAATTCGCAAAAGGGCAATCGTAAACCAGACTCAATAAGCTAAGTCTACGTGATAAAACTATAGTTATGAAAACATGTGTTTTAATTATTCGATCAAAAGAAACGATGATCAATGTTACTTTAACTAAAAGTGATTATTTGGCTGCGATGCATCAATAGGAAACAATACATGGAAAACGTGCCTCAAAAATGTAAACGTAAAATTATTATGTCCATTCTTCTTCTTTTTTTTAGATAGCATCAAGAAAGCTCTAAATTTGAACGAGTAGTTTATAATTTGTGTATAAAGGTATTTTTCATGGTGAAAAGATGTTTAGTCGTTAAAAAAAATAAGAGCATAATTTCAAACATGTTGTAAATGAATATATTGTACAACTTATACGAGTATTATTGAATATCAGAGTGAAAAGAACTGCTCTAAATACATTTACTTAAGAAATGGAAGAACAATAGTCTTAAAATAAGAGAAAGAGGGTAAGTTGTCAAGAATATCGGACAGAATTTTCTCGTTTATTACGGGAATATGTATATATTTTGTTTTTGTACAAGTGCGTTTATACAATACTAGATTAAAGAAGTGTTGATAACTTATAAATTTTTATGGAAATTGATGAAGATTTTGTTGAACTCGATTTGCCTTATTTCTTTTTCTTTTCAATGCTCATCATTTCTAAAATTGCTTATGGACATTTTTTTGTTATGGACATTTTTATAAATTACCTTGTTGCATTCATACAAATGTTTACAATGACAATTGCACATAATTAAAATGTTCAAATTAAATCTAGGAACATATGAATTAAGTTAAATTATACATTTTTAAAATAAAAAATTTAACATAAATTGATCTTGATAAAAATTTTATGCGAGAATTTTTTTTTTCTCTACTATTATACCTTCATCGAGTAAATCTGCCAAATTATTCATCGTTGTTCGACTTAAAATTATCAACACATAAATAAATGGCTTATAAATGTAGTATTTTCTCAATATTCAGATTTTCCAGTATATTTTGCATAATAATATATTAATATACTATCCGGACGTAACTTTTACAAATTGCCTTAGCATGCACTATTCGTATAAGAAGTACAAACATTCGTTTATTAATAAGAAAATTAATACATATTTTATTAAGGTACAGACTTTTTTTACTTATAATATCCACATTGCCAATATGACAAATGTCAATATTGTTAAAATCCAAAGTTTGTAGCAAATAGGGAAAAACTTGCACGAAATATATCACTGGAAACGAGAAGACAGAATGCTTGGAAAACATGGGAAAAGCAGGAAATTATAGTGCAAATTCAAGACGTAAGGCTATTAGCAATAGTGCGAGTAACGCAGAGTATGAAGTAACGTCGACGATTTTTGCACGACTGCCTCGATGAATCAAAAGCAATAAACAAGATTTGCAATGACTAGGAGGAAAATTGAATACGGAGTTTCTTCTAGATGCTTCGAATACCCATGTGTGCCGCACAGTATTTGAGATTTAGTACTCAACTTTCCTTGAAGTAGTTTTCAATACAATTGCTCTCGATTTACTAGGTAGCTTAGTGATCAATACTAATCTATATCTGCGTACACAGTGCAGAATTCTATATTTACTTTAAGATAAATTACATATTTGTGAAAATCATAAGTAAACATAGTGTAATATGTAATTGGAATAACTTCTGTAACAAATGTTTATAATAATTTATAAATGGTCGATAATAAACATTGAATAATGCCTATGTATTCAAAGACAGTACGTAATAGAAAATCTGACGATGTTACATGCTGATATATTATTTCGACATCGCATTAATCATAGACGAGGATGGTTAAGATTTTTCAAAAATGCGAGCATCGCGAAACGTAAATGCGCTCGATCGTCATGTAGTCAATTACGAAATCTTAAGTTGTGACGAATACGAAGAGTGATTCGATCAAATCTAAAAAAAAAAAAATAGAAAAAAAACGGTGGCCTAACTTTCTAGCTTATAAAAACATGTGTAATATAAAATCAAGTCGATATATCAGAAATCTCCAAATCCGTTAGCGAACGCACATTTCAATACACGCTTTATAATATTTTTGTGTTGCGTGCGATCGGTCACGAGAAAGACGAAATGAACTATAAGAGAAAGACAAAGCCAAGAGGAGCATACTCACGCACGAATGCACCCACGTGCACAAGGAAAAAAAAAAGAGAGAGAGAGAGAGAGAGAGAGAGAGATGTACACACGCGTATATAGTATTCTCTGCCCCTCTTGCTCAGCAACGCAAATGATCAATACTCCCGCGATTACACACTGATTGCTACCTATGTGCTTGCGCACCTTGTTGCTATTGTAAGACGCGATCGGCATTATTATTTTTCTCCACTGGAAACAGGGAGCTCTCAATCGATTGTTCCTTTTTTCCACTCGTAATTCGTTACTTTGCAGAAAATTCGATTTTAACCCAGTAAGGATGCCCTATTATATACAAAAAAGTTTTCGAAGAAAATGTTCTGGGCGTTTTTTACAAACACCTTGCTTATATCTAAATTTTCTTTTTTTTCTTTTATAAAATGAAGAGAAAACTCCACTGCCCGTTTATTGTTAAAGACTCGAGCTAATTTGCTTAATATTATTAATGATAATATTGTTAAATCTTTTTTCAATTCCCACTAATATAAAGGCAACATTTAAAACAAATTTATAGAATACTTGATCATTCATTATTATTCAATATGTTTTGAATACAAAATGGCGCTTATTTAATATAGTGATGATTTTGGAACGTAGGGCGAGCAAATGTACTTGGTATATTTTGGATAGATAGCTCGCTGAGAAGGATTGTCTATGTAAAGTAGTTTGTGCATTATTGATCGCATAAACAGCCAACTTTGTTCATCAATGTCTGAAATAATTAAGGTATCGAAAAGATATGGTGTCGAACAAGTAACTGTACATGAGCGAGAAATAATGTTGATCAATAAATCAACGACTAGAAGATAAAATGGAGGGTAAACAAAGAAAAAGCTTATACATCCTGAATGATCGATCCTATTAGGAATTCTTACAGTTCTTTCTAATACCGCACACTTTTCCCATTTCCCGCTCTAACTTTTATCGCACGATTTCGAAAAAATATGTGTCCGCGCATGCGTTCGCGTAAGATTCGATCTATACAATCGCCGAACAGCACTAATGCGACCTTGGCCTTTTCAAGTCACACAATTTATAAAGTGCTCGCTACTTTCATTATCATTGTTATGTGCATTTGAAATCAAATCGTAACCATGCATATATACACGAATCATATTTCGTGTGCATACCTTATCGAGACCTTACGTCGTTTTGAATTCTATATTCCTTGTTATTCTCATTGGCGGACTTAAACCTCTCAGATTCGGTCCTTATTCTTTGCCATTTTATTCTAATTCACGATTCCTTCGTTATAATTAATGTGGTAAGCCGTGCAATTCTAAATGTCGTAGTTGTAATTGTTGCTAAATTTGTCATTACATTATGACTGTACAAAATTTTATAGGTAACTTAGTCGCTTACAATAATTTTCTTCAGTGATTTTCGTAAATTGTGATTCATGCGTACTTATAAGCGAGAATGAAAAAAGTGATAAGTTGGATGTATTATTAAACAGTTATTAGTTTTTGTACTGTGACTTATGAAATAGTAAACGTACGTATATTATTGTGTTTATAACATAAGAATATAAGAAGCCATCAAATGGAATAACAAAATACAAAATAAATTTTTTTTCATTCGCATAAATAAGAATATATGGAAATTATTACTTTTTAAATTAAAAGCAATAGTTTAGTTAAGATAAATTAGCAAAAGAGTCGCGAGCTAGCATATATTAATATCTTTTCACCGCGACACGTTGGCCTGTAATATAGCAGAAAAAATACAAGGAAATATTATCAATATTCGTAAATTTCAGGAAAATTGAGCTTTTCATTCATATTCTCATGACCAGTATAATCAACAAGTTTCTGAACCTGCGAAGTAAAAGATACAAAAAGTCATACACAAACGTGTCAGTAATCACTTTCTCGAAGATCGAACGTATAGAAAAGCTCTATGTCGTTAAGTTCATTGTCTTATTAACAATGTAATTCGATATAATCGATAATAAAAGTCGGGCGAGTTAGTGGTATTTATGGGAGGGGGGATATCTACTTTATCCAATTGCAATTATTATGTATGTAAAGCATATAGACCCTACATAGCGTATAAAAGCTTCAATATAGGTCTTTTCCACGACTGAAAATAGTATCCTGACAGGTAAGTCCCGCGCTTTTCCGCGTTGCGCAACGCGGATGCGCGAGCCTAGTAATTTCGGCAGGCATCCGGCGATTACGGAGCATTCGATAATGCGACGCCCACATCATTTTTAACTACACGTATAAATGCTAGGCCGCAGCACTCAAACGACAGCCACAAGTTACAATCGCGACGTGAGTGAATATGATCAGCAGCTGCTGCGTACTTGTCTTCCTCAGCTGCTTTGTGCAGTTGTTATTACTACCTCATGCAGATGCTGCGGTGAGAGAACGAGACTTATGAGATGATAATAAAATGGTAATGGTCGACCTGTCCATCAATTTACACCCTTGTGTGTTTTTTGTCTGTTCACAGCCCGACTGGATCACCCCTGAAATGTTTGAGATGGTAAAAGCAGACAAAATGCGTTGTATGGCCGAGCACGGAACGACCGAAGGTAAGTAGTCTCGAGATTGGGTTGAAAGTTTCTCACTAAGATAATGGTCCTGAATTTACAGACATGATAGACGAGCTGAATTTAGGTAAGCTTAAAGACGACCGGGCCATTACCTGCTACGTGTTCTGCTTATTTGAATCTTTCGGTTTGGTGAGTAATCCAATAATACTGAGCCGCAATATAGGCAAATCCTTCAAGAGAACATTAAGTCTTACGTCCAACAGGTGGATGAGGATGCGAATTTAGAGATAGAAATGTTTATGGGATTTCTTCCGAAACATCTTCAATCCGCCATTCTTGAGGCGTTGACCGCTTGTGGAAATGAGCAGGGTAGCGACGTTTGCAACAGAATGTTCAATATGGGTAAATGCGTGTATAGTAAGCATCCCGAAGTGAGTATCCATTTTCTTTTAACGAATTTTTTTCCTACGAAAATTTCACCAATGTAACTCTCATTCATGCTCCATAGCTCTGGTTCGTATTGTAAAATACTGTAACGGTAGATCTAGAAGGATGGTACACGAGTAACACATGCTAGTAAGCATCGCTTTTGTGAGAATAAGAAATAAGAACGACGAGAACAGCAGCAACAGTAGCATCAACAACAACAACAACTACGACGACAATAGAATAGAACAATAGACAAATAATAGAAATAATAGCAATAATACGAAGACAACGTAGAAAAGTATGAAAATGATGAAAAACAATAAGATTAAGAATAATCATAATTATAATTATAATAATAACAATAACAAGTTAAAGTTATGTGTATTTCAAAAGCAATAAAATGGTTACGACAAACTTTTACATGGCCAGTAAAAAAAATTGAGACAAATTTCTTGTGTTATTGTTACATCACTTTAATAACGAATTTAGACGAGTGTGTTCTTAACGCAAAATAAGCCTGCTAAGCATTATCTACGTAATTAGGCAAATGCAAATTTAAGAAAGCGAAATGCCAATTTGACAAATAAAATAAAATAAAGCTGCAGTGACTGAGCTTATTTGAAGCCTCGTTGGGATCGAAGTAAAATTTTTTTACTCTAAATCGTGCTTTCCGTATGAATCACAGCAAAAAATCATAACAATAAAGGAATTTGTGAATAAATTAACTTCTTCTTAATAATACTTTAATCAGAATTTATTGGCTTGTATAATAATGTACCAATAACAAGAACTCAATAATGACATAATTCTTCGCTAAATTTTAATGAATTAAATAAGAGTAATAGAGATAATATTTTCCCATAACGATATGCTCATTTTGAATATAAATAAAATAAAAAACGATGCAATGACAAATACTTATGGAGTATGTATTAGATTAATATAAAAATAATATCTTTATATTAATGGTATAATAAATTTGATTTAAAAAAAAAAAAAAAAAAAAAAAAAAAAAATATTTAAATATTTGAAATTAATTGAAGATACGCATTTACTAATTTTAAAGAATATTAACAAAATTATATAATACGTTATCTCGTATTAATATTGGACCGAACGATTAGTTTCATATTAATTTTACAATTAAAGTGGTTTTATTTTAGAATTAAGTTAACTTCTTCAGATACATTGAAGAAATGTAAAGTGATTCTACCGATGCACGATTTAAAAAAGTTCAATTGATTTAAAGTGGAGTCGAATCCAAAGATAAATAACCTACGACAAATTCAATTTTCTTAATTTTTGTTTATTTTGCGTAAAAATTTTGTATTTACATTTATTCGTTTTACTACCAGTGCAAATAATTTTAATGCAAATTAAAACTATAATGACAACATTAAGAAAAATAAAAAAATTTAACGAATATTTTAACAGGATAATTGTTATAATATTTATAGCCTTGCTTATGAAGAAGAAAGTAACTATCTAAATACAACTATCAAGTTTTGTCCTTTCAATAAAAGACATAGACATTAATAAAGAAAAGAAAAAAAAACAAGGTAGTGAAAAAGGCATACACAGGAGTTTACTGTATCGTGCGATAGCACAATAAAGCAACGAACTGTTGAGAAGTTTGTAGCAACATCAAGACAAAATAAAATGAGCAAAAAAATAAATAAATAAATCAATCAAATACACTAGATGACAAGAATCAAATTTAAGAAACAAGAAAAAAAACAAAGGAGAGGGTTATGATCAGCGTCGATCCAGTACCTTGAAGTCGATCGAATGTATGGCGGCAATCTGGCCGACGACGACGGATTCCTCGCCACACTGAGAAGCCGCGTTCTTTTCGGCGTTGACGTTGGGCAGGGAGCCGCCGGCCTTGAACTGGTGGCTTAGGCTAATGTGCAGGTGCTTTCCGCTAGACTGAGGCGGACTCGCGCCTGCACTTTTCACGGTCAGAGGTCTGCCTGGGGCCTCGGGTCCACCACCTCCAACCCCCGTCGGGCTGGCACCCACAGAACTGCTCGCCGACGCCGCCTTTCAATCCCATTAAACTTATTGTCAAAGAAAACTCTCGCGTTCCTATCGATAATGCGAGAACTCGCGAGCCAATCAGGCAGCGGATCTCGCAAAATTCAGCCGCTATACTTTTCAAAGCTCACCTATATTTCAAGGCGTTACGTCGAGGCTGCAACCCTCGTGATCTGTAACCCTTTTTTTCCTTCAAAAGCAATCGTCTTTTACCCTTCCTCTTTTCCCGCGCTCCATCAAGTGTGTTTCGTTTAGGATAATGTTTTGATACTCAGCCTTTACGTAAATTCGATCGAGTAAATTTTCAAAATTGGGAGGTAAGCAATAAAATATAAAACTTTTTTTCTCTAAAAGCCGTTATAGCTACTAGTCATATAACTGTACAATATTTACATTACGCAATTAAGTTTCATTTACAAGCACATTTAATTTCGACCTCAAATATATATATATATGCAGAACATTTACATTACACTTAAATTTCAATGTGAATTTTTCTCATAACAATCACTAGTTACTGCTCTTATCGGAAATATTTGAATTTTATTCTATTTAGTTTTATACAATTTTATATTTACTGTTACGATTAAATATAATCATGTTTTGACACTCAGCGAACAAAAATTAACAATAAATATCAACTTTCAGCTTTATTACTTTTACTAAAATCTATAAAAATATATTTTAAAATTTTTTGTCGGCGTTTAAATGTATTCGTGTGTTATTAAATTAATATTAATGAAAGCTTTTAAATGAAATTTTCTTACTCGGCATTATCGATGTACTTTAATTTTTCTAAGTCTTTTTTACTAACAGTTCCTCACAATCTATGTTATAATATATTCCCTACTTAATTTATGTAACATTAAACTGATATGGTTGCGTGCTTATTTGTTTAGTTGTATTTTGTACATAAATGTGTATATTTTATATAGCCCGACGACACAAAAATCAATAGTTATTTCGTATGTCAATAAAGTATGAATAATATAATCGTGTTAGAAAATCGCATAGTCGGCATGATATTTTGTCAAATTGATTAAATTCAATGAAAATTCAATAATAGCGCTATTTGACATTTGCTTTTTTATAAAAATGTTCTTTCAATGACGAGTGAAAATTTATACATCCAATATGAGAAAAAAACTTATTTTGGTCTCTTCGACCTATGTAAACCATTCTTCAATAACATGGTAATTTTGGACCAGTGTGAATAATCAAAGCAGTGTAGATGTGTAAACAGTGAAGTGGATATCAAGATCAAATATGATTATGGTGTATCAGAAAAATACATGTAAAGTGGAGAAATAATCGTAATGTTATATCGGTGTGCACGATTGGATACCTAAAGTGAAAATTGTTGGATTATATATGGGATGATGAGAAAGTTACGGATGGGGGATGTGAGGTGCACACGGTAGAGGGTCAATCGTACATCCAATGTGGAGATAGAAATGGAAATAGAAATGAAAATGGAGATAGAGACAGAGATAGGGCTAGAGATAGGTCTCAAAATAGGGCTAGATTTAGGGTTAGAGATAGGGCTAGAGATGGATAGAATTTGAGGCAGAAAGTGAGGATGGACGAAGAGAGCGTGGGAAGGGACGGGGGAGTGACTGAGTGAAAGAGAGGTGGAAATATGCAGAAATAGGAAAAACTAGCACTTGACTTTTCGTTGCATACAATTTGTTTTCCGATTTAGCGGCTCATAGTTCTAATAATGACAGAAAAACGTGCGGATGGCAAGAACTAATCATCTCGGAGGGTTTTGTTTATGTTTTGTAATGAGAAAGCATTACGTTACTTTTGGCGTCTGCAGGTAAAAGTATGAGATATATAGATAGATAGTCAGATAGATAAAGATACTAGGAGCGGTAAGCGGAAGAGGAAAAATGAGGAGAAGAGTAGTGGAGTCGAAAGAGACACTTGAGTAGACGGAAGCTCAGTCCGACTGTAAATAAATATGAGCGCTGACGGAAACGACCTGCACATACGTATACGCGTGCACATATGCGTGCAATATAAAATAGTAATACACAAGAAGAAAATCGGAGCGCATGGGAATCTTGACGGAGAACACGCAATTACGTGTACTTCGAGATAGTGTATGCGAAACAGATAGAGATAGATAAATAGATACATAAATAAAGAGGGCTGAGGAGAAGGGGGGACGGAGTGAGAAATAGCAACTGGGGAAGAAATACAGAACCTACACTAATGCAGAGGTGACGATAAGGCAAGTAAGAGTTGAAGGGGGCGGTAGAAGGTGGGATGTAAGGGCGATGGGAGTGGGAAGGGAAGTCTAAGGCGAACAGAATTAAGGAATGAAGTCCGCATACGGGAAAATATACACAGAGCGAAAAAAGAGAGAGAGGGAGAGCGAGTGAGTGAGTGACTGAGCGAGCGAGCGAGCGAGCGAGCGAGAGAGAGAGAGAGAGAGAGAGAGATAGCGTGCGCGTGTGTCTGTGTCAGTAGATCAGGGATGGGGGGATAGATTAAAAAAACTCACCCTGCTAGTGACATCGGAAACTTCCTTCATAATCTGCTCGAACCTCGCCGTTTCTTCGGCTTGCTTCTGATTTAGTAAAGCGATCTTCTCACTGAATTTCCGGGGATTCGCCATGATGATGGCTGTTGCTGCAGCTGCTGCTGCTGCTGCTGCTGCTTCTGGTGCTCGATCGCGTGCGCCGCCGCGAAGGCGCGCCAATAGGCCCCGGCGGTGCGCGGGCAAGTCCCGGCCGCCGCCGCCGCCGCCACTGCTGCACCAGCACCAGCACCACTGCCCCCGTAAACCGAGGACGGGCAGCAGGTACAGCGGTGGCAATCTTTCTCGTCTTCGTAGCTCGCCCTTGGTACTACTGCTCCTACGCCTCGGTTCGTGGTCGCACGTCGCACTACGACCTCGCACTCACGCCGTTGCCCCGTTGACGCTACTTCCTCGCTGCTCGCGATCGTGGGCCACAGCTCGCGGCACTCGATTTTTCTCCGCATCAGCGCACGTTCGCTCACTTCCCTACGGTTCTATCTATCCACGGCGCGCTCCCTCCCGCTCAGTCGCCAGCAGCGCCCTCTAAAGGACGAGCAATGTAGGTCCCCACCGACGGCGGTCGCGCACCTATGCGAGTCCGCGCGTACGACTCAACGATAACAGTGGAGGAGGATCGAGGATCAGCGATGCCGATGGATAAGTGTGTTTTCGAGGCGCGGCGCGTCGCTCCGAACCTATGTTTTTCAGCCGTCGACGGTGGTAACTATTGCTACTGCTATTTTGCTGCTCGGCCACTGGCTTACGACACCTCGTCGTCGTCGTCGTCGTTGTCGACTTAGAATCGCGCGCGACCGCAAATACAAACACATGCTAAGAGCGCCTGCAGCGAGCAGCTTACTACTGGGACATACATCATAACAACAAAATACTCGACCCTCGAGTTTCCTCTCGTGCGCGCGCACTGCCCCTGCATTCCTCCGTCGACTTGTGTATCCAACTCGTTTGCATCGTATAGCCCACGAACTCTGCTGCATAGAAGGGAAATTGATCGCGTAATGAACGTTTTTTGGTAACTTTTAAGCTAGAAATGAAAGCCGGGGGTCGTAGGTAGATTTGGTACAATGTTTTCTGCAGTTATAAGTGTGTACAACTAAAGGTCCTGCCTCTCGATTTTCGATATTTCTGGCCTTATTTATATCTTTAATATCTAAATATTTGCCGATGAGCCTTAGATATTACGTTTTAATTAATTTATTTACTTTTTTTTTTTAATCTGCATTGCCTTACCATTAATCCATTGAATCGTAGTCCTGAAACTTTAATTTATTTCCTTCCACTTCTGCCCCCTTGATTTTCAGATTTAAATTTAAAAAAATCTATCTCTCAGTCCTTTACGCATAAAATCATTCGATATTCATGATAAAAAGATTCAATTTTGAATACTATGCGGGTACAATGACAGTGCGAAAACGTATTTTTCCATAATAATTACCTTAAACATTAAAACATGAGATTCGAATATAAAGTAGCGGTCCTATAAATCTTTTGGTTTAAAGCTCATTTTCTGTATAAAGGTTTGCTCATAAATATGGCAAACGTATAGTAGAGTAAAAAAAATTTTCTGATTACGTGAGAATGCGACTTGACCGATCGAGTTTCAAAAACTTCTTTCCCTTAGCGTCACATTCTGCAACTCTACCTACCTGCATCTTCGTCCTACCATTCATTACTAATTTTTAATTGTGATGCGCACAATATACACGCATGCGCTCCACATACACGCACACATGTACGCGCTCGCACTCGCATACATAAATGACTTGCTTCATATGCATTTTTGGTTATCTACTCTGTACTTCGTTCTTGTTTTTTGCATTATCAAGTCATTATTTTGACGTTTAACAACTAACTTCTTAAACGAATTATACTATTCTTTTTTAAATTGGCCTTTATGTAACGTATATTATTATTAAATATTTTTATCCTTTATGTGTTTTAAAATTCGTGTTTTGATTACCGATATTCTCATCGAGTTGGGCGCTGGAATGCTAGGTTAGAATGATTAAGCATATCAACAATAGGTGTTATTTTTATGAAGACGTGCATATAAAGTGTAAAATATTCATTTTGCCTAAAGATAAAAAATTCGGGTTTATAAAATATAATGAATGATTGCTTACACTAGCTTGTGTATTGATAGACTAATGGGTAACGATCGTATAGGCAATCGTGGTATCGACACTTTCTCCATGAAAGAAGTAATTCCCACTATACGCGAGCATCCTCAATACTTACTCGATAAAGATCAATAATATCGAAATGAAGAAACTCAATGAGAAATTCAAGGGCGTTCTCACGCCAGTACCGTACGTATCCTCCTGCTCCCACCAGATTCAAGATGTAGTAGAGGCCATGTCCTCTACAAGATTCAATCAGGACTGCGAGGATGCAAATTCAGACGAACCAAACATTCAACCTGTACAAATCTATGGAACGAATCTTACAGATGACAGACCCACTCGATTGCATCAAAATGATCCAGCTGTTGTGGCAGCAGCCGCAGCAGCTGCTGCTGTCAAGTTTCGATCAAACTATTTACCACCCATTGGAGTATTTTGGGACATTGAAAACTGTCAGGTAGAACAATTTTTATAGAAGTTTTCTTTCACAGTTTGCTTCTTCATTATTTTAATGGCTTATATTATTAGGTTCCAAAAGGTCGCTCTGCAATAGCTGTAACCAGAGTTATTAGAGATACATTTTTCAATGGATATAAAGAAGCAGAATTCATGGTTGTCTGTGATATACAAAAAGAAAATAAACAAATAATACAAGAATTAAATGACGCGCAAGTAGATTTGATACATGTATCAGCCACTTGTAAGAATGCTGCGGATGAAAAACTTAAACAATCCATTAGGCGTTTTGTTGACATACATGGCAGCTCAGCTGCAATTATATTAATATCAGGAGACATCAATTTTGCTGCTGATTTGAGTGATTTACGACATCGTAAGAAGATTCATATAATTTTATTGCACAACAAACGTACTTCTGATGCGTTAATACTGTGTGCAGATGAGCACTATGACTTTATGCAACTTTTACAAAGTTTACCATCCAGAATACCATCGAAAGTCAGTGTTATCTAGTGAAATTATGTATACAATAAGAAAAAGGTAAACAGGTATAATGTTTAAAAAATCTTTTAGGTTGTAGAATCCTATGATCTTCTTGTCCGTAATCTTCCTAATAATAAGGAATTGTGCGATATCAAACGACGACTGCACCTACTATCAAACAATTGTGGTGGCCGAGTGGTGCACATTCGGCCTAATGTTGCAATTATGAGATTTAGTTCAAAAGAATCAGTCCACAGGTAAACGAAAGATATGCTTATATACGAGAAAGAGGGCGCAAATCGTGAAATTTCCCGCGAAATTGTGAAACAATGCGGAAACGGCAACAGTGTACTTTCGGCTTCTACGAATTGGCAAATCAAATCTTTAGTAAGGATCTTGAAGGCAAGAATATCGACATAAATACAAAGCGGCTGTAATTTCAAGGACAAACAGCGATGTAACGGGCAACGAAACGTACAAATAAAAACGGGATAGTTACGTGGTAAAGTCGGTTTTTGTGTCTATTCAGTGCCTTATACATTAAATTTTTGTTTTCGGAGACACGTCGTTAAATTTTTAAAATTATCCGAGTCTTAAGAAATTATAAGCCGTTCGAATAATCGGATTATTAACCGTCATACCCGTAATTTAAATAAATCTATTTTAAGCTAAACAAATTTTAATTTCAAGATCATTTTTAACGATTTGATTTCTCCATTTTGCCTTTTCTTAACTTCCTGAACAGGGCAGAGAAGCGTATGCAAGGGGAACTTGTCTTTGGTTCAAAAATTATTGTGAAATATCCAAAGGAAAAAGATATAAATAGTATCTCTATAAATAAAGGTAAATGGAGAATTATAATCCCTCAAAATAATATACGTTAAATCCACCTATTGTTGACCTTGAATTGTTTGTATTTCCTTTCTTATTTTTATTTTTTATACACATTCTTAAATTCATGTATTGTCAAGTTCATATAATATAATCACGTATATTATATAAACATGTACTGTAGCATTACTTTATCAATATTAATAATATTTTATGTTTATAGGAAGTAACTGTAATTCTGAAAATAAAGCAAACGAATCTGAAACTGTAAACGAAATAACGAATGAAATGTATGGGGTAGCAAGTTCAATAGCAGGTGTTAGAAACCTGCCAGGAACTCCTCATTATCCAACAACTTCACCAGTCATGGGGAGTTATTCTAGCTGGAATGGAATGCATTGTGTTCCCCAAGGGTAATTTTTCATTATATAATTTTTACCTATATTAATATAAATTAAATTCTATTGATTATAAAATGATGATATACCGAGATTGAGTTTTTGAGTCACAAGTATATCCTTTGATATCTGTGTTGACTTGAACTATGATTAATAGAAGCTTTGATCTTATCTGAATATTTCTGTAATTTATCATAACTAAATAATAATTTACTTTCTAAAATTATCTAAATTAATTATTTTGTTTACAGAGTTTATCTTTCATCTCCAACATTCTCTAGGCCCTATCTTCCTAGTGAAAGCAGTAGATCTTACACAGAACATATTAGAAGTCAATCACCTCAAATTTGGCAAATGACAAGTGCACAACAGCAAGTACATCGATACTGGGATGATCGATGTAAGGTATGATAATAATGTTTATGGAAAAAGAGTATTTCTTTAAAAAAATTAATTAGAAGATAAAAATAAAGGTCAAGTTAGACTTATGACTATATTATAGGTTCGAGATTATGCTGCTTCTGAAACATCCACTTTTCGATCAGTAAAAGGCCCTCCAATCCATATTAGAGGTGCACCGTTTCCTCAACCAGAATGGAGTACACCTAGACCATTGTGGCCAGCAACAAATCACAATAGCTCTAATCTGAAAGGTTTACAAATAAATATTTTATATATAATTGCAGTCATTATTGAAATTATAAATATATTAATGTTTTTAATTTAATAATTTAGTATTTAATCAACATAAACGACGGAGTCCATCTCCAATGTATGCATCTCAAAATCAGGATATTAATCATTGGAATGGTCAGGTATGAATCGATGACACGTTTTATTATTTTAATTCTGTAGATATTTGTACAATATTATTTTTCATATTTGTTTTGTAGGGGCACAATGTAAATACCCGACGAAGTGACCGAACTCCGTCACCATATGATTTACCTAGTTTACCTAGCAACATACAACGAACAGATCGTATATCTCCATACAGGCAAAGTGATGCAGAAAATGAAGAAGTTGAAGTAAATATGAATATAAGTATATTAGAAATAAAATTAATGCATATTAAAATTACATTTCAATATTATTTCTTAGAATTTCTTCAATCCAATTAACAATAGAAGTAGCAATGGTATTTCCAATGGAACATGTATACCCATTGAACTTCAAGTTACAAATTTGGACCAAAATATTGATCCAAAAGATATGAAGCGAATTCTTTCTTCTGTATTTATGGAACATGTTATGGTATGATATGAATGTATAAAAGTATTAATGTTATACAAAAACTGCAATATTGATAAATAAAAGTGTAAAATTATCATAGGTATTGCAAGTATCAATTTTCATTCAATCGGACGGAAATTTTGCCGCTACCATAAAAGTTCCTTCATTAGCAGAAGCGCAATATGCAATATCTCAATTACATCGTCGTAAAGTTGGTTATAAGCGTATTGTAATTTCGTATGTTCATACCAGTGGACCAAATCCGCAAATAGTTCGATCTCAAATCGTCATGTTGCTTCAAGAAGTTCCAGGACACAAACTGCCTCTTTTTAAATTTCGTGAGATGTATGATAGCCGCTTTATGATATCAGTGAGTATTTCTGAACTGTATAAAATGAAGGATGTATGCATTATTACCGATGATTCAAATGGAAGAATGGTATCACTTAATCCTCATCATCGTAATACTCCATCACCATGTTTAAATACTACTTTGGTGAGTCATAATATATTTTATAGAAAATTTTATTTTTTGTACATTAAACGATTGAATAATTTCTTAGTATTTTTATTTAATTTTATTCATTAAAAATAAAAGCAAAAAAAATTTCATAAAAATATTGAAAATTATATTTGTTTCAAACATTTTATCCATGTTTAGGCCTTAATGATTCATTAATATGGGAGATTTTAATTCACTGAAATCACTCCATATTATATATTTATTTTTCGTAATGCAAGAACATCAATAAAATACTATTTAATAAGATTTTTTTTTATAAATTGAATTAAGTCTATAATAATCTAAGAAGTAATCAACCAATTTATAGTGAATATAATTTTTATTTTAAGTTGATATTTAAAATTTGTTATAATCATATGCTTATAACAAATAAAAGAATAAGATAATTCAATTAAAATCATTTTGTTTTTAATAATATGTTACATATATATATATATATATATATATCACTGCAATATATATATATATTTTTATATTATTATTTGTGTAATATTTAAAATTTATTGTAATTCAGTCTTATTCTATTTTATTAATCACTAAAAATTGGTCAAAATGAAAAAGTTATAATTCTTTTAGGAAATATAAATTATTAATATAAATATAAATGTTTAAGAAATTTTGATATTCTTTACTATAAATAAAAAAGACTTTTTTATAACTATTATAAACGAAGATGGCATCCAAAAAAAGTCTTAAATTTCTTTAATTGTTTAGAATAATTATTCTATAATGTATATTGTGACTACATAATTGTTAATAAATAATGCAAAATAGAAATAAAAAAATATTAATATTTCATTTCAATTAGCTGACATGAAAAATAAAAGAAGTCGAAAATTTGTAAAATACAACAAAAAATTTATATTGAATCAAAATAATAATAAAAAAGATATATGAATTTTATTTATTTGTATTATTATTTATAATATTATTTGTATAAAACATTAATCATAAAATGAAAATAATACATTATTTTCGCGTATTAATAATAATATATATATAACTACATTTGAGGAATTATAAACATCGCTGAACATTAATAAATAATTGTACAAATATATCATTTAATTTTTCTAAATAAATATTGATACAACCTAAAGTAATTTTGAACACTTATGTTGTAATTTATAGATTATTAACAAAAATTTAAGAAAATATTTTAAATATTTTAAATTTTAATTCTCTTTAAAAGTAGATTTAATGTGATGTTTAATACATCCAATATTTATAACGAAAATTTGTACATAAAATACTACCATCAATACTTTTCGTTATAATTATTAAAATTTAATTTAATCTAAATATATTTCTTGTATTTTAAATATCATGAATTAATCCACGGGTAAAAGTGATAGTAGTTACCGGCCTACCAATCAATATAGTCAACGAATATAGACGTAAGACCATATTTTCATTTATAAAACCTTCTACAGTCAATGCCATTATATTATCTTTTCTGTTTAATAATATAAATTAAACAGTACATAGTCTAAAATAACGGTCTATAATTCATCTTTAATGTATGTACTACCTGAAAAAAATAGTAAATTTGTGTATTAGAAGATATGGTTCTATAAAATAATTGGGTTGTACGTGATAACAAATTGATATTGCGGTCACACAATGATCGCACGTGTCAATGTACGTAAAAATATGTGGATATCACAATATTATACAATGTATATCCAAATAATAACAGAGTATGGAAAACATTAAGTAACACAATTTTATCGGTATTGTGTAAATAAGAAAGGTCTCTAAAAAAAAGAGACGTCTATTACTGTATTAATGTAGAATATTTAATTAATTTATATTAATTTAAATATTTCAAATAGTAATAAATATTATATTATTGAATTCATATTCTATTAATAAAATTATTCTTTTATAAGCAGATTTATTTAAATCTATAGCATAAAAATATTATTTTCAAGATACCTTATTATTCCAAAATATCTTGAGTTAATTTTATTGTTTGACAGTTTCAAAATTAAAATTATAATAACACTTCAATTATAATACACCAAATCTATTCCATTTGATTAAATAATAAAAGCATTTACTATGTGGAAACTTTAAAGTATAAAAAGAAGATTATGCATAAATATATCGTTCATATTATTTATTTTTATTTTACGCAATCTACCTTATAGCTTTAGCATAAAATATACACCACAAAATGTATTATATTACAATATTTATCATTTTAAATCCTATTTTTGAAACAACTTATTAAATAAAAAAAAAAATTTATAAAAACTTATTCAGCATAAATGCGGTTGCCTTGTTTGAATCATATTTTCAATATTTCGATATCGTAATATTTCAATAACGTAAACTAGCTTATTAATATTTCGAAAGCTATTTTTATTATATTTATAATATATACAATCTGCTATAAATTGTAATTTATTGTATGACTAAAAACTTCAATAGTCTAACATATTACAAACTAATAAATGTTTGTTTTATAGTTAACAAATATTCGAAGTAAAAAATATTTTTTAATACAAAAAATCATTTAAGAATTGATAATGAAAATTAATAGGAATGTATTGAATTACGAAAGGAAAATATAATTATTTTTAAAAATTGATTTTCTAAATTTTTTATTCATAAACATTATACTTTTAAATTGGGATAATAAGAATATTCATATTTTCAAATATTTATAAACTTTGATTAAAGTAGGACTTAATTTTATCTATAATCAATCACTTTCAAACTTGTCATGCATAACTGCTATTTAGAATATATTCGTATGTTATTAGACTTTTAGTGTGAGACTTTAAGTTTTAGTGTGTCGTCCATGATACTCATTCAATATCCAAGATAATAATTTTGGAAGAAAAACGTTGAATAAGGGTAATAAAAGTCATAGACGGAATGATAATTTTTATTAATAAATTTTAATCGTTGATATTGCTTTTAATTTAATAGGAAATAATTCGAAAACAAATTAGAACATTAAATCTATAACTAACTTCACGCATATTTAAGTCAACCATTAATTTAATCTTAGTAAGAAAGTTAATTAGAACATGTCTGTAATTGCTAATTAAGGAGTAATTTCAAAGAAAATTATTTATGGAATTGTTTGGCCATAATTATTTGTAAGAGAACAATAAAGGACCGTAATATCGTGAAATCATAATTATATTAACAAACACTATATTTGCGTTACGCGAAAAAATTAAATATTTTAATTTTAATTTTTTTTACTTTGAAGTTCAGTGAGTAAAATTAAAAAAGTATTTATTTGAATTAAACATTAATGTTCTAATATCATTCATATTTCTAATATTATTATTTCATATTTAATAATTGACATTATTCTAATAAGATTTTTAAGAATGTATGTACAATAACTTTGATATTTCAATAGTCAATATGATGAAAAATGGCCGAGTTTGAGTTGTCATTATCAGTAGGTTGAGCTATTTGTTCCCTACTGTTTTGAGTAAACATTGATTAGAATATCTTTAAGCGAGTAACACTGATTTTAGTACATTTTTCACAAATAATTAGTTATGAATTTGGTTGAGATGCAATAGAATTCTACTTTTTCTAGGATGGCCAATCCTTAGAGTTGCCCTACTGTACAATTCATGCTCAGAAACCATGGACTGATAAAGGTTGGGCAGAACAGGAAATGGCATCATTACCTGATATTAAAATATCACTGAAGGTACTTACTGAAAGAGTTCATAAACTTTTATCTACACATTCTGGTAGCTTGCCTTTACCTAGGTAAAAGGTTCATTAATTATTTAAATATCAAAATATGTATTTATTGTTTACTAATTTTTGTTACTTGATTAATTATTAGTTTTCCAAGTTGTTATGAAGCTGAATTTAATAAGCCACTGCAAGCAGATAAAAATGGGGTACCTTTGGAACATTTATTGTCCTGTTTAGCGACTGTAGAGTTAAAGCAAGGTATTAGTAGTATAAAGCACATAGTTTGGTCTGTAAATAAAAGTCATGATGAAAGTCACGAAGGTAATTTTTATATATTTAATTTTCTAGTATAGATTCCTAAATGAAAATATTATGACAAATTTCTAATCTATCTTTTGTATATTTTAGAAAATACATGTGTTAGCCCTCCATTAGCAAATCAACTAGCACTTTTTAGTCGTGAACTGGTGGATTTATTAAAAACTGCACCACATTGTCAACTGTCCTTCAATAGATTCATTCCGGCTTATCATCATCACTTTGGAAGACAGTGCAGAGTGGCAGATTATGGATTTACAAAGCTGATTGATTTGTTTGAAGTTTTAACACACACCGTACAAGTTAGTTATTACAATAGAAAAACATTTTGAAATCTCAACAAATATAATATTTTAATGTAAAATATTTAGGTAATGGGTGAGGGTAATAAAAGAGTGGTAACATTATCTCATCGTGCCCAAGTTCGTCGATTTACTTCCGACTTAATTCGGCTTTTGAAAGCACAAGCCAGTAAACAAGTAACACTTTCAGAATTTGCCAGTGTATATGCTCGAGTAATAGGTAATAATACTTTATAACAAATTACTATTATTATTGTTCCTTTATTCACATTGTATTATTATTTTGTAATAAGGTAAACCATGGAATGTTACAAATTATGGAGTATGTGAGCTCGATGACATTCTCAGTGAGGTTTCAGAGAATACTGTAGTAGTAACCAGTTGCAATAATGGTGAAGATAGAATGATTGCAATTCCTAAACGAGAACAAACTGCTGAAGAAATTAAAAGAACCAGACATTTTGCTACAGAAGTATTTGCTATTTGGAAAATATAATTAAACAAGATATTTTATTTTATTTTATTTTACAGGTTATCGAATTATTAAAACACGTACCAAACCAGAGAATGTTATTTAATAAATTTGTACCTTCGTATCATCATCATTTTGGACATCAATGTCGTGTTGCAGATTACGGCTTTACAAAACTTATTGAGTTATTTGAAGCTATACCAGATATTGTAAAAATGGAAGAGGATAATGGTGGAGAGAGAAGAATTTCCTTAACGGAAAAAGAAGGATTACGAGTTCTGAGTGAACAAATTTCTAAACTAATATTTCGTTTCGGGAACTCTACAAATGGCCAACTGAATGTTTCAAATGTAGCTCAGACTTTTCTTCAAGAATTCGGATATGCATTACGTCCAGAACTATTTGGTTGCAGTTCAATGTTGCAACTCATGGAAAAACTAGAAGGCACAATAAAAGTAACATTAAAATTATTTACATTTTTATATAAATTAAAATTTAGTTATATTGAAAATACTTAATCATCATTATACAGATTGTAAATACAAGAAATGGTGTGGCCATTGTATCAGTAGATGAAAATCAGGTTCAGTATTTAGGATTGGAATGTCGAAAGATATTAATGAATGCTCCTAACATGTGTTTGTCTTTGAATAAATTTGAAAAATATTATGAGAAATTTTATGATAAAAAGTGTAATATTGAAAAACATTTACATAGCCTAGAATCTTTTGTTCGGGTAAATATTCATACTTTAAATTTATTATAATATTTATATTTTTCTTTAATTATCTCCCATGAATCTGATAGGTTTTTTCTATGAATAAAAAGCATTTCTTGGAACTCACTGCATTACAACGTTTTGCTTGTAATGTTCAGTTTATATTGATGCATTATAATGGAAAAATGAACATGTCACTGTTTGAAGGAGCATATTTAAAGATGACTGGCTATGCTTGCGTACCTAGTGAATATGGTTATTCAACGCTTTATGCTATGCTTCGTGCTATACCATGCACAGTTACCATTAAAGATGTACGATACAAAGGAAAAGTGATTCAGTTAAATGAAAAACTTACATGTAAATATTAAAAATCTTTAATTAAATTCAATTATATATTTTTTCTATATAATATTGAAACATGTATTAATATTGTAAATTCTGTTTAAATAACTAGTAATTTTTATTTTTTATTTGCAGCTGTTGGTTTATTACCATCAACCTACTTTTCTTCAATGTCGTCTCATCATGATTCAGATTCGAGTAACGATTCCATTGAAAATTATTTTTCTAATCGAATGAAATGGGATAATAATTCTCGACAATTTTCTTGGAATGAAGACCCAAATAAATGGGAGCAAAAATCAAGCCATTGGGCCATTTCAGGGACTGATGATCCTCAGAAATGGTCTGCTTTAGAGAATAGAAGTAATAATTTATATGAAATTATTGATAAATCTGCCACAAATTTTCCATCATCTGCAAAACCAGGTTCACCAGAAGTAAGCAAATTATTTGATATTTTAGTAAAGATAGAAATAAAATTTTTAATACAACTACAAAGTATTAATTTATTACGAACAAATGTATTTTGATTATTTAGAATTCTCAGAATAAAGAAAATCACTGGCAGTCTTCTATTTGGTCAACTCCTCCTAAATTTAAGTTTAACCAAAATATGGATTCTCCAACTGTCGAGGTAAAAATTGTGTATTTAATTTAATGTACCTTATAAACAAGTTATTTAACAGAAGTACAAATTATTTAATAATATGTAGGTACCACCACTGACATTATCACCATTGAAGAAAATTACCAATACCGAAGCTTCCAATTTGATTTCACCAACTAAAAGTCTTTTGTCAGCCACTGCAAATCCTTTAAATCCTCGTATGTCACCGTTTTTCAACAATAAATATAATTCAGTAGTTGCTCCTCATCCATCCGAATTACCACTACCATCTTTACCATTTACTCCAAATAAAAATATTAATATCACACAAAGCGAAGGCAATCAGATTTCTTCAATAAATAATACAGACCTCTCAGTTTCACCTATCACATCGCAAAGTGATATAAAATCGGAATGTTATAATTCTAATAAAATTAGTAATACTACACCTAGTAAGCGCTGTGAGTATAATTCAATATTTCTTTTGCTATTTAACCTGAGAAATTAAAGTTTTATTTTTAATTTAAATAATTAAATTTATTATTTTAGCATTTTTTGGAAAGTGTCGTTTAGCAGCTCAATTCAACCAACCACCTTTAGATTCATAATATATATAGAGTTTAGAAAACATACGTAAACAGTATACTTTTTAAAATACCAGTGATAATAGTAAAATAATTGATATGCTTTTGTGGAAATACGTATATCTATTTAGTAAGTTTCTTTTATTGGTTAAAGTATCTACAGAGTAAATGAACATAATCATGATCCGAGTAGGTACTTATTTAAATTTTATGTCAAAAGTATTTATCAATGAAGTATAATATCGCAAGTTTAATCCACTATTGCAATCATTGTGTACATTATTACAAGTTCTTTTAAAAGTTCGTTTGAAACGATCTTTTCGTATATAATTTATTCAAGATCCTATATCTGGATCAGTGCAGCCTTTCCCCGTCTGTGATAAATATTTTGTACAAATGGATCATGAATTTAAATAAGCTGTTTAAATCAAGTACATCTTTTTGAATCAATTTTAGTTGTCGATTGATTTTTCTAATCATCTTTTATTAATTAAATACGAAAAAAATGCAATTTTTACGTGATTGTATTACTACTATTTTTAATATATATTTTTACGATGGTTTAGAATTGTATTAATCAAAAAAAATTATGCTACAATTGTCAGATATTTTAGTTTGTCATAGATAATTGGAAATTAAGATATAATTACGATACATTCTCCAGTATATTACAAAGAATTATTGTTAAATAACTGCGAATAAGTAAATTATTATATAATTGTTATTAAAAATAATTACCATTCTCTAGAATAAATATTTTTATTCTTGAGTAGATTAAAGAACGAATATATTATAATAAACATAATAGTGAGTTTTTAAAATTGCATAATCGTGTAGTAAAATTGATGTGTAGCATTTTATTGAAAAAGAAAGAAAGTAGTGATGACTATTGACAAGAAAAAAAGTAAAAAAGTAAATCGTATATCGTAATGTGTATTTGTGTATATACGTTAGACGAGTAGAGTCCTTGTAGTTGTCCATTATTTTTTTAAGATACAAACGTAATACTTCTTAAATAATTTAGAAAGGTCGATACAATGCCACACAGGGTTGGTTTAAATGCTTTTTAAGTATTAGTATTTTGATACTCAATTAAACTTTTTAAGATTTGAACTTTATTTAATTTTGTAATAAAAACTTATGGTTCCTTCAGTGTTTACTATAAGTGTTTTTCAAGTAGTTTTTTTTAAAGATCAAATAAAAAAACAATAGTACTTGTGTGATAATATATTTTTTCAGCCTAAATTATAGCCACAAAATCAGTAAACGAGATAATTGAGAGATTATATATCTATATATAGTAAATGAGGAAATTTTGCTCGTAAATTATTGTGTAAAGACTTTGACAAGACATCAAAATAATTAGAAAATCTCTGAAATACATTAAATTTACTACGTTGCATTATTACTAAGAAAGGAATGTAAAGGTTTTGAAAATCGAAATTAACTAATTACAAGATATTTTATACAAATTTTAAAATAACATTTTATTAAGTTTTTTAATTTATTAAAATTATAAATTACGGAATATCTCTGAATAATTCCATGAATTTCAATGTTAAGTCTTTATTAAATAATGAAAGTCGTACAAAATTTATTTTAATTTGATTTATTTCGTTTACTAAGTGTAGACTTTACTAAGCTTTAGACAAATCTTAAAAATAACATATATTCTAATAGGAAAATTCTTATCGCTACAATCACGTTTATTTATTTATTACCATATGATTTGTTGAATGTTTCGTATTTGTTAAGTATTTTAATCTTAATAAGTCTATAAACGATTTAACTAATTTGTAAGCTGCGATTTTACCGAATCTTTTATAAAATTCGTAATTATATTGCCGCTAAGGAGTCTCTAATTTTATTGATAAATAAATATTCTTTTAAATTAAGACTAATGTAATTCAGAAATGGCAACATACATACGAATTTTATTAAAATACATTTTATTTTTCGATAATCGTAGCAATGAACATATTGTGAAATATTTAGTATAAATTGAAATACATCAGAAAATACGTATCAATAATAGTCCAAGCTGAACGCGATAGTTTAGATATTTTTATATGTATACATTGTATCTTATAATAGAAAGAATAAAATAAAAATTTTTGTTCCAAAGAGTTTGTTCTTTTATTATTAATTGTTTATATAACTAATTTATTTGAAGGAAAAAATATACAATAATGTGTTTAATAATACAATTATTCTACACAACTATTTTATTTATCTAATAAACTTAATAATTATTAATTTTTATTAATAAATATTAATGAAAATTAACTAATCATCGGGTTTAATCTTATATTCTGGTTTGTATCCTGAACCAACTGGCCCATGTCTACGTTCCCACACCATCCGGTGTTTCTGTTTCATAAAAGCATGCACAACATGAGGTTTTGGACCAAGATCACCATCTTTAGTATAAGAATGCATTTTTTTTAAATGAATGGAAAATTAAAAATAATATTTACAATTTAATAAGAAAGAAATATGTTGATTTACATTTTGCAAACCATGCAGCGGCAGCATCTTTATAATATTCGTACATACTTTCACACTTTTCTTCTCCTCTTTGATTTGGATCTTCGTTATTACAATGCTCATAGCGTTGTCTTAAAATAGATAAAATCTCATTTTCAACGTCCCTAAAAACATGAAAATAATAAATACGTTACAATTTTAATTACATGTATGTAATAAGGGTTCATTTATTTAAAAATGTACTTGTCTCGAAGAAATTGCTGATTTGCCTCGTATCTACAAACATAATCATCAGTATAGCATTCGTCAATGGTTGGCACTCGTCTAAATTTTTGGTGATAGTATGGATATTTCTTCTGATTAGGCTCAATAATTTTTTCTAAAGGTAAATTTTTAAATTTTCAGAAATTTATGCAACAAATATAGATATTAGTACTTAATATCATAAGCAAAATAAAATTTTTATTAGATAATACATAATAATTTACGTTACCTCTGAAAAAGGTTACAGGCGCATCAAGCACATAATACAAAGAATTCATAAAGCGTAAAAAAGGATTTCGGGAATTTTCCATGACTTCAACACAAGCCGTTCTATGATTAAATATTGTAACTATTGAATTTTAATTGAACAATATTTTGAATTCTCCTACCTCGAGCAATCCTGCTTTTTGGTGTATTTTATACGTCTTATTCCATAATGTACGACTCAAATAAGAAGCAGCAGACCAAATTCAACTCGGCTAAGGAAAGTGCCTAATGTATCAAAATAATTTTATAATTTATTTTTACCTAACTTAGATACCTTTTTGTATAACTGTTCTTTCAAACCATATTGTTCCGAAAACGTACAGCTTGCAAAAAATAAATAAAATATGTATATGTATAAATAATTAAAAAGCTTTGTAAATTCTTTCAAATTTTAGATTTTTAATATTGAGCGCCCTCTTTACAGTAATACCAGTGTCTTTCATTAAACTTCAACAATGGGATTACCAAGGCTGGTTAACATATTTTGTGTATCAGAACCATTACAATAAATGAAATATTTTTATCTAATTTATTACAATTTTCTAAATACGACATTCAAATTATATTCAGTAGAATTTATGAAATTATAAAATTGTTTCCTTTTACTTTTTTATGAGTTACAAATTTTTAAATAAAATCATTAAACAAATAAGTTTATACTATGAAATTTTATAAAAACTTTAAATGCTTAATAATTTATATATTAACATTTATCTTTAAAAATGATACTTTTCATAATAGAAATTCTAATGTAAATAAATAATTTATATTGTCTAAAACTCATTAGCAAATTACTTCAACTAGAATTGAAATTGTTATAAGTATAAAATCAATAAAACATTTTATTATTGTTTTATTTAGTTAATAAAAGCATGTATTTCTGTGTGTTAATTTTAGTTTTAAAACTAATTTTTAAATATACTTATAAATTATTTTTATTTAAAAGTTTAAAATTTAACTTAGAACAAAAATTGTTTACCTACGTGCAAGGAAATTTAATTATTCAAGCAGTATTCAATTTTTACATTCTTATTCCCATAAACCAGATTTAGATACAAAATTATTTTTTCTATATTTTTATATGAGCATTGCTAGTTTATCGTCAGTTAAGTATTGTAATGTATACAAGATACTTTTAATATAACATATTATGCAATTTGTAGTTTTATAATTTTATTTTTAATTACACATTTGGTCTTTGTACATTTAAATAACTTACAAAAAATAACTAATTCATATATCTAATTATATGTCAATAATTTTTTTAACATTATAAATACAAATTTATTTTCTTGTATATACAGTATCATTTTCATTCATTTATCTTAAATATTATATTCTTTTAATTAATATTACCTTTAATTAACGCTTATTTGGGATTTCTTAATTTTCAATTAATTTTCATTTGCTGAAACAAAAATAATGATGTATCCAATATATTTTTTAATAATTGGAACATCGAATAATAAAATACAATACTAATTTTATTAGTAATACAAAATCTATGTATATTGATCTCCTCTATTTAAAAGATGACTATTTGAATATATACATTTTTAAACTAAAATATACATATATTATTATTGAATAATATCTACAACGTAATTGTCCATATATGATTCTCGATGTTTTTATATTGATATTTGATTTAATAAAAATCCTTACATAATAAATCTATTTTAAATAATTTATCTTAATCTGATTGATCGCTATTTATCCTTTTATAAAGTTTATTAGAATTATAATCTATAATGTATTTCATAAATTTTATGTTCAATACAAAAATATGTAAATATTGTAAATATTACTTTTATTGTACAACTTCAATAAGCAAGAATATTTTATAAAAAAATTATTTATTATTTTTTTCGAAAATCATAAATATTTTTATTTTATTCAATAAATTTAATCTTTATCTTAATTTTCTATTTATATATATATATCAAAATGAAATATAAATTAAATGAAATTCAGTATTATGTATTACTTCCACTAGGATTAGACTTATTTTCTTCTTTATTTTCCAATATCTTATTAACAGCAGCCATATCTAAAGCTTGATTTTTTTCAGCTCGTTTGGATTTGAATGTTCTAGGAAATTCTGTCATGCGTGGTCGACCCAATTTTTTTAATTGTTCTTTAATGGATGGTACAATTCGTATCTAGAATATATGAAAAATCAATTATTGAGAACATATCGTATTTATAGTTCATTTTTCTATTTTATATACATATTTATTTAATAATAATTTTTTATACTTGATTTTTTATTTTTAATATATTATATGGTAAAGACAAAACAAAAATAAAAAATAAATAAAATTCAAACTAATCAAAAGATTTTAACTTTAATCTATTAAATTATAATATTTTTATCATTATTTATATTAAAGAATAAACATTAATCAATGCTTTATAATTCTGTCTTCCAATAATCTTTAATAATACTCATTTATTATATTTGATAAAATATTTGTATTATGCACCTTAGAAAACTATTCTAATAAAAATAATATATATAATGAAATAAAATAATGTAGGATTAATTAATATTCTAATTCTTAATTATTAATTTTTCTTTCATAACAATATATAAATTATGTTTTAATTTAGTTTACAAGAAATTATAAAATGGATATAATAATGATTTTAATAATCTTTTAAAATTCATTTCCTTAATACGATTTTATATTTTATAAGTTTTTTTTAATGGAATGTATTTCTATAAGAATAAATCTATAAATCCTCATTTATTCTTTAAGAGACTCAGAATATAAGTTTTTCCAAAAAATTATATTCTTAACATTAAATATAAAGAATATACTTTTTACGATATATATTCTATATGAAAAAATTGACTTGAATTATAATAAATCATGTATTTAATATTTATATTACAACATTTCATAAAATTACTTTTTGTAACCTACGTTTAATACTCTTAAAGTATAGCAATTACTGTATGAATAATATCTGATGTTTAATTTTCTTAGGTATATAATATATTTGACATAGAGTTTGATTAAAAATACTCACATGTGTGGGAATATGTACATAACGGATATTTCGTGCATGAATAAAAAAAATTTCATACGAGAATTTATCACCTCTCGGATCAATAAATATACTATCCTTCATAATAATATTCATAAATCTGAAATTATATTTACATTAATTTATAAAAATAATAAATTAAATGATGTCATAAAATAATTATTTAGAATGGAATTCTGAGTTGGTATAATCAAATATATGTTAATAAGTTTGTATAATAATTTCTATTTATTTATTTATGCCCGGTTTCTTTATTGTAATTGTTATAATTAAATCTCACCCGTCGGCTTGTTCTATGATACCATAAATCGATGCTTCATTACGTAAATCAACAATTGTACGTTCGCCCTCGACAGCTTTTAACAGAATTGCTAGACTATTGTAAAAAAAATAACGCTCTTGTTTATCCGTGGCGTAGTTAGTCATAATAATATTTACAACTAATATAATATAAATTCATTAATACCGAAAAATAGTAAATTTAATAATTATCAAAATATACAATGTTAAAGGTTATAAAAGAATAAGAAAGACGTTATCACGTTTGTTACCGTTGTGCTATACGAAATTTGAATTGTAGTTTACATATACATATTATCTACACATGCCAGACTAACAAAATGAAAATGGAAATACTTTGTTTATATTGTTTATAATAATTTGAAAAAGGTTACGTTGGGCAAAACAAGAAATTGCATCATTACAGGAAAAGTGATTCAGTTAAATGAAAAACTTGCATTTCAATATTAAAAATCTTTAATTTAATACAATTAGATATGTTTTTATATAATATTTAGACATAGATTAATATTGTAAATTCCGTTTAAATAATTAGTAAGTTTAATTTTTTATTTGCAGCTATTGGTTTATTACCATCTATGTATTTTGCTTCAATGTGTCTTATCATGATTCAAATTCGAGTGTGAATGAAATGGGATAATATTTCTTGACAATTTTGTTAGAATGAAGACTCGTTTAAATGGGACCAAAAATTGAGTCTTTGGAACCATTTAGTGAATGATGTTCGTCAGAAATAGTCCACTATAGATAACTATATAAGATGTGAAAACAAAGATAGAATATGAATCAGTGAGATCAGAATATTAAATTAATTACATGAAACAATATAACATGTAAAAGTAAAAATAGAAAACTAATTTTCTTGTTTTAGGAAAACTTCAAAGTAAATGTGCGGCATTATATGAAATTATATGAAATATGTAATTTTTATTTAACAAAAAATTCAATTTTATTTATATTTACTATATTATTAACTATAAATCCTAATTAATCATTGTATTAAAAATTTTAATTATTATTAAATCATAAAATCATTATTTATATGTCACAAACATCACATTTATTTCCTTTAATTTTATTATAGTTTACATTCGTATATTTTGATAATCTTTCTGTTATTTATCTGCATATACAAATAAATAATTATTACAAGTTTTATATTATAGTGTGTAAAACTAATTGATGAAATTAATATATAAGACATTTGTTCTCGATCTAAATATTTTCAAGATATGGCATCTATATAAAACGATTTTTATAAGTGTATGAAGCATTGAAATATTAGTTTTTAAGTGCAATATAGCCACTGTTATGGGAGCTTTTATTTAATCAATCTACTTTTATTTGTACAATCTAGCTGATTTTAATTTTTCATCGGTTTTTTTATCTTATTTTTTTATTTTCATTTTATTTTGCTATAATAAATCTAATTTTAGAAAGCGTATATAATGAACAGATCATGAACAGATGAGAAATACAGATTCTTTAGATGTTTTTTTTTATGTAGATTCGTTCATAACCTATTCAAATCGTACTATTTGTAGATTTAACTGATATATTTAATGTTCCATTACGAGTGACATATTCATAAATATTATATTCAATTTATTAAAATTAATTATATTAGCCTAGCCGTGTAACCACAAAAAATATTTTATCTCGAATGAGGCTCGTTGGTCTAGGGGTATGATTCTCGCTTAGGGTGCGAGAGGTCCCGGGTTCAAATCCCGGACGAGCCCGTGCTTTTTTTTTTTGTAACTTTATGTTTAAATTATCAAATACAGATATTGTAGTAAATACAAATAAAATCTTTTGTAAGTAATGACATTCGAAGAAATGGAAACGTGGAAAATAAGTCGAGTATAATATATGTTCGACCTTGAACGATATGTTATTTTAATAAGTGAAAATTTCTCTTTTATAATCTGTTTTAGTCTGTTTTATAATTTCTATACAAATGCCTAATTAACGTATTAAATTAACAATATTGAATTTATATTTACTTAATTTTTTTATATAGTAATAAAATTATTGTTCTAATAAAAACTTTATTATCGCGTGTATAATGTAATGAAAAAAGTTCCAAATATTTGTGCGCTGATAAGTATTTTTGTTTTTCTAATATATATATATATATATATATATATATATATATATATATATATATCTACTGCAGCTAATCTACTTTCTTTATGCACGCTTGAAAAAGAAATGTTTTTATAAACGATATGATGTTAGAGCATAGATGTTTGAAATGTTAGTCTCATAATTAAAAACTTCTTTTAAGCTTTGATTTAAATAATGAAAAGTTCGATACGACTAACTGGAATGTTTGAATAATTATTATGGTTAAAAAATAATGGATAAATAAATATAAATATTGGATTTCCTATGTACATTTGTATAAAACAATTACTACATTTTTTCTTTTTAAGCATTCTGTTTAGATATTTATATATAAGTTTAAATTTAATTAAAGGCTAATTGTAACAATTATAATTATTATTAAATGTAATAGAGAAAATATAATATTTTTGTTAAATATGTTTAGCTTCATGTACATTAAAGTTGTGACAGTGTTTTTGAAAGAGATTTCAAATTTATCTAGATTTTATAAAGAATTGAATACTATATACTATATGCGAATACACTACGGATATACTTCTACGAATCAGATTTCTTAATAATAATATAATTTAAATTGTTTAAATACTTGATATCGCAAACGCATGTACGACATTGTTAAAGTGCATTTAATAGTACATTAATTCTATTCCTTTAAAGAATATTAAATTTGGGAAAATTTTAAATAGTTTTCTGTTTATATTTAATCGGAAATTCTTTTTAAAATGATTTCAAATAATTAATTAACTATTAACTTCCTATATACATATTGTGTTGTGTTAATTTTTTTTTCGTTTATTTTTGAAAAATTTGACGTTATTAAGATTTCACATTAAAAAACAATATTAAAATCGACATTTTATATTAATAATGATAATACTGATAGTAATTTGCAAACTGTCTTATAAATTACAATGTACTTTAATTTACAGTATATTTAATTGACGAATAATTATTATTACTTGTAGCACTAATTGAAAATATGAAGCGATTTTGTCATTCCCATCATTTTATGCTATAAATAATATTATAAAAGATGTACTATATAAACGTTATAAATGTTTGCTCCTACTAGCATTTCTTTACTTGATATACTAATGTTTTCAAATTTTACTTAAAACTGCGGCTAGAGGCGATAATTTATTTGACGATCTATGCTGATTTTATACTATATATACGATATATAATAACCATTTACCGAATTATCAATTTATTAAATAATATGTAACAGTTACTGCATGCAGTTACACAAATGTTAGTTTTATTTAATATTACTGTTTACTTTATAAAATGTAGGTCAAACTTCAATAATCAAATTATTTATAATTATCACTTATTTTCTTTTAATATTCAAAATAATAGCTGGTAAATTAACACAGTTGATTTAGATTTAATAAAACAATTCATAAAAAGTAATAAATAAAATTATTTTAAATAGAAATATGTTAAGAATATGCTTATTCTATTTAATATTTTACTAAAAAGTTAATATTCGAGATATCACAGCTTACATTAAAATTAGAATAAAGCTTCACTAATTATAAACAGCTTTTAAAACTGAATTCTCTTAGCTGAACTTAAAATGTAATTAAATCCATGAATTAATGGGAAGCTTATTCTGTTATATTTTATTTTATTATTTTTATATCGAAATAAAATTTTAAATAGTGCTAAAATTGTTTTGTATAGATCATTATTATAGAAATTTGTGTAAAATCGAATGATTAAAAACAAGGAAGATTCAGAATAGAAATTAAAAATGCGTATTTAGTATTTTAAATATAAGTAGGCACTTATTTACTATAGCGTACGTAGACACTTGGCAGAGTCAAAATAGATAAGTATGTGCGTATTATATTTCTGTAAAAAACACCTTTTGTTATTTTAGTGCAATGACTCAACTTGCATATGTAGATTTGTATCTCTATGATCCTGTTTTTTTCTTTTATTATTGCAAGGATAAAACAGCTTGCAAACTAGACGAGAGTTCACTTTTTTTTTCGATCATTGTGTATCGTGAAACTAGAACTTATTCAACTAACATTACAAATTTATTATTTTACATGCTCTTTTTTCATTTAATTGAACAATCCTCTTTTACTAAAGCATTTTAACAAGTTTCTTTGGTTATCTTTTCTTCCCCACCCCCAACAAATCCGGTTCCCCACCTAATTCTCTTGCAATGGTCGTATCTCTAGTTCTTTCGGCGACATGTGTTGAATAGTGTAAGGTAACGTATCAGTGACATACAAGTGGATGCATGTAGAAATATAAATATACAAATGCATCATACGTGGAAGGTGTACGAAGCGTGCACGATGTGTACATGACCATACGTTGGCAAAGGTGAGTGAAAACTTGATTCAAGATGGCGTCAGCGACATTTATGCTGCTGTCAAAGCAGCTTGGGATACGCCTAAATTCATCATTATCCGCAATAATAGAAGGAATGTGAAATTCGCACCGGTTTCGCGGAAGAACTTAAACTCCGTGAGCCTCGGAGCTGAACGCGAAACTCATAACTTTCAATGTATCTCGCGATACGTCTACGCGAGCTTGAGTGCCATTAGAGGCTATCTCGTCATTTTTTGGCCAGCACAATGATCCAAGAAGCTTCGGTTGCCGGGCTGACTATTTTCCTCGACTTCTTTCGCATCTCTCATACGTCTCAAACTCATCTGCACTTATAACTATGTATTTATTTTCAGCGCTTTTTCTTTAATCAGCGTTTTATTCACTTTGGATGTAACGTCAGGTAAATTTATTCAGCACACTAGATCAGCCGGAGTAGTGTTAGATAATTTTATATGAATCATAGTTTTCAATTATTCTGATAACGTATTCAAAGTGCCTTTTTCACTTGTTACAGGTGCGATAGAGTGAAAGACATAAAATAATTTAAGCAAGAAATGGAGGCACTGGTAGAATATAATTATAAAGCTCAGCAATCGGATGAATTAACTATACGCAAGGGTGATATTATAAAAGACATTAAAGTGTCAACTGGAGGATGGTGGGAGGGCACTTTAAGAGATAAGCGTGGAATGTTTCCTGATAATTTTGTCAAAGTAGGCCCATTTTTGTTTTATTTGCATTTTGCTTTATATTACATATAGATGTTTACATTTGTGTCTAAATTCTTAAAATGTTAAGGTTCTGGAGCCTTTAGGTGGAGCTAGAAATAATGCGGAGAAAGTTGTGAAGCAAGATGAAGTCACTCTGCGTAATGGTTCTGGAAGAAAATACTGTAAAGTACTTTTTAGTTACGAACCTTGTAATGATGATGAACTTAAACTAATTCCTGATGAAGCTATAGAGTATTTAGGTGAAGTTGAAGAAGGATGGTGGAGAGGACGTATCAAAGGTAGAACTGGAGTTTTTCCTTCAAATTTCGTTTCTTCACCAGTTCCTGAGGAGACAGAAAGAAATAAAGATAAGAAGGAATTGTGTAGAGTATTATTTCCTTATGAAGCAGCGAATGAAGATGAAATTACAATCGCTGATGGTGATATTATTACGTTAATATCAAAAGATGCACCCGATAAAGGATGGTGGAAAGGCGAATTGAAGGGACAAATTGGTCTCTTCCCTGATAATTTTGTAGAACTATTGACATTAAAAAATGATCAATTCGCAGATAATCAAGTAAATCAAGTTTCAACATCAAAACCAACGAAAAAATATCAAGCTGGAAAAAGAAAGGAGACTGCTAATATTCGAAAAAGTTTAGACACACGAAATCCTTCCACTGATGCAGCTGTAAAAAAAGTTACATCCGCATTCTCATCCTTATCTGGAAGTTCTGTAGAGAAAAAAACAACTAATGCTCTAATTTCTAGCTTAAAACGTTTAGTAAGTGATAATAGCAGTAATAATAATGGAAATGGAAGTACAGGTATTGGCTTAGGAGAAGAATTAGATGAAGTGGAAAGAGGAGAAGGTGCTCCTTTGTCACATTTAACAGCATCAAGAGCTAAAGCTCCACGTCGAAGATTACCATCAACACAACATTTGAGGCATCACAATATAGCTACTACTCCCACAACAATAAGTAGTACCAATAATGCTTTAATATTGTTAACGGTGATTATTTTATTTAAATGAATTTTTACTTTAATTTATAAGAAATGATTGGATTTATTCAGATAATTATATTTAAAATTAAAATAATAGGAGGAAAATATGACAAATGGGAGTTTGGATGTTTTGGAAGCAGCAACTAAAGATGATGAAAGTGATGGAACGGTTGCTAAATCTAAACGTATAGCTCCATGGGTATATTTTCATTTATCAAAATCTTATAAAATAATTAAAAAAATATATTTAAATATATTTATATGAATATTTTAGGTAGAAGAACTTAAATTAAATCAAATGGAAAGAAGAAAGATGAGTACAGATCGACCAGAGAAGGTAGAGACTAAAAAAGAACGAATATTATCCTGGTAAATTTTGAAAAAGATTGTTTATATATTGGGACATTTATGTGTGTAAAAATTAATTTTATACAATTTTTAATAGGATACCATCATATTCAAATAATGCTGATGTCATATTGAAACCAGATTTAGATGTAGAGTACACCAAATTGAAGGATAAGGATAAAGATAAAGAGAAGCCACATAGAGCAGAATCTAGCCCGCCATCCGAACAATCTGCTTCATCGCCCGTATCAAATCTATCTGCTTTTGTCCCATATCATCTTTATAGTCAATTGTTAGAAAGGGTATTTGTTAAAAAACATGCTTCATTATTACATTACTAAGAATATATCATTACAATAATTGTGATAAAAAAATTTTTCTTTTATTAGATTGCAGTATTAGAAGAAAATCAGGCTGTTCTTCAAAGAAAAGTTAACCAACTTTCAGAACAATTGACTCCTTTAGTTAACACGAGTGATAAAGATTAATTTATGATAATTTCACAATTTCTCTACATTTATCTACATTTTTAATAATGACAATGATATTGCAGGTCTTATTGATTTATATTTCGATTTGAACTCATTATTTAACAGACTGAAACATCACAACGATATTACTTTTAACATTCCACTTAACATTCATAGGCCTATGATGTATATGTAATAAAAATTTGAGAAGATCTTCTTAGCATCTCGATATTGACATTTTCATAATTTACTGTTTAGTTTTAAATGCCGTTGAAACTAGTTTTTTACGTACTTAAAAAACAAAATCTAAGTTGTGTAACTTTATGAAAATTATGTTTTATGATAGTGTTGAGTTTAAAATAACTCAACTGTGCCAATAAATTTTAATAGTATGTAATCTATTATCATTGTTACGAAAGCAACCAGTGATTAGAGTATATCATAATATCGATATGATGTCATAATCATTAATATCCTGGTTTTTATTCATTATATTATTATTTTATGAATTTAAAAAAAAAACAAAAGCACAAATTCTTGAAAATCGGCATTTTTGCTTCATAAAACAATATATTGATATATTTTTAATAAAACTAAAATTTGTGTATCTGTGCTAATAATCGAATCATTATAATGGAAAATTATTTTTTAACATTAAACAGTCGCTTTGTACCTTAATGGGCAATCGTGTACTTACAGAAATCATTGAATAGGTATTAAATCTGCAAGCGAATTTGTGCATAGGTATAGTTAAAATCATTGATACGAAGTATAAAAATCTATGTAAGAAGCAAAAATTTATCAGTTGCGTTTCGCGGAATAAGATTTATCTTTTAATCAAAATCCAAAAATTCAGTTAAAAGAAAAATTTAGAAAACGCAACACTCGAGCAGCTCAGCTCGATATTATAGTCTGAAGAGGGGAACTATCCGACCAAATCTCATAATCACGTATCCGGAATTGATCATTTTATACTTTTATATAGTTACCCGCGAAAGCACTGAAATAATCAAACGATTTTTATCAATTTAAAACGATCAAAAGTAATTAGAAAATATAAATGCGTGGAGCGATGCATTTATTTTGAGGCACGTTAGCTTTATTGTTACGCAAAAATGGAATACAACTATAGTACTATCCATTAGCACACAACAGAATGTAATTAATAAAAAATGGTCCTTTTGCAATTATTTTTATACTTAATCGATTTGCTATCTGCTTTTTATATTACTTTTGTTTCTATAAGATTTTAAAATCTTATATTTACAATATTGTATGTAATGTTTTGATAAACATTGAAAAAGGTCCATCTTTGTGAGAATGAATGTGTTAAAAACCATTGTAGGATAGTTTATAAGAAAAAGGATTGTCATATATTTTATTGTGTGAAAGAAGAAAAAAAAATTTTTTATTTGTAAAATTTATGTTGTGAATCGATAAGCCAATTGGACGCATGAAGAGTAGTCCAGACTACAACAAATTAATGCTTCCAATAGTTATCTGTAAGATATTACATAATCACTGACAGTATTTTCATGATTATTATATAAAAGAAAAAAACAGATAGGAAAAGAATATGGTGTACGCAAGTGATAGCTCATCGATAAAATTCTTATTATCAATATAAGTCGGACGTGAGTACAATTTATTAAGAGATTGTCTGAAAACAAGAAAAAATGCAAAATATCTTTGAACTCGGAACAAAATTTAGCTTGAATAGAAAGAAAGACGAAAGAAACGTGTTTGCTTGTGTTTGTTGCTTCCGAGATGTGTCCTAAATCTGTAAAAGCAGAGTATAAAAATATAACGCTCGATTATGAGTGCGTGTGAGAGAGAATCAATAAATGTATGTACATAATAAAGGCGCGTGTGTTGGTAACAAATGAAATATTATTTTTTCTCTTGCTTTTCGTGATGTTACACGTTCAAAAGACGTGACTTATGTATTTCGTAATTGTAAATATGACTAATTCATTGAAGTATACACAAACTTTTTTCTTTATAAATTAAGGAATTCTGAATGCACTTGTTTATTTCTTACCGTCTGCCCTATCACTTCATATGAGTTAAACGTTTTGTTTTATGCTGCGAATGGGGAATTTCGCAAATGAACGGGAGCTCGGCATTGCAGGGAATGACTTTCCAAACAGGATTGCGTTTCCGCGTTATCTGGGCCAACCCGACGCAACCCCGTGAATGCGAAGGCTCTCCAGAATCCCAGGCGCGATAATCAAAACATGATAGTGCATTACCTTCAAATCAAACAGTGCGTCCTAAATTATTCACGCAGTTGAAGAAGCATATAAGAAGCACTTATGATTTATATTAGAATAAAATTACTTTTTTAAACAAATTAATTTCCTTTATATTGCAAAAAGAATGGTATATCTTCGAGAAAAGAAAGTTGTTTGCCGAAAGAAGACTGATTTAATAAGCTTCATCAGCGAATAACTAAATTATATCTACATATTTATTGAAAAATCATAAGGTTTTTTTCATTAAACATGTAATATAAATTTTTTTATAAATTATGCACTTAGCCTCTAAATAATAATTATAACTTAAATATAAATTCATGTCTATAATTATGTTTTATGCGTATTATATTTGAAAGTGTAAATTACAAATGAAAAATTTATATGTACTTAATTACTTATATAATTTATTGATTGAGCATAGAAATTCGTTAATTGTTTATAAAAATTATTTTGGTAAGACTAAATGGCTTTTAGGATGAAAAAGTATAACTTATCGAATTATTATTAATATTAATAACTTATTAATAATTATTAATAACTTATAATTATCGAATCTTTATAATTGAATTTTCCGCTCGATCCCGCAATACAATTTTTTTTATTCAAACAATTCCAACTTATACTAGGATATCTTCTATAATACTGTAGATTACTTACTGTTTCTGTTTCGTGTATAAATTTCAATTCTTTATATGTGCTTTCACATGATATAAGAAATTTAAATAGCTTTAGTTTCGAAAATAATTAATACATAGCATAGAGTATGTATTAATATTTATTATTATAAAAAATAATATTATTATTAGTAGTATGGTATCAATTTTTTTAATAATTTCTATGGCATGTAAGTATACCTATTTTGTGCGAGATAAAACGTATAAAATACAATGTTTTTCTGACACCTTCTTTGTTTATTTCTACCTTATGCTATGTTAATGTTTCTATTATAAGTAAATGCTACAATTATCTAAATACTCTGTATTGTAAAAGAACGATTTACTTATAATGAAATTTATCGCTCACTCAAGAAACTAGTTGACTTCAATTCGTAAAAATATCCATTGCTTTGTAGACATGTTAATAAAATCTACTAGAATAGTATTGTATGTTATTTATAATAATTTCACGAAAAAATGTATGCATCTTACATTTTTAATTGTTTTGTACGTATTTTTTAAGTAATCAAATAATTATATATTTTTTTTTTTTTTTTTGATATTTTATATCAATCATAATTTCATCACTAATTGTTCACATTTAATTAACTGAGTACATTAGAGTGTGAACTACTACTGTTTCTTGTTCAAATGTTATTTTAATCTGTACAATATAAAAATCGAAGAATAATAATATTTTAAATATCAATTTTGAACGCGTATAGTGTAATTAATTAACTAAAATTATACACTAGCATATTCGTTATCTATTTTATAACAAAGATGCCGTGAAGATCGTGATTACAAGTACTTACCAAATTCATTTTTCCAATTTCGACTGTTTCCTTTATTACTCAAGCCAATAAAAACTAAATTATCACCTATAAGTGAAATTAAACCACGAGTTCGCGCATCACTTGTCACGTCTGCCAGAACACCTTGAACTTTATGGCACGAGTTTTGAGCATTTGTAAAGTTTTGTTTTTCTGTAAACACTATGAACAACCCAATATTTGCAATGCAATTTAAACTTACATTCCCTAGAACATTTATTTTTATCTAAATTTCTTTGGATGTTTTTAATTATTAGACATTTCGTCTATTGCAACGAATATTTATGGAAATACTTACCACCATACGTTTCATTGGAGTAAGTACTGTAATAATCAACACCCGATATATTTACCAATTGATGAAGACCATTTAACTCCGGACAATGAAGTAAAATGCAATTAGGTTCCCAAAAATCATTTCCGGTCAATCTCACTTTAATCACGAACGGGCATAGTTTTAATTTTAAATAAAAAGGATTATAACACTATAAGCATGCAAATAATACAACTATATTAATTTCTTATACGGTTAAAAAATTTATTGCAACTATAATAAAGAAATATGACTTATTTTAGCAAATTAATAAATATTTTTATTAGTCTGGTATTGCATAATATTAGTAATTATAAGCTTTAGTGCACTGTTATTCCTCAGAATTGTTTAAATTTTTTTAATTTTCAATAAAAATCATCACAACACTAATTTAATTATTTACATAATTTTGCATATTAAGTAACAATTATATAAAAAAATTATTTGCACCAATTTGATACATAATTAATAAATTACACTAATATTTGTAAATCTAAATTAATACCATAAATTAATATATTTAATAAAAGCAGTAAATAATTTAGCAAAAGCTAAATTGCCGTTATAAACTAACTCTAATAATATAATACTTATAAATGAACTTTTCAATATCTCGTGTTTATTTGTAGATTAAACATTATAATGAATTTAATGTTAGTTATAAAAATATAATAAAAAGTACTAAAGTTTATTTTAGTTAATTATATATTTAATCGAATTTATAATATAGATACGAGATAAAGTTCTGTCTTATAATTTCTTAAATATTTCTTCGCGAATTATTATTATAATTATTTTTGACTTTTAATAACTCATATATATATATATATATATATATATATATATATATATATATATATATATATATTTATAAAGTATATAATTATAAGTAAATTATTTTTAATAAATAATAATATCAGTGTTGGTATCTTTTGGTATAATACTACATTAAGTAACAACTAAATGATTTACTTCATGAGAGTTAGGTTTCGCGAGCTTAATATTATCTATCTACATGTGTTAATAGATATTTAATGGATTAGAATTGTATACCCTGTGATAGTTGTTTCTTAATATATATATATACTAAAAAATATAAATATTATATATGCAAATATTATTATAAAATAATATGAAATTATTATTTTACGATAATAATGCCGCAAATTCATATAATATAAACTAATGCAGCAAATTAATATTTATTAAGTTAATATTGGACAGAACTTTAATAAATTTTCATTGTGTTATATATGAATAAAAAAATAATAGAATCATATTTATAACATGAGAAATTTATAATAATTAGATGTCAATATTAAAAACTTGATCCAAATATTATTTTTATTTGCTGCTTTTTTTGTTTTGAAAATTACCGTCAATAAAATAATATTTAACTTGATATTACAAAATATAAAGAATTTTTTTACAATACCATTTACAATACGATCACTAAACATAAAAATTATATTACATAAAATTTATTAATTTTCTCGTGATATTTATGGTATGAATTTATAATGTAAAATTTGTATGACAATTTAATATAGTAAGCACAAATTAAAAAAATAATGAATTAAAGAACCACGATTGTTAGTATCGATTATCATTATAGTTCACATGATTACAGATAATTATTTAATCTAATGTAAATCTATCTATGAATTTTTCTTGGAAATGAAATCCTTATAGAATGCTGAAGCTAGGAATGACTTATTTATGATTACCTATTTACTTATTCGATTACATACATAATAATCTGCAATTGCACGTAGTATAAGAACAAAAGTTTGTAAGAAATTACCGAAATTGAAGGCAAGTGCTTGTTTGGCCTCGGCATAATCTTTACATTTTGAAACATTAACGAATCGTCGTCTTGTCATAACAGATGCAGTTGATTTTGCATCAAATTTAACTAAATTATACGACATTGAATACCGCAAATCTACATTTCTGCAACATCTGCAGTTATTCATTGTAAAAATGTTCGTTAAAATAATAAGCAATTCTTGTCTGAGCTTCATTGTATATGACAAATGAACGATTTGTAAAATGAGCGGGTATTCCGCAGGATGTATTATGCATGAGCTCTTTCGAGCTACATTACACGTAATAACAAGTTAACAAGCACTCTGGCAAAATTTGATGTTGATTAATATTGACAAATTGCTCATCAAACTTGTTTTATCTTTATATTTTCATGCACATCCGTGCTAATTTATTTTCATTTATTTCCTTTTTTTCAAATTCCTATTTAAATGATTGTGTGTATATGTGACGATGTCTGTATAATAATTTTCAATTATAATATAGTAATTGTATTTTATTTATATATTGATAAATTTGTGATATGTAAATAATTTGATTTATTGAAGTAATAGAATGTATATTAAGGTATATTAATTTTCTCTGCAATGAAGACAATTTTGCTACACTAATCATATTGGATGATGTCTTATTGAGAGTTTGTTCTTACTATTTCGATTGAACTTCATAGATTTTTGTGAATTTCTAACTGCATAAATGTACTAACGCGAAGAAGAGCTTCCATATTTATTAATTTAAGTTTGTCTCTTATGCCAATAGTTTGTCCAAAGCTTCTGAGACTAGTTTAAAAATCTCATCAACATTAAGTTCTGCATTAATCTGTAACAACATAATAACTATTTTTAATTACATTCAATATTTTCAATTTTTAGGAGTATTAATTTTCTAAATTTTATTATATTTCAATTGCTTTTTCAGTATTAAATAAATAAAATAAAAATAAATTTAGTATAATGTAAATTCGAAATTCTGAAAAAATATGTGAAAATTTTTAAATATTTTTAAAGGGATTAGATTGAAATTTTGTAGACCCCAGTGGTATTAAATTTCATTACATATTCTATTTAAGTTTATTTTATAATTATTGAAGCAATATTTAATATATCCTACATATATTCAACGAAAAATTATAGACAAAATTATCAGTGAAAATATAGTATTTCAATTGGTGTAGAAAAAAATAAAAATTAGTTGTAAATCAGATTGTTTGTAGAAATTAGCAATAAGTTAAAATTAAATAATATTGTTATATGAAAATAAAAAAAAAGGGATAATGATTATTTTTTTAAACAATAAATTATTAAAATAAAAAATGAAGAAATATATAAATTCTAAAAAATTGTAAATTATAAAGAATAATTTAAAAAATCATATAAATATTTTTAAATAATTTTAAATTTAATTTTTTTAAATAATCAGATAAGTTTTTCGTGTTAATTAGATATATTAGTTGTATAGAAAAATTAGCTTACGCGTAGGCATTTATTTTTATAATGTTCGATAATTTTTCCATTTTTTTCATTGAATATCTCTATTCTCTTTTTAATTGTTTCTTCATTATCATCTTCTCTTTTAATCGTAGCAGCAGCAGCACGACCCAGCAGTCTACTGATTAATGTTTTATTAGACGCATCAAAGAAAATAATTGAGTCAACAGGACAAACCTGTAAAATAGAAAAATAATTCAAATACTTCATATCAGTAATTCAATTTTTTTCAAGATTTATAATAAAAATTTAATAATCATATAATTTACGTAATAAAGCTAGAAATATATATATATATATATATATATATATATATTAAAACACAAAAAATGATTTAGTGAAAAGTAATATAAAAAATATTTGCTGAATTTAGAATAGATCTGTATTAGACTTGTGTAAATAGGTTTTCTTTTACATTACTTTTTTTATAGTTTATAAATGTTATATATACATATACATTTACTTTATATGTTATAAATAATATTTAAAATTGTATTATTAAAAATTTTATCACATTATTTTATTTTAATATTTTTGGCACAAATAAGTAGCAATCAGTGTCATGTCATCAAGTCGTGTCATTCTTTTGAGATAAATTACTTTGTGATATTTTCCCAAATTCTATTATTTCTTATATAATTTAAAATTTAATCTCAGTCTAATTTACGTGGCCACCTATCTGTAAATATTTGAAATGCACGCAATAAACAAGCATATATCCAAGTAAGACTACATATAATATTTTTTAATTTATCAGACACTTCAATTTTCTCATACACACAGTGGACGTTAAAAAAAAATTTACATAGCAATGGTAATTTTATAAAATTCATCGGGCTTTTTAGATACTTGCGTCTTTTTCGAACTGAAGTCCTTGTTCCAACTCGCGAGGATATCCATCAATGAGAATTCCTTTAGTTGAAGGATTTTCTACTTTTGTTTTCTCAATTTTTTCCTTAATTAAAGCCAGTACTATATCCTAAAAAAAAATTAATGTGTATTTAATTAAAAATGATATGCAATTATTTAATGTATTATACATGGTGCATATGCCACAGAATTATTAGCTAATACGAGAATATCATTTAGCGATTTATTAAAAAATTATTCATAACAAGCATTCTTTATGTTGAATACTAGAAAGTAAGTAATTGATAAAGTGATCGCTATATAAATCATTTTTCGAAAAAAAATGTATATGATTTTGTATCTTATTTTCCTTAATGTAAAGAATTTTTACATTGGTACAAAAAATATACAAATCCACTAAAAGCCAATTTGTTTCAGAAATTTGTGTAAGAGTACAATTTAATTTGATAAAGAATAGAGAAGAATAAAAAATTACCGTAGGAACAAAGAGACCTTTGGACATCAAGTTCTGGAGTTCTTTGCCACGCGCGCTTCCACTTGCCACCTCATCTCTGAGGAGGTCGCCGCTACTAAGATGAACGAATCCATATTTTTTTATGATTCGATCACACTGCGTACCCTTCCCACATCCTGGGCCACCGATTATCCAAATTATCTTCATGCCTGAATCAGCAATAACAAGTGTAAGAAGAGGGAGAAGAGGACCTGCACAGTTGTACAACCAGCGCTGGACTAATAATATCTGGGGGCGGAAAAAAGGTGTCGAACGGGGATCGCCATCGTAGCCGCGATCTTGTCTATTTTTGATAATTCAAAGAACGCGCGCGTGCGCAAATGTTCGACAATCATTCGTGCCTTCCGCGAATCAGCTTCTGGTACCGATAACCTTGGACAAACCACCCTTGGCCACAGTTGGCCGTCATTGGTCTCTGTCCTTGAACTACTTAACGTTCGTAGATAAGCATTACACCGGTGATTGGTCAAAATACCGAAACGACTTAGATCTGTGTGCATTACATAAATTTTACGTAAAAAGTTTCGATCTTGAGAAGAATTTAGTAGATTCTATTTGAGTGTTCGCGCGCGCGCACGTGCGTGTATATATATATATATATATATATATATATATATATATATATATATATACATCGTTGTGCAGTATATATATTATATAAATAGTATAGCATGAATGTATCATTATTAATAATTATTTTTAAATATCGAATACGTTGATATTTTGTAATATCATTGTCAAAGAAAAAGTAGAGAATATACAAGGACGAAGATGCATGCAGCTTTATTTCTCATTTTATGCCTTTTAAATTATATATATATATATCGGCTATTTTTCTCATTGATCTGAATCCAAGGTTTGCAACTTCGAAGTTTCTAGACGGATAAATTGCTAGAGACATATATGTAAGAAAAAAAAATCATACATTGAAATTAATTTCTACATTTATTGGTACTTGATTATTGGGGAAATATTTATCAATCGTTAATGATTTTATTTAGCAATGAATATGATTATTTGCATCGTTGCATTTTCATAAATGTGACTATAAGGATAATGTGCTTTTCTATTTTTTTTACTTCTCATCATCGTTTAAAGGCTCAATTTAGGGATAAAATATCCTTTACACAAAAATTGAGAAAAATTGCAATGTCAATTAAGACGATAGAATAAGATTCCCATTAACGATAACGGCTAAGGATATCTTAAAACTTACTCGGAAAACGTGCCGAAATATTCGCACCAAAGTATCGGATTAGTCAGAAGGTTTGGGTGGGTCGTTGTCAGTTCAAGTCGTCACCAAGCGCTTCTGCAGACTGTCCGTGAAACCTTGAGCCTTGCAGCTGGCACCTGTCCATTGATTTCCGAGAAAATCAAGTCCACAAGCGCGCGCAATTCTCTTTCGCGCGAATATGTCTTGTTGCTGAAAAAAAAAAACAAGAATAGGCCCACCCGCGGCCACTTGCAATGCATTTCATGTCATAAAGGCAGAATCGAGAGAGTATGCGCACATTGTGCCTGCCCCACCTAAGACGAACCCTATCTTATCGACGTTGGAGCTTCAGAACCAAAACAGCTAGGGAGCGCCACCCAACCACTGCTTGTATACTTTAATGAATTATCAAAAAGCTCTCGCACATTAATTATAGTCGAAAAGTCATCAAAAGGCAAAAGTACTTGGTTTATTTAATTTCGATTTATTTTCTTTATTCTTTTGTTGAGATGAAAAGACGTCTTTCGACCACTAAAATTATTTATCATGTACAGATATCGATATTTTCTAATCCATTGTTTCATGAAAAACAAATGTCAACGATCGCCAAACTATTTGATTATCGTTGTATTTGTAGTGAACAGTTTATATGCAACTGGCTTAAACGTTATTTATTGTTTTTAATTTACCATCCAGTCCATCGATCGTTATGTTTGTTCATATTGTAATTTAGTTGCTATTAGTTGCTATAAGTTGTCCTCAAATTAATCGAGGCATTTATGTGCTCGTAACCACGCGTCATGAATAATATAAATACATTTACAAGTGAATAAATCAGGACGTACATATATTAAGATAGGCACGAAAAGCTATGACGTTACAAGGCATTATAATACTTTTATAACACGCACGCAATTATCATTTATTCCCCCGTGAATTCATGAATTTGATATAAACAGGTAATTTGAATTGTACGTTACATTATTACCATTACTATAATTATCACTATTATCATCATCGTCGTCACCGCTATTATCGACATAATTATGATTAGGATAATCAGTATTAATTATTATAAATTATCGTTTTATTATTTAAGTATAAGAAATATGATTAGAACTGTGAAATTTAAACAGAAAGCTGAATTTGATTATGAAATAAGCAAAAGACTTGCAGCCAGTTGTGTATGGTGAGCACCGAGAGTAAAACCTCGTCGCGGGTCACGTGAAGGCCCTCGAGGAAGAGTCGCACAAGGAAGACGAGCAATTCGATCGCCATAATGCAGAATTGCATAAGTAGCCAGGGGACGTGCATCATCGGGTAATCCTACGTACGTGCAAAAAGACAAGAAACAATCGTTTTTCTCAAGTGCGTCCGTGCTTTATTTTACGAGCATTCCTTATATTATCTACATTTATTTGAAAGCGCGTTGCGAGGCTACTCTTTCAATTATTAATGCTATTTTTTTTTATTTATTTTATTTCTTTAATTGACGAATCGAGAGGCAAATACATTTTCAATAGCTGTTATCTAAAATTTATTTTTAACTTTAGGAATTCGCTAATTCGTGTATATAAATATGTCTAGACAATCAATGGAAAATTTTCTAACAATTTAAAAAAGGCATTATTTTGTCATTTTATATATTATGCTTTGAGGGTTGCCTATTGTCACAAGTAAAAATATTCATAATAATTTATATTTCAAATTAAATTGTATGAAATAGCACAAATTTTCATATGCCAATGTCGCATGTATAATTTTTTAAATTCTATGGAAATATAAATAATATTGCAAATATAAGAGCGTATGAACTAAGTAAATAATACTTATAACGTACTGTTATTGCTCCCAGCATCATTAATGTAAAATGTTCTATGCCGAGAATGGAGGTCATCAACTTCAAATCCCTTTCTACTTCTGGTACTAATCGCGCGATTAAGGATTAAAATAAAGAAGAAAAAAAAACAGGATTAAAGTAGAATTTCTTTTATTAATACTATTTTAATAAAATTCTCAATAATCATAATGATGATAGTGCGATTCAAAGGTCAGTGCAAATAGAATTCTACAAGATTATTTATTTTAATTATATAAGGAAAGCAACGAATTTTCGATAGATTTGAGTGAGCTTAGAAAATAAAATATGCAATCTTCGTTATTAAAAATTTTAATAAAAGTGGAATGCAAACAACCTTTGCATTACGTAAAAGTAAAATATTTTATTGAATAAATAAAAAAAAAAATAATATTATAAAATAAAACTTACCGTCGTCATGCTCTTGGCTTCTCGAACACAATTGGTTATTTGCTTTACCATTCATTATACGAATTACGTCGATAACCGTGACTGCCTAAGTATCAGAAAGCCAACAATACATGTAACAAACTAAAAGTCGTTATGACGATCAGCGAATTGGTAGTTAATGCAGTAATATTGCCGAAACATAATTATTAGTTGCATAATCCACATAATTAAAATTTATGGATATTAGGCATGAAATATTGCATTATACTATAGAGGATTTTTTCAAAAATTTTAGCAAAGATAGAAATATAAGGCCTATTATAATTATACTATTGACATTATTTTGAGAAAAAATAATACTTTAAAAGAAAGGTTATTCTTCACTTAACGAATATTTGAGATAATCCCATTTCATTATGCACTTCGTAAACAAAATTTCTTTAAAACTAATTTCTAAAAAATCTAAATTGTTAAATAATTTATCAATAAATAACTCGAATAATTGGAAATTATATTTAATCATATTTGTGATATATTGTTGAAAAAATAAAGGTTAATATTTTCAATTCACTGGTCGCTTCATTAGTTGTTAATAGAGAACCAATTATACTGACTGTCCCAATAAGTGCAACGATAATAACGTAAAGAGTACTGCCCATCATATTGTAGTCGCACATACTACAGGCTAATTTTCCGAAGTGCTAAAAATTTGATTAGATTACTTTCTCGATAAAAGGTTACAATACTATTTAGAATTTTTTAAAAACATCTCTAACTAAGTAGCCATTGCACATAGATCTTCTGCGAAACTTCTTCATATTTTTCCCTCACTTTGATTCCTTACTTAATTTACCATGAATTGTTATTATTTTAATTTATTGTCATGGAAAACTGGTTGAATTTTTATACAAAGCCGCCATGCCATCATACTTTTTCCTTCAACTCAACATTCACATGAAATTGTCAACAAACCCGTTAAAAATGAAATTAGGTTAAAGAACAGCGTTTAGTGTCTAATATTCAATTAACACTATGTCGCATCTCCATTATACAAATATTAAAAAGAATAAAAAAAACGCTTATTCAATAGTAAAAAATTTGATATTTAATAAAAAAAAGCCTATATTTCCATAAAAAATAGTGTGTATTACATTATAATATTATATCCATTATATCGATATAATATTATTTTATATAAATTTTCTGTATTTTTATTATTTTATTTTATTTTATTGGTTGAATTGCCATTATTAATATTTAAGACTTAGTTAGTATTAATAAGAGAATCAAGTGTTGAACAAGACAATTTTGGGAGACCTTGTGAAAATGGTTTTAAAATCCGTATTCCTACACAATCCATAGAACTGCAAATAATAAATCATAATATCATTATTTTAATTTGAATGAAAAATGTTTGCTTCAAAAGATTAATTATTAATTAAATTTTGGTAGAATATATACAAGAGTTTAAATAAATATTGAACAAATAAGTTCGAATCTAATTGTATTTTTACTCGATCGTTTATTACCTTCGACAAAAATCCATCAATGCATGCTTCAACAGAGTTTGACGATCCGTGAAAGTGACTTTAGTCATTTGACTTATGACAAAGCCAATAAATGATTGACAAGGAACAGTCGTTGCTTGTAAATCATTATCGACTTGTATACTTGCGAGTTTGTCGATCTTATTTCTGCGAAAAAGAATCTTTTATTGTCGGTTATTAAATCCTGAATTCATTGCAGCCATTCCTTTAAAAATAAATAAACATAAAATTGCGTCGCAAAACTTGCTTACGTATTGATAAAATGTTTAACACTTTCCAGTTGAAGAATAGTAAGAGGCTCAAGGGCGATCCCACTCGACTCCCAAATCACTTGAAACTTTGCAGCCAATTCAATTTTATGACTGTTCAACCTCTTAATTCCTTTTGACATTATCGATCTATCCAGATAAAAATAATGTTCGACAATATAATTCATCAAACATGAAGTATGTTTAAATGTAATAATAAAGTAAACTTTTACTGTTTTTAGCTCACCTAGCGAAAAATCTATCAACGCTAATGTCAATATTGTTAACATTCGAGATTTCCGAAAGTTTGTATCTTAACTTTGTTTCCGAACTGTTCACATTGTTAAGAATTAGTATTTTTTTCTTTTTTGATGAAATATATTCTTCTAAAATTTCATCAAAATATTTTGAATACAATTCTGTTTTAGAATTTACAACTTCATTAATTAATAGATTTATTATAAAAATCTGTAAAATAATTACAATATACATATATATATATATATATATATATATATATACTCAACAATTAATTCATTTAAAAAAAAGAACAATTTTTCACGAGGAATATAAAAATTATATTAGCATAAAAACGATTCCAGTGAAAAAAATGTATACGAATGATATTTCAAATAAATCTATATCTTATAAAAACAAAATTATTTTATTTTTTATATACTTTAATTTAATCTATAAAACTTTCTATATTATACAGAATAATAATAATAATTATTATTATTATTTTAATATTATATTTCGAAACTGAATATTTTTTATAACAGCTAAACAAGCAACTGTAAAACAATAATAGTATAATTGTAAAATTATAATAATTTTCACTTCTTTAATATTTATTTTATTATTGTATACATTATCTAATCCTTTAAATTGTGGTGTTATTTATAGAATATCTAAAAAAATAATTATGAAAAATTTTTCTATTTTCGGGAATGTATATTATATTATGATTTGATTTCCACGATTATTTATAATTTTAATTCTTTCATTTTCATTAATGCTGAAGATTCCCAAAATATAATAACATAAGTGCAAGTCATTTTATTGACTTTAAAAAGTTGGATTGACATTTTTAAATGATTCAAAATATAAATTTTGATTTATTCCTACTACAATAATATTACAAGTAATTTGATCAGTAAAATCAAACAAGAAAATCTCATTCAAAGTTGAATGTAAATATATAAATAATCATTCTTAATTATGCATCCACGCGAAAGTAGAGGAAAATAAAACTGAGAAAATATTATGTATATAAGTACAATTAAAATTTAATTGATGCATCATTGAACTAATAAACTCTAGTCATCGTTTTAGAAGTATTTTTTCATATTCTGATAGATTTAGCTGTGAATGCTTAGTAACCATGTTGTTTTCCCAAAACGCTCTATCTTACTAAATACTCTTTCTAGTTAATATCGAATAGTTCTGTTTAGAATTATTTCTTATGTATCTTGGATAGTTAACATTTATATTGATATTCTATTTAAATATAATATAATTTTTGCCTTACTGAAGAAACACAACTTATTAATGCTAATTAATTCTTATAATAATATAAAATCTAAATACAGGAGACCTTTTCTTATATTTACAAATACACAACAGATATTATGCGAAATTCTTAATTATTTATAATGGAATGCATCTTTTAATACATCAATAAAATTTACTCTAAAATTAGATCGTATGCATCCCTCTTGCATCCTGTAATAAGTGTTGAATTACCGTATCTGATAATTTACTATTTAATTACTACATTAGCATTTGTTGCGCAAATTTATTATACTTTAATAGAATTTTTCAGTTCCTCAGCAAGGTCAAAATCAATTAACTCTTATTATTATCTTTAGAATAAGTTTACATATCATTGATAATAAAAGGGAACGAGAAGCGGGGCGAACATAATGAAAAAAATCCACATAGAAAGATAAATATAAGCTTAATTATTAGATGAATAATTAATTAGTATTATTACGCTACATTGTATTGCGGATAATGATGTGCAGCTGTCTCGATAGCACAGAATTCTTCGTTCGTCCACGTTCGATTTTCATGCTTGATAAAATAGACATTTATTGACTTTTCTTGGCTATATCCCACGGTAGCACTATTACATATATCAAAAAGGTACAAAAGCTTTACAATTGTATCGATTAGTTAATTGGCTCATTCAAAATGACGATTATTTGAGTATCGCCTTACAAAAACAACATTAAAGGCAATGCCATTTTGTGGTAGTATTAAATAATTAGAAAGAAAAAATCTTTTGGATGATTATCTCATGCGGAGTACTGAAGGGAAAGTTCGCACTTTCTAGTACATGATCGACAATTATCGTATCAAATAATTTCAGTTATTAATACAAGTTAAATTAAACGTCATCGAGCGATTTAAAAAGACAAATAAAAAGGAAAATATAAAAACGCGTGACGCATGATATTGGGATCACATGCGGATTTATAGAGGAAGGGCTAAGGACGTTGGGTACCCAGGGATCCCCCCTTATACGAACCGATTGTAGCGGCAGGAGCCGTTGGAGTGTTGCTGGGCGAACGCGAGAATTGCGGGCACGAGGGCGAGGATAATGAAACCCACGGAGAAGAGGCAGCCAGCAAGTAGAGCTCCAAGGAACTCAGGCCCTTGCCAAGCCCTCAAGAGTTTGAGAGCACCTTTAGCAAGGACCTGATCCCGCGAGTTGTCCCTCCCCAGCAATTCGACTTCCTCCTCGTGCCGCGGCATTCGCGGCTAGCACTCCGTGTACCAGGCCTCGACTCTAAGAATACGATCCGTGCTCTTTCTCCCACTCTCTCTCGCTCTCTCTCTCTCTCTCTCTCTCTCTCTCTCTCTCTCTCTCTCTCTCTCTCGTCAGTGACAATCAAATCCACCGCGCTTTGCGCGCTCGACACCCGGTTCCGACAATTGTTTGGGCGGTTATTTTCGCGACTGCTCCGATGATTACTCTGGCTGCTTTGCAGCTTTGACAGACTTCACTTAGCTTTTCTTGTCACGATAATTTCGACTTCTGCGCTTCTCTCGCAGAGGGAACCGGTCCGACCAATCAACGGCACCAACCGGAAAGAACGCAAGAAAGAAGGAGTATTATACTTACGTTGCAAAAAAGGTTAGATGCTGACTATAGGATCGTCATTTCTTTATTTCGTAGGCAAAATGTATACGATCGACAGCGGTGGATTCACGAACGGCAAAAAAATCATAACACATGTAATACTCGACTATCGAGTTACTTGAAAATCATTTTATTTTATTTATAATTGCAAATTGATTTATATTATTTTTTTTCGCATTAAAACATCGCTCTTATTCATTCGTCAATATTTTAAGTCGTTTTTTACTTTTACAACTGAAAATTAATAGATTCTTACTTGGCACACTTTTCACATTCTCACATACACGCTTGCAGACCTATATTATTCTTTCTTTTTTATAATCGGAAACTCGTCGTCCTGAGATTGTCCGGATATTTTCATAATCACTCGACATTAAGCACATACTTAATGCACATAATTTCCATTATAACTCATTATTTTTAAATATTTACAATGTGAAAACCACTAATTTAATTTATATTTAGCGACACTATATTTTTAACGCTCGATCGAAATAGTAATGAGGCATTAAATTAACAATAAGCCTTAATAGGCTAAGCATCATTAACAAGAATACCATTGTCATTTGTTTTTCTTTAAATTTCATACCTTTATTGAACAAGCGCTTGTCGTATATTGCACAAATTGCACATTCTTAACCAAGAGTATACTCGATATCCGTGCTAGTATGCGCAGAAAAAGAAAGCAGCAAGTAGTACGATTCTTGGATTGCTGAGCAATCGAAAGCGCGGAGGTCGACCTGCGGTCCCCGGTACCACTTCTGCAATTCTAACCTTTATTATCGCTTTGACGAACAATGCTAAAGCAAAATCATACTCTTGTTCGCAAGAGACAGGTGCCATTTATCATTTGATACTTAAAAAAAAAAAAATGTAAAGCTCATTGGAAAAGGTCATCATTTCTTTTCGGTAAAATCAGAAATTCCTTAAAGATCAAAAACCTCATTGATATACAGGTATGCGCAGGATGTATCTTGGATTTATGTTCGAAACGCGTTTGAAAAGGGTTAAATGGCATAAAAATTAGCACAGCCTTCCTTATAAATCGTACAATAGAAATAGTTAATGTCAGAGCTGCATTAAACGTTGGCAGACCTTGCAGGGGACATGGCGGTTTCATCCTCGGAGGAACTGTTATAGCAGCTGGAAAGCATCCAAGGATTGCGGTTTGGATGCTGCTCCAACGGGGAGTTGTTTCTTGTCGCGAAACCCATTGCCGGAAAGAGGTACCGTCGGTAATCATCGAGGGGACACGAGCACAGCTTCTCCTTGAACTCGTGACAAAGAACGCACCTCGAAACGTCCAGGGTACGCCAATGGCATTCCTCTTTGCACTCGGGACAGTAGCATCCGTATCGGGCACTCGGAACCGTGGGACTTAACTGAGGGTATCGTCGCCAGAAGCTTGTGGTGAACTCTTCCTGCGGTGTTGTCAGCTGCGCACCTGCAAAGCAACCAGTACTCCGTCCACTTCCGATGCAAGGGTACTCTGAAAAATATCCAAGATCTGAGATCAACTAATGCGCGAGACCTACATCACCTGGTTTAGCAAGTATTTCGAGAGCTGGAACGAGGAGCTTAGGGGCTGCGGGCTGGGGCTTTTGCTCGCTTTCCGTTTGTTATACCGAAAGATCGAGAGCGAGTTCGAGCCTCGGCCTCGAAGGAGGATCGTCACTACGCATCGGGGCTCTGGTCTATGTGCGGAATGTCGAGGTGCGGCTTCGTCAAACTTGCGGGTTGGTTCCTTAGTTGGGGCGACGGCGTCGACCCTGGACTCGGAGCCTCTCCCGTGTTTGAGGTTTTGCGCGGCGGACCGGCTCCATCTGTAGGTACACACCAGCACCAAAACTATCACACCTCGGGTATGAGATCATCCGTTTGGCGCTCGGCTTTTATCAAGCTTTATAGTCGTCGTTAGAGTTGCCGAAGCTGCTATGCGAGTCGTCCAACGTGACAACGCGAACACGTGAAAAAGCTGATTAATCGATGAGAAAGCGTATTTCTATTTGCAAGGTGAATCAAAGCTGTGAGATCGGTATTGATAAATTACAAAAAAAAAAAATTAAACTCTGCGAATTAGGAGTAAATGATAAGCTTATAATCTTTTCTATTGGACCTTTTTCTCTTTTTTCATTGTTAAGCATATCAATTAGGCTCTTCTTAATGTTTATATTCATAATAAATGTAAAATGAAAATGTAAAATGAAAAATTTATTATTGACAAAGCATTCTAGTGGTGCTTGATATTAAACTGTTTATGTTGAATTATCTATCTACTAATGCATAAGAATGTCGAATTTTGTAAATAGAATAGTGCGTTCATGTTTATGTTATCCTTTATCTTTATTATAGCGTTTCAGCGCTCATTTGAATATATCGTATATGAAATAATTTGTTTTTTTCTACCAAGTGCATTAAATACACGATAACTACTAATGATGATTACAAGCAATACAAATTAAATACATATTAGCATTTATGTTAACGTTTTGTAATCATATTCAATCGGATAATGTAAACCCTTATCAATAGAATTTGTATATCTAAATTTAAACAAACGTATTTAATGACCATTATAGAGTAAATTGAGTAAATGGAATGTTGGCAAAAGGGGATAAATATTTTATGATAATTTAAAATAACTTCGATAAATTCTATTTTCTTATACTTAGTTAAAGAATATTTTATTTAGTTAAATTTCAAAAAGTATAGCTTTGTATTACATTTGCAAATTGAGACATTTATAATGTCAATTTAAACTGTGAAACGTAAGATGTAAAAGAATTATAAAGTATAAATGCATTAAGCATTTTAAAGCATTTAGAATAATTGATAACTAATAGCTACATTTTTTAATTATACGAACTTTATAGTTTAAGATAAATAGTAATAAATACGTAAAATAATGTTTATGTTAACATAAAAATTAAAAAAAATTTCTATGAATCGTTTAAGCCTTGAATCTGTGAATCTAATTGCTTATTAAATACTATGATATATATATATATATATATATATATATACAAATACAGAAAATATGTTGATTGAATTATGAAAAAAAAGAAAAAATAATTAATAAAAAAATTAATATGTATTATTTGCATGTGACAGAGTGTACGCTAACAAGAAAAATATCTTCTTTTCTTTGATTTTACATAGTTACATCATATAAATGAAACGAAATTAGATGTATAGACTTGTCTAAAGCTATTTGTTTTAAACTTCTCTATTATTTTAATTTTAATTCTGTTTCATAATTTGTATTTTATAAATGTCGCATTATAATTAAAAACGTGAGTAAACGAATGAAAAATAAAGTTAATTTTCTTGCTCTTGAGCTAATTTTAAAAGAAATGAATATTACCATGTGTACAAGAAATATGCTTATATAATAAATATAATATTACAATTATTTTGCTAAATCGATTATTTTAATTATATTTGAGACGATTATAATGTAACTAATGAATGAGATTTGAGGACAAAATGAGAAATAAGATGTTTATTCGTATTTAAAATTTGTCTCAAAATAATGACTGTATTATACATTCAAATTTATTATAATGTGAAAATGGAGCATATATATTTCCGAACACCTTTTTTTGAGTGGTTTTGTCAAGATAAAATAAACATTTAAATCTCTTTTCTTGAAATGTATTTTAAATAGTATAATTAAATCAAATTCTGAACATTGTTTTTAAATAATGCTAAATTAATTGATAATATATTATGTTTTAGACGTTGGTTAATTTCGTAGAAACTGGCGATATGCAGAGCGTTAGCTTATGCCGGTAAATAGTTTAATATCTTTAGGAACGCAGAGGATATAACAACGTCCTTGTCAAAAGGTCCACTCACCCGAAAAGGCTGGCTGTCGGAGCTCATCCTGGAGTCTGTAGAACTCAGAGAGTTCACGTCCAGAGCAGAGCGGCGTGTCAACTTGAACGGTGCTATCGAACAGCGAGTAATCGACTTCGTAGCCTTGACGCTCCTTTGAATAGCTGACCATAGGTTCGAATCTGTGGCCCCAGAGTATCTCCTGAGGCAGATATGAGGATCTGGCCTGGGTCGTCTGGCCCGTAGACTCGATAGTGCCTTCAAGAATGACGACGAGTTCAAAGCGCTCGGCAAGCATGTCCTCAGCGGACATACAGTAAAAGGGTGACTGGGCATTAATCCTATGCACGACAGTGCATGGCCAAATAAAGAAGAGGCTCTCCGGTTGTCCGTCCGCACCAACTGCGAGCTCTTGCTGGTTGTGGTGAAGCACTTCACCCTCTTTAGTTGTGCGTGATTTTATGAGCTGTGCCCTGATGTGCGCCCCAATGATATGGCTCTTGCGCATATCACCTACTCGGAACATGATACAAAGCTCGCCATCTCGCTGGCAAATCACCGCCTGTCTCGAGAAAAGGAGGGTCTGAGTTCGCTGCTTAGGTCGTGACATCTTGGCAAAGACGATGCCCACCATGAAGGCTTGTATCATAACTCCGGAAATACTTTGGATGCACATGACGAAAATAGCCTCGGGGCATTCTTCGGTGGTTGAGCGACCCCCATAACCGATTGTATGTTGGGTCTCGATAGAGAAGAGAAAGCAACTGGTGAAGCCGTGGAGCTCATTGACACAGGGTCGCCAAGCATCGGTCTGATGGCGGGGTTCAAAATCACCGTGGGTGAATGCGATAAGCCACCAAATTCCCGCGAAAGCGAGCCACGAGAGGAGGAAACTCAGAGCGAAGCAAAGTAGCGTCCAGCGCCATTGAGTGTCCACCAGGGTCGTAAAGATGTCCTGGAGAAAACGCAGGGAGCGTCGAGAAATGCGCGATTGAAGAACGTTACATTCGCCACTTTTCAGAACCGCGCGACGTCGTAGTTTGCGTACCGGACCAGCCCGAAATCTGCTCCTAAGGACAAACCACATCCTGTTTTTATTCTTCTCATAAACAATTTCATTTCTTGTTGTCTCCTCTTGAAATTCGATTATCGTGATATCAGGTATACATTATCATTCTCCAGAGGAGAGAACTTGGTTTTCCCAAGTAGTTTTATTACAATCATTATTATCTATCTTCAATTTTATTTCCCATCCATAATAATGACCAAAATAGGCATATGAAAAATTCATTCCAAATAAGTTTTAAAACTAATACAAATTATAACGTATTAATGAATAAATTGTTTACGACTAATTAAGCCTGTGTCTTCTTAATCAACCATAATAATGTACGAAGAATTTAATTAAAGATCGTATTGGTAGCTTACTTTACGACAAATTTTATTAGAAATACGTGGATCAAAGCATCAATAATAACAAACAAACAAAATGAAAAAAGAAGAAAGAAAAAAGAAAAAAGAAAATGAAAGCAAATTCTCAGTTTGACATATTACGCTAATGTGCGAAATGTAAATATAAATACGTATGTATGCATTTATGTAATCTATTGTTGGTACGAAATGTCAGTGCTTTACGATATCAGTATATTAATAATTTAAAAGCAACATTTCAAAGTAATACGTCAATAGGATCACGTAACTGATGAGAAAACGAGCGTTTGCAAATCTGAAAGTAAAACGAAAAGAAAAACAAAACAAAACAAAAAAAAAATAATAAAGGAATAAGAAGAACTAATATCTTGAAGAGGGAAAAGGTGTTTCTCGTAGGCAATCGCCACCGAGGATAGCTCGTGTGCTTATAATACCTGCTCCTGAAAGGCAGTCTGGCGGTTTTTGCAGCCTCGAGAATGATCGGCGGATTGAGGACCCAAGTTGGAAGTAGCGTTAGCCGGTCCCCATCACCGAGTTCCGGTGACGAGGACTGACCAGCCTCGGAGACTAGCCGTTGGCTCATCACGGGCGCGACATCCAGAGCTCAATTTCGGCCAATAGCGTCCGTGGATGTTTCCCTCACGCTTGCGTCATCGCCGTTATCAGTGGAATATTCGACCTTCGATCCTCGTTGCGATACGTTCAGGGGCTGCGCGACAGTTTGAGTGTTCAGACTCCACGATAGATCTCCCTCTTATATGAATCGACGAGAGCGGCGATTGCGGCGGCGTCTAAACTGCCACGGCGCTCCACTTATCACCTCGACGTTTGCTCTGGCTATTTGCGCGGAGATGTCCTTTCGACGGCCGCACATCGGACTCCCCCAAGGCGACGTCCTACGCACGAGTGGGAGCACGAGAATCGCTCTCGAACCAGTGACGCGCGCCGCACGCCAACTTATCAGCACTTTGTCAGCATCACCTTATCTACGACTCTTTACCTTTATCATTCGGCTCAAGATCGCTGGCTGCGCGAAAGATTTATCCTGCACGCGCCCATGTACATACAAATGCAAACACAAATGGAAACTAAGACTTTCGCGTACACGGGCAGAGAAATTAATCCTTGGCGTATTGGATGCGAAAGAGCTCGTGAATTTTCGTAAATTGACGACGCGAAGCCCCGAGCGACGTCCGCAATAATAAGGTAAACAAAGTTTCGTCGTCTTCCACGCCGTAAATCACTTGATAAGGTACAACTACGTAGTATAAATAGTCCGCGTCAGGCATTGAAATTCCGTAGCGATGGATGGAGCGACGCGTTGAGCGCCATGCTCGGAGTTTTGAAGACCCTATCGGAGCAGAAAGAATTTGCTATTTATGAGATTCACTTTGCTAATGAAGGCGCAGTCGTCTCCCAGTGTGCTCGACGCTTTCGGTTTGACGGCAGCCCCTTCCTTTCTATCAGCACAAACGAGCCTTTGCATCGTCCTCGATGGCAACAGACGTGCCGCGAACTTCACCGATGCGCCCTGAACGGATTTTACATCGCGGATTGACTTCGTCAGTGGAGAGGGATCTCGAGTAGCAATGATAAGCTGGCTCCCCCCCCCACCCCAATCCGCCTTATGTTTATTCAATTTCGTTCGCACAACCGACGGAGCTACATTATCAACCAGCCGCGGCCGCTCGTCAAATATCGCCTGTATCTCCGCTTATCTATCCTTCCCATTATGACGATCCGAGCTGCTGCTATTGCACCTTCGCTCCCATATATCTTTCCCCTTTGAAAAGATCTTACATCCTGGCCCCGCACTTCGATCCTCTCTCTTTCGACTTACGCAAGGTTTCTGCAACGATCGAACATCGTCGAGTAGTACCTTCAAGGGTCGACTCAACCACCCTTTATGCTCGATGGTTCAGCTCAATTAGATGGAAACTCAGGTCTATTAGCGCATTATAAAATTGATAACGATTTAAATTATCACTAATGCACCTGTGAATTGAACATTAATTGGCTGAGAGATCGTAAGGTGAAATCGAGCAAACTGATATCGGTTTTTTGTCCACTTCGACGGGAGCAGATATTTTTTTCGAAATGCTAGCCCATCCGTGTGCCTCTCTAATTGTCAAAGATCATATTGCTTCGAGATAAGTCGCGCATATCGGCCTTGAGCGAGCGGTGCTCAAATTTCGATGGCGAGCTTTGAAAAGCTTACCAACCGGTCGCTCTTCCTTATCGCGTGTCTATGTTTGCCACATGCGTGCGATGAAAGGATGCGGCGGCCATTGGCGACTGCGCGCTCAAGGAGAAGCGGCCAAAGCGCGTTACTTGAATTAAACGAGTCGCGTGCAAATCGTGCTCGCGTTTGCCAACATTTATTGACATTCAGGGCGCGGTGTCAAAGGAAGGGGCTTCCGAGATTCTTGTTGAATGTATACACACTCGTGGCGAGATTGGTGACCTCGTGTTGGCTTTTCAGGGACGAACGTCGCAACGACCTTCGATAGTGAGATTAGTCGGGTCGAGTTACTTTCTTCCATGGAGAACGGGTGACTCATAGCGCGAGGGGTTTAATTTATTATCATTTTCTGGACTCGGATCTACGTTTCCTTCCTGTCTGCTGTTCGCCTCCCGTCGGTCGGCACATGGGACGACAAAGCACTCAGTCATTAGTTTATAGCCAATTAGAAACGAGACTTTATTATATATATATATATATATATATATATATATATATATATATTTATTTATTTATTTATTTATTTATTGCACGTTTAATGTTGTCGTATACAATACTGATTTTTATGTAAAGTCAAGCTAAAATAAAATATACAATTTCTCATTTTGTGTTTTTCTAAGTTTATATTACAATTTATTTTCTTATAAAAAATTTTAGCGTAATGTACTTTTATATTATTAAAATTCATTACCCCTCTTACCGATATAATATCATTATACAACTATAAACTCTTATTTCTCTTGTTATAAAAACTTACGGTTTCTTACAAATTAGTACGTCTATTAGAATTAACAGCAGTGTTTTGTTTTTTAATGCAGAGTTATCATGCTATTATATCCAATGACAAATAATATTACAAATTAACTACTTGTTTTAATAATAGAAAATTAAAAATCGTAAAATTAATAACGGCCTACTATTGTAAATTATCGAATTAATAAAATTATTTTTATATTTCGAAATTTGAAACAAAACGATTAATTTTACTTATCACATTGAAATTTCTATTTTAATATAATCAATAAAAAATACTTTAAATATTTTAATAAATATATATTGTTCGGTATAATAACTAAAGTATCAGCAGTTTAAATTTACATTTGAAATCTTATTAAAATAAATAAAATATTTTATCTCATATAATTTCAATCATTATATGTTATTAAATTGTATGACAATTAATTAAAAATAGTAAAATTAGTTTTTAATTATTCTAATTGGAAATCAATACTTTATTGATCGATTTTTAATTTTTAATTCATTCATTCTTTTGTATTCATTTCAAAGAAATAATTTTCTTTTCCTTCTCTCTCTCTCACTCTCTCACTCTCTCTAAATCCATGTCACTTTTTACATATTAATCTGCATGTATATATGTATAAGTATCTCTATGCACGGATGTATATGTGTGAAGATGATTTGCAATAACCAATTTAATTATCCATAAAATAATTATGACATATTTGTACTTCTCTTCTTCATTGGTTTTCTAATAATTAAAATCTAGCTAATGCCATAACTTTTAACTTAAATTAAAGCACGTATAAATTATTTTAAATATCAAAAACAAATCAGTATACAAAGCCCGTAAGTATACGATTTGTAATATTAAATTATTAATTATTACAAAAAGGTTCTTTATTAAATGTTAGCTGTATAAATTTTGAAAAACTTACTTGAGATTACTTTAAATTGAAATTGACGTGTATGTACTTCTTATAATAATGACTTAATTATAATTGACACACTTAGAAATACTTATAACGATCTTAAATGAATATTGTATTACGCTGAGTGAATAACCATATATAGTACAGTATGTATAGTACAGACAATTTACAAAGGAATAGTTTTTCAGAACTAAGCAAATTTATTGAATTAGTTTAATTGAAATATACATCGAAATTAAACATCATTGTTATACTTCAATCAAACAATTATTTTATGAATATAAGAATATTTCGTTAATACGTTACTCCCATTACAACAGCAGTTATTATAAGGAGGTTAAATCGCGATATAAAAATGGTTGACTTTATTAAATTTTAGATTGAAAGAAAAATAAAATTAATGATTAAGAAGTGAAGATTAAAAATAAAATGCACGAGATATGTATTAAGTAAAATAGATCGTAATATAGATCAATAATTACATTGCTCTATGCTATGACACATATCACTCGTCCTCTAGGAATTGAAAATAATGAAAAATCAACGGATGCACATTAAGATAAATAATTGTTGAGAGGAAGAACCAGAATGGCTTACCTGGTAGAATCTTGACGACCGATACCAACAATACTGCTGCTCTGCGTGCTGATGCGAAGCAACGTAACGTTCCTGGGAACGTTCGGTAGGATGGCGACACCGCTCTTATGAGTCAATAATGGGGATTCTGCTCGAGACAACTCGCATTCTTCTTCCTCGATTGTCCCGGGCAGGCGAAACAGTTTCTGTGTCGTTTGCTCCTCGGCCATTGTCGTCTGCTTATCAGTTCGACATGTTACTTCCGGTCACTGCAACCACCCTGCTCCTCCCTACCTGTCTGAAATTCCGCCGATAACAATTGCCCATATTATTAATGATTCTTTCTTACGATAAGTCGAGTAGTCCCTATTGTAAATTTGACCGATCACAAGGTATCGTAATCGTTCATCGATTACAAATTACCGTAAATGTAATCATTGTTCAATATTAATCTATGCAAAATACAAAAATTTAAGATAGAGATTGATGGGCCGTTCAAATTACATATGCTTCTTTTTCCAATGCTTTTTGTTCTATTTTTATGTTAATGTATATCATAATAAACGTGCGTGATGCGTCATGTCTTATCATATTTATGATTTATTATTTTTAAGATTTATTTTCCACAAGGAAAACCAATTTAATGATTATAGAATTTTTATAAGGCGGTAGTTTAATGTATTTCACATCTTATCGTCGTTGCTTTACAAAGGATTAAGAATGCTGGAGATTGACGGAGAATGCTTAATAAGCGTAGACCGGTAAAAAGAACAGAAAAAAGGCCCCAAACGTCTGTATTTTATTAACGGAGATGGGGAAAGGCCTTTTGCTCAAGCTTCAAAAGCGTCAGAAACACCAAAAGTGAATGACAAAGAATATAATAATTATTTAATTGGAGTGGGCAATTGCATCCGAGAATGTTGCTTGGGTTGCGCCTGGCGGAGCGTGAACGAGAAGCGTAAATATCGACTACACATATTACCTTGTTGTCAATGACGCAGTCGCCAGAGTTCCTCGTCTTGATCGCGATCACAACTCTAAAGGACAGTCGTCACCTCGACGCGTCGCGAACGACTATTGCCGGCGCGTATATTATGGCTCGCCATGCTGGAGAACTTCGAGGCAGTGGGGCGCTTGCGAAAACGGGGGAACGCACCTGAGCGCCTCTCACTTTAGGGGCCCTTTCGGTCCTGCAGTATCGAGGGTAACGGTGGGGAAAGCGCACTGTACAGTGAAAAACGTTTCCAGTATGAATGGCGAAGAAGGATTTGGGCCGTTTCCTAATTTTACGGAGCCTGCTTTATTTTTAAATTGACTTCACTTATCGCCATACGTAGTGTTGTTACAACGTTTCAGGAAATTCTTCTCCTCTGTTTTCTCTATTTATTATTTATCTATTTTAATGAGACTGCTGCTCTTTAATGATTCGATTTCCTCATCCCCTTACTTCCTGGAGATGTAGTTCATGTTTACGCAACGGACGCCAAACCGAAAAGGTATTAGCTTAGGGGGACAAGCGATTGCCGGCATTTAGTGATGTGGAAGGGGGAAAGGGCTTATGGTGAGGGAGGAGTCAACAAGAATCTGAGAATTAAAATAATTAATGTTAAGTGAGCTAAATGATGATGAGTGGCTCCCGCATAATTGTCGTAATGTAAGCGAATGCGACCTTAACCTTTTTTCTGAATTAACGGAGAAGTCATCCTGTGACCTTGAACTTTCAGATCTTGGATTTAAAAGTTGCGAGTTTTGTCTAAGATTTCCTGAACGTTCAATCAATCAATAATTAATTTGGGTTTTGTGACTTTATAAATATGTTTCTTTTTTTTTTTAACATTAAACTTGCTGTTCTAAGACATTTTAGAAAAATATTATAACGGAGTGATTCAAATATTTAATATCACAAAATATCAATTGATAAGACAATTTCTTAATAATTTTTTTATTGAAAAAATGAACTTTTTTTATAGCTTTCCTCTTTTTTCCATGTATCAGAATACGAAGTATATATTAATTGAAAGACTGTTCATTCCAGAATTGTATTTGGCATTAATATACTAAAACGTCGTACTAATGATATAAACTGAAATTCAGACATTATCTCCAGTCTTATAAGTTAAAAATTTGTGTATACTTTTTCCTAAATAAAGGACAGTATATAATTAAAAAATTTAATTATATTTGTTTTTTACCTTGTAAGTACTACTTTCATGTATTGAATACATTAACCATGAAATCGTACGATGTAATAATATGTATATATATTATTAACCATAGTGCAACCTCACTTAGTGGCAAAAGCAAATAAATTACGCAAAATAATAAGCATTGTACGTTATCGCAAATGTATTTGATCGTTTTCTGCCGCAAGCCTCACGTCATTTAGACATTATACGTGTAATTTCATGCGCGTACGTACATGATAGCAGAGTTTGCGAGGTTGCGTAGGCGACGTATCGACGAACTATAGCAATTATGTACACATGTATTATTATACATTACACGAGGGCTCTTGGTGCAGACTCCTCGTGTTAAGCCATTGCGCGCTTAAATCAGGCCGGCGTCGAGACAGCGACCTCGAGTCCAATTATTGATCTTCGCCCCTGCCGCGCTCAGTCGGAGTCTGATTACCGTAACCAGTTCCGCAGCACGACTCAATTACATGTGGCGTAGACCAGTTACACTTTTGAGCCAAGAACACAAAGAGAGTAAGAATGCAGGAATTTTTCCCATCCATACTCTTGGAAAACGTTCGTTAACTTTAACAACCCGAGTATCTCAATTTTCTAATCGTATACCGTTTACATGTACAAATTGCATATTGGCAGTTTTAGATAAGTACGTATTTAGATAAGAACGAGTAGAAATTAACCATGGTATAAGAATAAATACTTTGTCATGGTCAAGAAAGTTTTTATTAATTCTGTCTCGAGAATTGCCGTTCTTTTACAAAATGAGAGCTTCTATATTATACATTGTTTAAAAGCATTTTTCACACTTGCCCATTAACATTATTAAATTCGTTATAAAATTTACGTTCAATTTATCTATTGTTGCGATCATATAATTCTGACGAAATAAGGAAATCATTGCTACGATTTATTATTTCCCTTTATGAGCTGTCTTTTGCGCCTTATCTCGTTAATAACCATATCTTTCTACGCGCATTTGAATTTTGAAAAATTGTTTATTGAAATATTGATAAATAATTTTATTTTATTGACGTTGTTGATTTTCGATTACCACGAGGCTGTTCAATACTTCGCACTATAATTATTAATCGATTATAAAGATTAATGAATTTTAAGTGATTATTTTTAATTATTATGAAATGTTTCCTCGAAAGAAGTTAATCATCTAAGAATCGTGGATAGATTTTTATTTAGAGCAGTGCATACTTGTACGCCACAAGAGAATCGGCAGACTTCATAATATTAATATTTAATTACCATTCAAATCATTGTACGAAAGTAATCATTTTATATGTAAAATTTGATTCTTATTCTGAAATTACCAGCAAGTGAAAAGAAACCCGGAAAATATGTATTAGAAATGGTGAAAAAAGGACATCGGGAGTCTGATTGTATATGCGCTGTTGTAATCACAGTAATCTGATACGTGCATAACTAGCTCATGAAAATCCAGCCTTCAGAACCTTCACGTTTCGACGCTTGGCTAAACAACAACGACACATCCTCGTCACCTTATTCGATGAAAGTGAGGCTCTTTCGAGGATGCTGCTGGAAAATGCCTTAGCTGCGGGATTTAGCCAGCACACTCTGTAAAATTGATGTCACTCGCTAGCTCGAGTTTTCCTGAACACAATGCACATTAAGTAACATTGAACTTTAATATGCTTTAATGCTTGCATTATTAATGATGAAAAAGATTGTATTTCTTATTGCATGCTTCTTCTCACAGACCTTGACATGTTCTTATCCTCACAAGATTTGAATATCTTAATTTTTTATATCAGGAAAAATGGAGACAAATCTGCTTAGTTAAATGAAACAATAGAAGTAGTGAAGTTAAGGATTTCAAGATAGTGTTTAGAGGCGTGTTTTTAAAAGAGAAATTTTGAGGAAAAAAATAGTCAAGCCGACGAAGCTGATTACGGAGTGTCGCTCCTGTCATGTCATCAGAGCGAGTTTAGTGTGGCGGGAAGTGCTCATTATCACACTGCTCAATTGTTTAATCTCATTCTTGTTATTTTGTCCTTTTCTTTGGCATCTGTATTTAGGTCGGTATTGTAATCGCTTGCACAGCTTCGCATGTCTGCGGGATATCTTACCGGTACTATAGCTACCAATCATATGTAGACAGTTATGGCTACAGGGTTTGGCTATCATTCTCGAACCGATTTCGATGCACTCCAACCAGCCGGTTTTCATTGGTTTAAAAACCTGTGCGATTCTAATAATAACTATATATATATAAATATACTGAACGATTCAATATATTCGACAATAAAATATATTCGAGTTCAATTTCGCGACATTGAAAGGTCTAAAAAGAGGCAGACTTTTTAAAAGCCACTGATCTAAACAACATTTAAACGAGGAAACATACGATAACTCACCTAAACTTGCTCTTTGGGCCGATCACAATTGGTTTTGTGGGGCTCTTGCAACTCTTTAGACCCTGTCAATTGGAAGCTCGCTTTCTTTGGCAACTCATTCTTGCTTTTACGGTTTTCATTTAAACTTGACCGCCTCGTCGATGGGCCAAAGCAAGCCATCTGGCCCGTTTGCCTGAAAACCAACGTCTTGTTTATCAGGCGATATTTATTAACTACATTTCATTGGCCGTAACCGATATAGATTATTATTCCGGTGCAGATATTGAAAAGAAAGGCACCGTTTAAGATTAATAGTCAAATACGCTTAACAAAATGTAATGTCTAGGTCGTCCAGATTTCCTTCAAGAGCGTGAGATCCAACGGTTCGAAAATAATTCTACATAAGCGCGCGTTCGCGATTCTGCTCACCTTAATTCAAGAGCCGTATGTGATGGTGACTTTTTCATTAAGCCGATGAAGCTTTGGGCATTGCTCGTATTGGTATTACGGGGAATTATGTCCTCGATGCTAACTCGCGTGCCTTCGCGCGATATCCTCCTAGCCGGTTTTCCCTGTAAACTAGAGCGCCGACTGAATCGTAAATTGGCATTAATGCCTTCAAATGTCTTATCATATACGACTGCATTTTCATCAGGATGATTTGTCATCGCATTGTTCTGCAGTGTCTCGTTCTGTTCCTCTTCCTCCTCCTTCTCTTTAGTATTTGGTACTTCCTGCATTGCTTCGATTGGACATTCTGGCGGAATCAATTCCTGCCCTGTCTCCAAAGTCTGTAATAAGATAAGCTTAAATGCTTAGAAATTCAAATCCTAAAATGTTTTCAGGCTTTTAATGACATTGATATTGCAGTTGCTTATATTGTACTAGAAAGTATTAATTAATAAAAGTATTAACTTGGAAACCATAATAAAATTTAGATTGTATGCTCAAATGCGTAGCCTTCAAATTCGAGTATTTGTTAATTCTTAATAGATTGGGCATCCCTTTTTAGTGATACTTAAACCATTCTAACTTTATATTCTAGAGCTTTATGGCCTCGACTAAATTTTAATACACATATCATTTATCTTAAATCAGGGCTAAATTAAAATGATTATTAAAATGGATTTTAAAAAATGCACAGTTAGCAAATATTTAAAAACGAATAAATTTATTAATAACAATAATTCATGGTTAACTTCATATCAGTATTGTTATATATTTAATTTATCTGCGTATCGCAATCAAACTGAATTGATAAAAAATACATTCTCTGTTTTTCGTGTCAGATACTATTGCATAGAAAAATTATTGTTTACCTGTTATTTACTTTAAACCACTAAAATCCTGATTATGTTTAATAGATTTCTTTAAAGAATACATTGAAGACAACATATGATTTTGTACTAGTATTTTTTCAATTTTATCAAACGCTTAGCATATATACAAATAAAAAACATTTTTAAGAATTTCTTTCCAAAATAATGAGGATCGTTGATATAAAATAAGATATTTACTGTTGAGAAATATTTACACTTGAGAAATCTCAAGTGATTAAGAAAGATTATAAAAATCATTTTAGTATTAATGGCTAATCGTGTTGTGAATAAGCGATCATGTGGCCAACGGAATATCGTTGCTTTCTTTCATAAGATTTAACACAAACTTTTTAAAAGCATAATCCAACAACACATTTTTGCCTAGTGCTTCTTCTGTTATCAAACTGCAAATGTAGAAACTTAGTAGTTATTAAAAACTTGGTAATAAAAATTTGATATAAAATTTTTAATGCAATACACATGGCGCCAAAATGATATGAACTTTTATATACGCCCATTAGATTAAAACGCTGCACTCGATAAGTGAATAGTTTACAACAGGTATTTAACGGACCTCGTCGAGAGTGTAAAAAGTAGCGAATTTACGTCGAGATTCAGGTTGACTGGTGCTTCCCCTTCTGGGTGAGTCATCCGGAGCGGTAATCATGACTGGGATGGGAGTCGGTGGCGTTGCAGCGTGAGTATGCATTTGTAAACCACCGGCTGACGAAGCGAAACTCGAGCAAGAGCCCGAAGTCAAGGAACTGCTAGAATCCATCCTGTACTGGGCAAACGTGCCCGAGCTTGTTCGCTCTGTAAATGCAATGGTTCGACTTATACTTTATAAATCTGCCCTTGGTTTATTATTTTCTAAAATATGTTTAACTTAAGGTTTAAGCGGACCTATCGTAAAAATCTATAGCTGTATTAATATTGTTGCAAAGACCTTTTGTGTTGTATCTGTTCTTTATTCGTATATTCATAAAGATATATTCAAACGTTATTCTCAAGAATATTTAGTAAAATGAATAATTCATGATTTTTAATGATGAATGTATGAATGAATATAAAAAAGTGTTGTAGAACCATCTTAATATACCTCCTTTGGCGCGGTGCAATGCTTTAACGTGATCGAGCTCTGCGGCCGAACATAAAGGCGTATCCACCTCGTATGTATTATTAAAAAGTGTGTAATTAACTTCATATTCTCCGATCTCTTTGCGAAACGTGATTATGTGCTCGAATCGGTGGCCCCAGAGAATTTCCGAAGGTAAATATGAACTTCTGGCTTGCGTCGTCATACCCGTCGATTCTATCACACCTGTATATTAAAATATTATTTAGTAGCACAGATATTATTTAAATAAATCGTATTTTATATGAATGAGAATTATTAAGATATATATATGAGAATTAATAAGAATTATTATTAAATATATATTTTCGCTAAATTACATTAATTGTTTATTAATGTAATTTATTTAGCATATATTCCGATTTTTTCTCATCGTTATATGCGCATTAACACATAATAAATCAGTGTATAGCAGTTTAGAATTAATAGTTTGAAGGTCTGATTCGATTGATATTTAAATTAATATTTTTATAGCTACGTAAATAACCGTAAGTATTCAAATATTAGTATACTGATGGAAATTACTCTTGCTTCTTTTATCATTATATGTACAAATTAAACACAAGTCCACTTTTTTCATGCTCTTTTTTTTTTATTAAGGAATAAACACACTGTCGATAATAATCAGCATATGAAGAGCATTTTTTTCTCTCCCGAGCAATACAAGGATAATATATATATACATGTAAAAAAAAGAGCATAATATAAGCGGTGATGTAATGAATTTAGTATTACGAATTGCCAATATTTATATTTTCCTTTAAACTTGACAGCTTTTTGTGTCGTTTTATTGAAATGTTATAAATGCAGATTCATTATATTATATGGGTCACCAATAACACGTAAGTAACCGAAATGCGAATGATAAAGCAATTATGAGCGAAATGCGCTTAGCAATTTTTGATGGAGAACATTGAAATTTCACCTTCGAGGAGAACAATAATTTCGAAGCGCTCTCGTAACATGTCGCTCGCAGAAAGATGATAGAGAGGCGACTGTTGGTTGATTTTGTGAACGATCGTCGTCGGCCAGATGAAGAAAATTTTATCCTCTTCCCCATCACCACCGACTTTCAGTTCCGTTTGGAAGAAAGGCAGAAGCTCACCTTCTCTAGTTACCTGCAAACATTAAAACGTTTCTTACGCTTGTAATTTGAGATAGCAGACTGTTACACATTCAACAAAATTAAATTAAATGTCGAGGGGAAAATTAAAAGCTAGAGTACTGCAAGATTTCGAAATGGACAAGAAAGCAGGACAGATGCCGAGATCCTCGTATGGCCCGGCTTTCCTGCCAATCGGTAGATAATAAATATACAATTGTCGGCATAGTATTGCGATCAGTAGGTCAAGTGGTACCGACTACACTGGTGCGCGAAGTGAAGCAGACAATGATAGTGGCTTAGAGATAAAACGAGGTTTACTTTTCTCTTGATCATTTGTGCCCTGACGTGGGCCTCGATTATGTGGCTCTTGCGCATATCGCCGACACGGAACATGAGGCAGGGCTGGCCATCCCTCTGGCAAATGACGGCGTTCCTCGAGAAAAGGAGGGTCTGCGTGCGCTTCTTTGGACGCGAGAGCTTGGCGAATACGATGCCCACCATAAATGCTTGTAGAATTACTCCAGTCATCGACTGGATGCACATTATGAATATCGCCTCTGGACACTCCTCCGTTGTATGCTTTGAGCCGTATCTGAGCGCACATACATTTTGTCACTTAGGTTTTATTCCCCATTTTATATTAACACAGATTGTGAGAGAGGTTTCGTTCAATTAGCGAGCGCTCAGTTTTCAAAGCGTCATCGCTTAAGAAAAACCGCTGCCTCGTATTATCAATACACATTGATATACAAACTTTTATCACTATCTCGTGAAAAATGACGATTAATGACCCTTACAATTAAATTTTTTTATCTCTTTAATGAATCATTCATGCTTTATAACGTCATTTATAATTATTTGAAATATAATAATTTGAAAATGTCATTTATAATAGTTCGCTAATTTTTTAATAATTGACAAAACATTGGGTACGTGTTAATAGAAGATTGATTACGAATATGCCGAATATGTTTGTTAGAAAATTAGCGCTTATTAATAATAACAATAATCTAAATGATAAGGTATGGAATTTAGTTTAAATCTGCATGCTTGTTTATCGTTACTTACTTTAAAAATTCCTCACGATTGTTAATTTTAATTTGTGCTTTGATAAAATATTGCGTATTTTAATGAAATGATAGGATCAATTGTATAATGAAATTGAAGAAACAAATTTATTGCTAGAGCGATTGGGGGATAAAAATTGAAGTATTATATTAATTGAAAACTCACCCTATGGTGTGCTGCGTCTCGACTGAAAAGAGGAAGCAGCTGGTGAACCCGTGAATATCTTCGACACAAGGAGTAAAAGATATATTGGAGCTGGGGTCTGTGATCTTTGGATCGAGGTCTCCGTGTGCGTAAACGACCAGCCACCAAACGAGGGCAAAGCCCAGCCAAGATAATAGGAATGTCATGGCAAACACTAAGAGCGTCCAACGCCATTGGGCGTCGACCAGAGTTGTGAAGATATCCTGAAATATCGAATGAACGTATCACTGCATTATGAACATTTGCAATCCTGTTATCTCAATATTCCTGCAATATTAATAAATTATGATATTAACAATATCTTCTATAATATTTAAGAATAATTACTTCCTTATTTTATTTTCATTTCAGCTGTTGATTTGCTTCTCAAGCAATGTTTTATTTAATAATCTGAAACTGTATGATTTTAAGTGAAACGTATAATTTTTTAGTTTAATTTAATTAGGCATCAATTATTACTACGTGAACAGATTAAGAAACACTAAGTTTCTTCTACAAACTCTTTCAATACCTCCTTTAATAAGCAAAATGTTTAAATATCAACGAGCACTAATACTTTATACATATTTAACCTTTTTTTGTATATTTTGCCAATTTTTGTATATAATTGAATTTTATCTAAACATTGTAATGAATTTTATTCATTTGACTTTTATCTAATAATATTGTATTTAGAAACGAACGCATTATTAATATAATTTTCATTATTATTATAAAGAATGCCAAGAATTAAAATAAAATTTTTTTTCAATTTATTCACGACAATTTTGAGAAAAAATTTGATATAAGCATAAATTATTTTAAATAACTTTAATTTTTATTACACATCCGGAATGCTTCGTGCGTAGTTCTAAATTAACAATGTAAGCCTATACATACATCAAGTGTATAAGATTAAATGACCAAGTGTTATTATTTGAACATCATAGTTCTCAAATAGTCTGATCTATTACGCGGTCGGTATGTTTCAGTTCATACGTATGTATTGCATATAAATAGATAGATTTGCTAGTAGTCAATGTTATTTAATAATCTGTTATAACATTCATGCCATCAGTCTTCTTATAATATTAATAGATCTATATATTTTAACTTCATTGTCATGTTTATTATTAATAATTATAGAATTCCAGTATTCCCGTTCGAGAATTGTTATATGAGATACATGAAAAAATAGAGAGAGAAAGAAAAAAAATTAGTTCACATAATTTACGAAATTCTTGATTTCTAGCGAACCTTAATCGTTTAAAGATAATTTCCGTGCAAGTAGCACGAACAACGTGGTGCAATTAGCATCGACGTGATAGCATAACGCGAATTATCATCGAGACATAATACAAATTGCCTGTTTTGCAGATAAATATTAATACCTGTAGATAACGGCGCCGACGCTTAGCGACGTTGCCTTGCACGACATTGCAGTCGCCGTGTTTGAAAACAACTCGCTTTCTTACTCTCCTCGAGCTAAACCTCGTTTGCCTGTATCTGGAAATCATCAAGAGAACGTTGATTAAGAGATCCAAAGGACTAAAGGGGCGGTGATGAGCTGGAATCCGGATACCGGAGATTCGCGCGACAGCTCAAGGCAATTCCCTTGACTAAGAAAACGCCGTTTATCAGGCGAGAGGCCATTTAAATATGATTCCGCGAGCGTAACAAGTCTGCCAAAATTACGAATTGGATTTTTAATGCGCGACGACGTATCCTCTCGCGCTTTAAGCAGCCATTAATATTCTCCTATTATTATATATTTCAAAACAATCCTCGATTTTGAAAACACACGAAAGCCGTCTAATGGAAGGAGGCAAGAACGCGGGCGGCAAACCAAGTGTTCGGCGGAGCGCCAGGCGGTGATGCGTGGCGATCCCTAGGTCACGGTCGCTGGGCCTTCCCGACTTTTTCCGAGGCCTTTCTCCGCGCGATGGAACGGCAACGCCTAGGCCCGAAATAACTCTCTTTAAGGTAGGTAGCGCCGCTTACGCGCGCATTCCGCATGATAAAACGGAGCGTCGGGTCGCTGCAAGAAATCTTTGTCTTTATCGTCGAGATCTTGAGTTGCGTGTGCAGAGAGAAGCCAAGCATTGAGTTGGGTTGGGTGGGGTGGGATGATGAGATTGTATTTTTAAAGTGTCGAGGAAATCCAGTTTCTGTTCGCCCAAAGCAAAAAGCAAGCAAGAGGTAGTTGACTCTTGCATACTTCTGACACTCCTCATGCCACGCGACTTCTCCCGACGATGTTGCCTTCCCCACGAGCATAGACACTTGGGAAATCGCCCTGCGCAGACCCGAGAACGCAATGCTCGTTTCGCTGAGGTACTGCTGCATCTCCGGGTCACTCATTGTAACGAGGCGCGCACACGATGTTAGTACGTAACGTCGATCGCAGCCGACGAGGAGGCACTAAGCCGACCGCCACGACCGTCGTCATCGAGCTCCCGACCGTCTCCTCTTGGATCCGGGCCATCGTCGCGGCGAGTAGCCAAGGCCAGAAGCTCTCGCCCGTGGCGAGGGATATTATCGATAAAGGCCGCTGATAAACAAGAGCGCGTTCGAGGAAAGGAGAAGTCCATGACTACCCTATTTTCGTGATGTCCCAACCGTGACTTGGCTATTCCAGATTCATGTATAAATATCCGAGGAAGCTCACCTGTTCAGTAGGGGCCCGGACTCGGCCCTGAAGCTGATCCTGCTCGAGTTGCGCCGATAACCGAATATACCCGAGGGATTGCGGAGCCGCGAGGCCGGTGCCAGCGTCTCCTCTTCCGGAGTCCAAGGCGTCGTGCCCGAGCTCGAGACCCGCTCCAGTTGCCCGGTCGAAGAATCGTTCGCACTTGAGGACGAGCGATGGAGCCGAACGTCTGAGACCCCGGGCGGACGCATCCTCCCACGATCAGGCCCTTAGATCGGACCTGCATCCTCGGCCACCTTTTCGAGGGGCCGATCGCTGAGCACTGAGGAAACGAGCAACAACCCTTAAGCAGTTACATTGTGGTAACTGTCTTTGCTAAGGCTATGATATCGAGCACGGAGTTTGATTTTTGAACAATATTTTCCAATTGACGATTCATCTACTAAATGTATAGTATACTAAATGTATTTGCAAGTAAATTAAAGGGATGATTGAGACAAAAATTATTTTTTATACAATATAGCTATTTAAAAAGTCTTTGACGATCTATTGTGTTTTTTGGATTGATGAGTCTATCGTATGTAAATATCCCAGGAATCCGAATTTTAAAACTTGTCATAATTTGATTATTAGGTGGAAATATCATACAAACGTATTTACAAACTTTAAAATTCTTTTAAAATTGATAATTATATTTCTCATTTGTCAAATACGACGTTTAAAATATTATTATTTATATATATATATGGATGTATTTGTTGGATAGAAGGCAGACGACGGCTTCTGGTATTATAAAATTTGTGTTCTATTTTCGACCGTTGCTACTCTGTAATACTATATTTATATTTTTTCCCTGCATAAATTTATAATTTACGACATCAGAAATCTAATTTAAATACGTAATGTTTAATTACAAAAATCAATAGTCGTATGCACTCATTGTTATGTAAATTATAATACAACTAAAAAATCGAATATTATTTTATTAATCAAATATAAATGAATTTAAAAATCAATATCTTACAATATTGAATTGCATTACACGGATGTTAAATTTCTTTTGTTTTCTCAGAGCATATTTGAAAAAAATATATGTTTATATATATATATATATATATATATATATATATTTTAAATATTCGCGATGTACGCACAAGTAAGTATTCTTGAGACCAATATACATTTTATTTTCCCAAATATTTATGTCAGTAAACATTGCGAATTTCATTTTAATAAAATAATTTCAAATTGAATTGCTTAGTTTCTATAGCAATATTGTATTTCAAAAACTAATATAGACTTTATCATCTGTCATAAAATATGTTAATTTCAATAAAAATAGTACAGTAAATAGTTTTTTATTGTTATAAAAACTATTAAATGAAATTTTAAAAATTAATAAAACAATAAATAAGAAATTTGGAACAGTAATTGTTCTAGAAAAAGAGCTTTAATTCAACTATATAATTGTAGATATATTTGAAAACCAATTTTTTAATGTAGTGGTAATGTTGGAAGAAGGTTATATTTAAATTCTACTAGACATGACTAACAGCATTACAGATATTTCACTACATTCGATAACACAAACATTTTTTCGTATTTACATTCATGTCATAAGAAAAAATGATTGTTTTGAATGATTAAAATTATATTAAAGCTTAAAGCTGTAGGGTGCGCAGATCTGTTACGTCGTTAGTAAAATGTCATTAAGTTGCTGCAATGGATTGAAATTTTACTTTTGAAAGTGTAAATCACTGATGTCAGTTCAGCTAACGGGAATGGAATTAATTTCAGCTCCCAGTTCCCGACGTTATTTCGATCCCTGAAATATTGTAAATGTAAAGAGAATAAAGCTAATTGAGTGTCGGTATTTCATATAAGAAAGCCTGAATAACTGATAATTAAGAATTAATTTGTTATAAAATAATTATATTTAAAATGTTGATGTAATAATTTATCTCCTTGAATAATGTAATATTTCTTAAGCTTTTAGCATAAAAATAGCAAATTATTTATATTCCTATGACGATAGCAATAATTAATGCTTTATCTAGCGAAAAAGGGCAAGATCAAGGAATAAAGAGAGCGAGTGGCTGAATGAGTTAGCGAGTGAGTGAGGGAATGAATGAGCGAGTGTGGGAATGAATGAACAAGCGAGTGTTAATACGCTATCAAAAAATAAGGCTGTAGAGTGAGATTTTAAATTATTGACTAGAATATAACACAATTGAGTATTGTACGTAATATGAAGCCAAGTTAAGCCGTGATGTACGTGTATCATAATGATAGCCAGATAAAGTATGAGAAAAAGAGAGAGAGAGAGATACAAATTGCCCAATGAAGCTAAAAGCGCTTATATCTTAACTCAAATTTTTAAAGAGAGCGAAGAGGAACGCTCTGACGTTAAGGCTAAGTGTAAAAATAAAATAACGAACGATCGAGGGCTCTGGAGTATAAGTTTCTGTCGTCTGGGGCCGCACATCCGTCCATACGTCGACATAAGCGATGGGAAATTGCACCTCCTCACTTAACGTGAAGAGTCAGCCGAAGGCGTTATTTATAGCAATAAATGCTCGGCTAATCGCAACACAATGGAAATTAAAATCAGGTTAAAGAAGAAGACTCACAAAGCAATTTTTTTGTCGGTGGAAACAGGCGTCATTAGGGTATAATGAGCGCGCGGTGCTTGCTTGCTGAATACACTGACGATGACTTGTTAAGCAAACAGTCTTTCGTTATCGTGTCCGTGGCTTATGGGAGAGGCAAGCAGGCAGGCAGACAGGCACTAGCAGATGTAGGCCCGAGGTACGAGCCCCGTCCGGTCGCCGCGCACCGACTACCACTACCGTTCCATTCTTTATCACACCAGCCCGTACTACCAAGTGTGCATTAAAGACCAAGGAGGAAAGCCGTCGGCTCCGAGGCGTGAGTCGCTATCGGGCCCCGAGCACCGCGCAACCGATAAGCCTTGGCGAGGCGTTGCGCCGCCGCCGCCGCCGCCGCCTACCGCAGGAAACGCGCGCCTGCCGCCGAGATCCCATTATGCAACACGACGACGACGACGACGACTCTGGTTCGCCTTGGTCAGCGCATCCTTGTTTTCCTGGGCCCTGCTATGTCGCTTTATGGTACCGGCCGCTGCGAAAATAGCACGACCAACAGCTCCTCTTTACTGGTCTCGCACTCCTTTTTGACTGGCGATTGGGCGCCAGCCGAGTCGAGGCCCTGCGTTTAAAGTCGCGCTTTCGTTTGGCGGCTTGAACCTCGCGGACAGAAACGCCGGTGCAAAAATACCTATGGAGGTGCGCTGAGCCCACGTGTCACATCTTCCTCGCGCGACCGCGAAGCCTATGCGCACGCGCGCCCGTACGTTCTAAAGTATTATCGGCCGTGAGGGAATGAGGGGGACTGAGACGAGATGGTGTCGTTGGAGGGGGTAGAGAATCAGACGAGCCGCCCAACCACTTAAATTCTTTCCTTTTTTTTATAAAACTATTTTTTACATATCCCACTGCATGTCGCGTACATTAAATAAAATGCTATATTTATATATATACATATATATACATCTATAGATTGAGGAAAATCAAGTCCTTCCTTATTTGTTTACTGCAAGGTCAGCCACATGAATCTGCACTTACTGCAATCATAGAAAATGAACGTCACACAGACTGTTTGTCTATTTTCACTATTTATATTTCTAACATTTACATTGGTATCTACATTCGTACCTGCGCAAAATTTTTCAATTTCTTTATTGTTTTTGTTGTAAAATCTTTAACATTTTCTTACATTACTTCACAATCTTACGAACCTTCAATTCCGATATTAAGAATGCTCTCATATTAGGATCTTGAACTTTTTCCATGATTACTTTTTGAACATCGTCCGAACTATGCTTGAGTATAGAGCTCAGCTTTTCAGCATATTCGATCCATACACAGTTAGCACATCCAGACATACAGCAATTTGTTGGTACTGTAATATCATTTAGCAACAGTGCTTTTGTAATTTTAGCATCCTTGTCAGAATGCTTCTTTTTATTTTTGTCTTTTGAATTGGAATTTGAATCATTATGACTTTCGCCATCTGGAAATTTTGACATAAATCTAGATCCATTATCCTGAAATTTAAATCTCTTTGGAAAAATACACCATGACCAATTTAACTTTATCATTACTTTAACTTCCATTCGCATACATTTCAAATAATGTTGAAATTAACTGCAAAACTTGAGAGACATCTGCAAAAATTATACCAACGTTACACAATACACCAAGAATAAAAACAAAATTAACAATACTTATCTACAGATTTCTAAATATTTATTATACAAGATTAACTGCATTTATTTAATTTATCATTGTTCATTTATACGAGATAATTGATATAGATAAATCACTCTCATTATAATGTCGCTTCTCTGATAAAACAATAAATGTAATTATGAAAGTGCTTTTTAAGTACAATCACGATAAAAATAACCAAGCGAATATCTATCGCACTTAATTAACTAACCTAATGCATTTACCTCTTTCAATTTCATATATTTGAATGCTGAATAATTTCGTTGCATATTAAAGCGGACACATTACAGAAACAACCTAATCTTATAATACACAGTTTCTAGCAATTTAATCATTCTTATCTTGACAGTACATGATGCTCCAAACAGCTCTTAACTCTTAATCGCACGATGTGCTACACTGATTAATGATTATATACTGTTTGCATGATGTTGTAAGTTCTTTATTTATGTAACTGCGCGTGGAGCAGAGCGCGGCACAATTTTCAATCTTTGGCTTGCAACATAATCAGTTGGGTGTGAAAAAATAAGCACGTGCAGCCTTTAAAAAAAGAAAACCAATGTCAATGCATTAGTAGCATTGACTAAAGATGGGACGTAAGATTCCTGGAAAGAAGCATAAAGGAGTTAAAAATCCATACAAACAAAGAGCTAAGCGATTGTCAGAGTGAGTGGAGATTAAAAGTGATTTATTCATCTTTTAGGTTATATCTCCGCTTATCTTCAATTACTTATTATTTTTAGATTAAAAATCAATGATCCACCGAATAATACAGACGATCAAGATATTCCTAAAAGCTTGTTGCGCGTAATTAAACTTAAGAATGATGTAAGAAACAAAAGTAGAGTAGTAAAGAAAAAGAAGAAAAATAACGCAAATCTTATTGCTATTGGTGGTGATTATAATAAACAACTACCTTACAATAAAGGAAAGCCAGATAAAGCTGTGCCAGTTTTTAATCAAAAACCACATGAAAATCTACATCAGTTTTGGAACAGAGTGAATACGGAAACCAAAGCGTTTATAAAGGAAACTGAATTTGAATCAAAGTATAATGTTGAAGTAAAGCGTAATTTTACAACCGGTAAAATAGAAGCTATTGAGAAGAAGCCGAAAGAGAGATTTACAGAACTTGAGAAATTTAAAACCAAACACAAAAATATAAGCAAAAAAAAGAAGACTGTCGATGATTCAAGTAAATTAACAAAATCTCAAAAGAGAAAGCAGAAGCTTTTAAAAAAGAAGCAAGAAAAATATGAAGATTATGTAAGTGATTTTAAATCGTTCAAAGATAAAATTGAATTTGGAGATATTGTACATGCTCCACCCGAATTGAAGGTACGACCCAGAAATTCGAAAGAAATTGATAAGGTAAATTTATCATTTATTTTGTAAAGATAAACATTTATTTATTACGATTTGTTGTAACAATTATATTTTTTGTAGGTAAAAAATAAAAATTTATTATTACATTCAATTTTACGGGATGAGAAATCTTTAGAAAGCAAGAATACACAAATATTAAATAAAACGGGAAAACGAAAAGATCTACCGATTGGAGAGCGACGTCAAATAGAGAAACAGCAGAGTGACATTGTCGCTGCGTATAGATTATTGAAAGTAAAGCAATCTTTGCAATCAACAATCTCTTAATAAGGTTCTAATGTTATTAAATAATTTTTTTATTCAACACCTATGTAGATCTAGAATATAAATTATATTATTCTTATATAAATAATGTAATTATTATTATAAACTTTATGAAACAATAATTAATAACAAGTTATCCTGTAGTCCATACAAATGGTTCCAGCCTCTCATTCAATGGTAATAGATTATTTAATGATTCTAGTCTTTCTAAAGTCTGGTTTAATTGGGTATGACAATTAGTGAGTTGTTGACTAAGATCCTGAACTCGATTGAGTTGCTCGGCAAATTCAGCAAATTTTTTTTGCCTCTCTATAGCCAAATTTAGAATTTTATTAAATTCACAATCAATATTTGTACATAGGGAATTTTGTTCGGTTGCAATCATTTGTGCACTATTATTAAGATGATGTTGATATCTTGCACATAGATTATAGAGTCCAATTGGATCAAGCCTTTCTAAGACTTCTGGATCCCGTACTCTAGGAGGTAAATTCAGAGTTCCTCGCATAATTGGTAGAAACATTGGAATATTCTGGAGTTTTATTAAATCTGGATCTTTATCGGGAGTAGGATTGGAAACACCAGGTTTCACAACTACTATATCATGTATTTTGTCGGAGGATGATTTATTCTGACCAATATTAATACTTGATTTTCGTTTTGTCGTTTCTTGACCAAGACTTTTTCCTCTACTCAATTGCGATTGCTTATTAGTCATTTTGGGAGAATCTCCTATTGGCCTATTAACAGTATACGATATATATGGTAAATCAGAATCAGAACAAATACTAGGTCCAGGACTGATGCATCTGGGTGGTGTATTTTCTGGTATACTTTCTTGATTTGGAACACTTTTGCCTCGTCTCAGCGGAACTATTTTTATACGACTGTTTTCGCCTTGGCCATCGGTACTTTGAGAACTATGCTCGGAACCCATATTAATACCTATAAATTTTATATGGTATTATAAGCTATAGCGTAAAATTTGTATTAAAAAATTGTTGTTAATTTTATAAATTGTTGATAAAAACCTTTGTCATGAGTCGTAGGTTAAATATATTTACAATAAATTTACATTTGATTCGTGACTTGAAACGGTTAAAGTGTTGTATTCACAATATTATATTATACTTTTTTAAACAATATTCATTATAATATATATAAATACAAATATAAATATAAACTTGATCTTAATCTGACTTAATAGTTGTACAAATTATAAAATAAAGGTAACTTATGTTTTAATGGCAACAGAAGGAAAGTTACCGTAGCAGGTGCTGACATCTGTATCCATTTAAAACAGCTTGAATCGGGACCATATTTATTGAGTATTTTAATTAAAAATTCCAAGTACGTATGAAAAAATTACTTTAAAAAATTACGTATATTAATAACTGTACTACGATAGTTTATGATATTGAACACGGAGGAACAAATTATCTTTGCAGATTACACTTACAGAGTTAATTATATTCTTTTTAATCACTTACATTCTATTATGAACTATTTTTTCATGATTGATGATTTAAGAATTATTTTCGTTTTAATGAATACATATTTAAAATTTTCTTAACAAATCCGTAACGAAATTTATTAATTTATTTAAATAATTGAAAGTAGTTGTATATACTAATGTATATTAATTTTTAGATTAACGTGAATAATATAAGCTAGATAGCATTCAAAATTAATAGATTCAAAGGAAATAGAAACAATTTAGTGCCAGTAAAATGTTTAACAATATTTATTCTTCGTATCTTTCACGCCTCATGCACGTCACTATTTGCGGTTGAAAATACAGAGGGTAATTTAATTATAGAGCCGATAACTTTCGAAGTAATATTCTGAAATGAACGTGTAACATAATGCAGCTTCTCTTTTTAATTTTCTTTTCTGTCTTCCCGATGCTGTTTTTAATAGTTCTTCTAAATGTAGATCAAGGATGCGCTTCAATAAAATTATCGTAAGTATGCATAAATTACAGGATCACGGTTTTCCTAACAGTTGACGTATTTCATAAATTTGGATAGACAGTACAAGATTAGAAGTAGAGGTAGAGAGAGGAAAAAGCAGTAACGAAAAATAATGTTTCACGGAATTTTTCGAGTACTAAATAAAATTTATGTACCTTACATAATGGTACAATGCCTGGTGACAGTTCGCGCGATAAAACCGTTTTACTTGTGTTATATATTATCGTACATTAATGAATGGTCTAGCAAGAGAATGTTCAGCCGCCTCTTCCAATCTTCGTGCATTAAGTCATTCGCTTTCACGAAAACGTTTACTTGCTAAACCTTTTAATTATAAATGAATGCTAGTAAGCCAGAGTTGTGGAAATAAGTTTTGACGAATCTCCATCCATGCCTCAAAAGTCCTTAATGCATTGACATTATATAGCGCATAAATGTCGTACCAATCGAATTAAAACTCCGATAAAGGAAATAACACACAAAAATGTATTCATAATATTGACAAGCTAGTTTGCATGTTTATTCAATTGCTAACGATTGTGTATTGGCCGTTTTGATAATTAGCCACTATTGACAATCGGATGATAATTTCAATTTTTATGGCAATTTCATTTTTGCTCCTTTTTACCACGTCATTTCTATAATAAGCAATTGAACTACATCGATTGTTTCACACAATTCAATAAAACGTCATATTTTATAACTACTTTATCAGATACAAGATATTTTATTAAATTTATAGACTAAACTCGACTTTAATGTAATTATACTTATTGCTCGAATTATTATTTAGAGAACAACGTATTATTAATAATTCGAGCTATATTATTCAGACCCTATTTTATCATACTCTGATTACCTGCATCTTGAATGCATCATCCTGATCTATAGCATTATGTGATGTTATTTTAACATTATCTAGATTTACTTTGATTTATTACTCTCATTTTTAAACTAAACATTTAACGTACAACCTTTAGATACAATTTAAAATATTCATTTAGTAATAAAATTTGAAGAGCTATTATTAAATAAAGCTATTATTAATTCATCAGTGTAGTTATTTTGTATACAAAATTTAATTTCATTTACCCTAGCTAAATAAATTTAAAACAAATTTTAGTTAACATATAATATTTATTCTTATACTTACTGACGTCACATACACGCGTGCAGTTCCGTGATATTTTATTATACTTGACGCACAAAAATAGCATAATATAAGTTGGATTTAAGAAAAGTATTTATTTAGCAGGATATTATTTACAAATGATTTTATAATATTTTTATTGTAATATTTAAAGATATAATTATTTTAGAGTATTGAAATAAATGTCATTAAACTTAATACCGCATCTAGTAAATACAATAGATATATAAGTGATAAATATCATTATACACACACACACATATATATATATATATATATCGACATTAATGATTTTATACTTTTGTATAGTAAATAATAAAACTAAGAATCCAAATAAATGTTATATATCTATAAAATTTACGTCTCGTGATTGATATCCAGTATATTAAAAGTATATGTTAAAAAAAAAAAATGATTACAAATATTATTGCTATAACAAATTTTAGATATAATATTCTATTAAGAAAAATATGTTATTAGAGTCAGTAATAATATAAAGTTATAATTAAACAAAGAACGGCCAGAAATCTTTGAGGGAAAATTGCGTTAATTCTTGTAGTATAAAGCAATATCTTGAACAAATATTGCAAAGATATTTAAGATAAAAAACTTCTTACATAATTTTTGTCTATAAAGAAATGTTCCTGATAATCTATACATGCTTTATACATAATATTTTGAAATATTTTTTTTTAATTATAAAACAAAAGTATATAATATTAATAAGTCTTCCATTAATTTTGTTAATCACCAAAATTTTGGGTATGTATAATTGCTGTTAAATAAAAATATATAATATATAATAAAAGACTTGCGTTGGTAAAAATTAATACGAAAAAATGATGAATTCGTAGACGAATGGCAAAAGTTTTTTCCACGTTACACAGGTCCATCAATAGTGATACAAATGATACAAAATATTGCCTTACTTTTGTATCACTGAACTTGTTGAACTTTGCGACGTAATGGGTTACTTTCGTTGCACCAATTTTCAATTCGTAATTTATATTTTACGAGTAATTTATCAACAATTTTATAGCATTATATTAATTTCATCTTACTCGAGCATTTATAAATATAAAATATTCAATTTTTTTTCTGCTTAATAAAATTATAAATAAAATAATTATAAAAATTAATGTAGCGGGTGAGAGTTTTTATGACTTCATAAAATGTATATTTTCATTATGTAAAAACTTACAACCAGACTCTATATACATTGATTTTTTTTGTAACATGAAATTTTAAATTAATTTGAAAGTTTATTACGACAATCATTCCATAATCACATTGGATCAATAATAATTAACTGAAAAACTGTAGACATTGAATTAGATAAAAATAGCGAGTGAAAATACTTCCTAATGCAATAATGGTAGGATAAAATCTGAGTGATATTGTTTAAATTGTAATGTGAATCTATAAAAAAAATTTTACTTTTGTGTAAAGTAAGCGGAAATTTTTTACGTTTGATTTGTCATTTACTTTTGGTGTACGGGGTCGTAATTAACATTTAAGCAAGACTGCAAAAGCCAAGAAAAGGATAATTCGTGAAAATACATTATTAATATGGAGCAATGCATCGATTCGTCCCAACATAGTGCACGAGCGTGCGCTATTAAAAGACAATTAAAAGGAACAGAAGAAATAATCGAGAGAAGAGGAGCAAGATAGTCAGTTCAATAAATATAACCATTATAACGTAGCAATAAACGTGATAATGAAATCGTCATAATATACAATATACAAATGACAATAGCGTTCGGTATGAAAAGTAGCTATTTTCTCCTCTCTTTCTCTCTCGTTTGTTGTTCCGCTCGTTCAGCGACTAAAGTCTCGATCAGATAATGAAAATCTACCTCGAAAGCAGGATAGACTAAGCCTTAACGCTATATTTTTGTATAGCTTTACAGTTCTTTATCAGATCTTTATTTTTGTATACTTATACAGTATATAGCTTACGAGTTCGGGATGGGCCGATCGACAATCTTCATCATAAATGTTGAAGCGTACGTGCAGAAGCGATTAATTTTGCGGCTGCACTCGAAACGATACGTGCGTGTGCACGTATTTTGCTTATTATCTTATTCACGATTATTTTAAACAGTCGAAAAAAGCCATCCTCCTAATCTGTTATACGTCTGTTTTGGGAGGAATGGGGTGGGGGTTGATCGTTCGGTTGAGCCGTGGAGGAAGGTGAGTCGGTACGCTACGAAAGCACGAACGCAATCCACAACATTCGCCGAGATCGATAATATATTGCGTTACATAAGGCTAGAGGTGTTCCGAGGCCAAGCCTAATAGCGAAGTTGCATGCAGATTTATATCAGCTCATGATTCTAAAAAGCCAAAGTATGACTCGATTCATGTAGATCAAGTGAAGTCTTCTTGTGAAGGTGTGTACGCAGCAATCAAGGACCGATCGATCGATCAGCGCATCAGTTGCGACGCGCCGTTGATAACACGAGATTATGCGGGTCACGTGGCGGGAACTGAGCGACTGGGCGAGTGAGCGACTGAGTGGGAGAGAGAGAGAGACGCCAAGTGTCCCCTCTACCGTGGATTGACGCTGGCGCAGTCGAGCACCACGGAATGAGCGACCAGTTGTCAGTGAGCGACGAGCTCCTTTAGTGTTTGGGTGTCGTGTAGTTGCGACTTCGTGTGCATCCACGTGCCGACGAAAAGGATCTCGATACCAAGCTCACTAGGAGGTAGGTAGGCCACGCGCACAACCACTACCGTATCCTCGATTCTTGTAATTTTTTCAGACTGGAATGGCTTAAGGTGTGCGTGTGCGTGTGTTTGTGTGAATGCGTCCTCTTATTACGTTCTTACGATACACTTAGCTTTCTAATAATCATTAACAGTCAATATTAATTATGCTATAATTAATGATGAATAAATGAATACTAACTGTAAGTGTTTGCCTCTCTAGCGATAGGACTTGAGGAAGTATTTAAGACCGCGTAAGAGTTAAGCGATCGAGCTTTTTTGACTTAAATATACTTCCAACCAATATTCATATTTTTAACGATAATGAACAGGACGCTGGGTTATTATCCAAGCCGCAATTACAATTTTTATGTTTGAACTCATTTACTTGGATTTCGACACAAGAATTTTAAGGGGAAAATAGTTTAACACGATACGTCAAAAATCTTTATTGCATGATTATCGAGATTGTTGTATGAAGTCGCGTAGAAACAGTGCCAAAGTTTTCGTTATTAAAGACTTTAGTACTAAACCTCAAATTTAATGTTCTAATTTAGTGCTTTTAATTTTTACAATGTTCTCATGTTGATTTTCATTTGCCGAAAGGAAAATTTTATTGACATTATGCATATGTCTAATTGATGTTTCGATTGTGCAAGCCGCGAATGTAAGCTAATGACTCGAGCCGATCAAAACTTTTCGTATCAATAATAATCGGGGCTCTTTATTGGAATGAAATAATCGTACGCGGCGCCAACATGTTGACGTTGAAATATATGATCATGTAAGTATACAAAAGCCGCGACACTACTTGAGTCGATAGCCGTGACAGGTTCGAAACTTTTACCATTTGTTATACTGCTGTATACTCGCACTGTCCATTTTGAAAAACTGTCTATTTCGCTAATTTTTTTACTTCGTATTTATATTAGCTTATTCAAATGTTTAACACAATATTACTGATATTTTAACAATTTAATTTTTTCTTATGGTATGCAGCTAGATACAGAAGCGTTAAAGTATTTACCAATGTTGACAAGTTTATGTCTATTATCTGTAATAAAATCGTATAATTAAAGAAAAATATATACAATTATACATATTTATTATATATATATATGTGTGTGTGTGTGTGTGTGTGTGTGTGTGAGAGAGAGTGTGTGTGTGTGTGTGTGTGTGTGTGTGTATGTATCTTCTTCTTTTTTATTAATTTGCAATAAATCAACGTTTCAATTTATTTAAGATTAATTCTTAATAAATAACACTTTTTTATCTTAATATAACATTTACAATTTCTTATCATTCAGTAAAATAAATTTTATACGATAACAAAGATAATATAATTCAGTTTTATAAATATAATTCAGTTCTTTTAAACTATTTAATGAATTTATTAAAGAGTAGTAAATTTTACAATGATGCATATGAATATGCTGAAAAATTTTATTATAAAATTTCTACATTAAGATTATTTATTATCTTTTAATGATATTCTTTTGTTTTCAATACACTTGTTTTCTTCAAAATTCTATTTTTATTGCATGTATTATTATAACCGATGTTACTAGCCAATGAATTTTGAAATATGTTACCAAGTGAATTGGAATTCGTTGGTTATTTGTTACTTAAAATATTGTAAAATATATATAATTTACTTATAAGCAAGGACGGATAAAAGTGACTGTTGCTTACCTTTATTTTTTGGCATTTTATCTGCTTGAGTATAAGAATTATCACCACAAGTTATTTACGAAAAATATATTGTGAAATATATAAAAGATATATGATTGTGTTAAAAGTATAGCACATGAGAAAAAACATTCATAATATTTTAAACCACATATTCTGTATTATTTGTCTGATAAAATCAGTCGTTAAATTACCGGTATTTATTTGTAATACAAAGTATACACTTATAGGTAATTAAAAAAAAAAATTTTTATTTATATGAAAAGTTTTAATTATGAAAAAGTATAAAAGAATTTAAATATAATTAATTCTATATTAAACATAATTATCTATTACTTTTTTTAGTATTTGCGAACTCAATAATTTCCAACTAATAGTCTAATTTGGCATTTTATTATTTTATTATTAAAAATAAGTTATTTTAAGTAGCATTAAGCGTTCATGAGGGATCTATCGTCAGGAAAAGAAGGGCGTGATAAAAATAGGATAAGAGATAACAGTAATTTATTAATATATACTTCTTATTAAGTTTCTTTTATGGCAACGGTGCTGTATAGGAAAAGTGGTTCATTACTCTTGTCTATAACATGCTGTATTGAAATTCTATCATGAAAAGTTTGTTTTATACAACTACTATAATGTTATTTAACTATTACTGAGACAAGTAAAATTAATAAAACGGATAATGAAATACTGGACATTAGATTTGAATTAAAATAAAAATCAACCCATATCTATCGTATGCAACTTACAGCGTAACTTTAATGTATACTATAAAGCACTATTCATAAATATCACAAATTACATATAAAAGTCCATTTATGATAATAAAAAACGTGTTGAGAAAATAATTATAATAATATTGGGAATAATCTAATATTATTTTAAATAGCTTTAAATACTTTTTGAAGGCTCAAACAATTTTGAACAACGATAGCAGAATATGATATAATATATTATTGTGAGAAATGTCTACACCATCAGTTCATTGGCATTATTTACTGAATTGTTTATCTTAAAGTATATCATTTCTTCGATAAATTTTATATCTTGTATTGACTTATATTTTTGATCTCTTTTAATATGTTTACTCACACTCATTATAATATTATTATATTATTTATATTTATACGTAATTAAAAAGATTGAATCTTTTTTTCTATTTTTCTTCGATGTTTTGAAGTATCCTCATTTTAATCAGTAAATTATCAATAACTTTTTAAAAATTGGTTCATTTTCAATATTAATCCGTTCACGGTCTACATTCAAATTTTATTTTTATATCATAAATTGTATCAAGAAAATAATAATGAAGTATAAACTGTGTATCAGCTTTTTTATTCAAGTGAAAATTACTCATAAATCATTAAAAATAAAGGCAAGTAAATAAGAATAATTATAATGAATATATTTAATATAGCCAATAATTGCTAATGTTTAGTAAGGTTTAGTATATGTTAGGCTCGATTCTAATAATAATGTTATATTTCCTGCTTATATATGTATGAATGTGCATATATGTTTATTTGCATAATTTACATCAATTGAAAAATAAATATAAAAATATATACTTATTAAAATACAATACTGTACTTCTAAACTAAATATGTTGAAACCTTATATTTTTAATATATTGATTATAAATATTTTTAATTTGATTTCATTTTGATGAAAGATGTTAGTTGAGTTATATACAATTAAATTTCAATCACAAAGATGAAGTTTAAAATTTTCTAAAATTATATTTGCCTCAACGATAATTCCAGATAGTGAAATGCAATGCTTTTACTGCAATTAAGTAAGACGCAAATAATAAAAATAATGTAAATAAAAATTGTTTTGCTAAGCCAAGATAGGAGTAAAAGAAAGGTAACTGTTAATATATGTGGCAACGATGTTAAAATAATGTAAATTATTAATGATATTTCTAAATTATTATCGTGACGTAATATGTTGCAATCGGATGTGCGTGCTTAAATACTCTTGAATAAATGTTAATCATAGGTAAGTAGATCTGTCGCGGTACTTATGAGAATTTTACAGAAATAGAGCAATCTAGATATAGAAGTCATCATTTTTCTAAACGCTTTAATGTATTATGAATTCTTATGTTGTAAGGGCTTGTGCATGATTTATAAATTAATTATATGGCTGATGTATCGCATATTTAGGAAGTGTCGAAAGTTTATGCTGACATAAAAAAATTTTCACTGATAAAATTCACGCATTCTTTGAAAATTTTATTAAATGACGCATTTTTGAAAAAAAAAAAATATATATATATATATATATATATTCGAGTACAAAATCGAACGAAAAGACGAATAAATGAAGTAAGGATACTTGAAGTGGGATTAATATTGCTATCAAAGTTGATTTCTTTAATCAAGGTTCAATTACCGGTGTAAGTGGTCTTGACTATTCCGACAAAGAATTTTGAAAATCTTTTGTGCGCATAAGAGACGTTAAAATAGAAATAAAACCATTCTTCTGGATAAGAAGTCTGTTGAAAAGGAGACCACCGCCGTCCACATATTTATCACACGACAAATCGCTTGAGAAAATAAGAACCGACGACGACCTTGTGGTCGCTCATATGCCTAGCGAAATCTTGAGTCGTTAATCTGAGTAGACGAGGCTTAATCGACTGTGATATTGAAACGCATGACAATCGAATCCAATCGAATTCGACACCCTTCACATGAGGTTTTTAAAAACTTACGTGTTTTATTATGGTGCTTTATCTTTCAATCCGTTTGTTTATATAAGCAATAGAGTAGTTGAATTTTATAAATTTTATGAGAATTCATTTCACGGCTAACGCAAGCGTAGGTCTCTTTAAAAAAAAAAAAAACGAGAAATCGAGGTCCCATGGAAATTAGTCTTATACAGATTGGAAAACTTGGATTACTTCGATGAAAATTCTATTAAAATTGGCTTGTTGGCCAATAATAATAAGCATTTCAAGAAACATTTAAATTCATCAGCCTTTCTTCATTTCATTTTTCTTTCCTTCCCCTTTTCTACTCTCTTTCCTTCCTTCCTGTCTCCCTTCTTTTCATCGAATGTCAAAAATTGGCCAAAATACGTAGAAAAGAAAGCCTTAAGCGAATCACATGCCGTCACGAATTCGCTTTTTGTTCAGTTAAGATCAGCCGTAATATGTTTTTTTTTTAATACACAGACTTTATATTGATTATACGAATTACAACATTATTTATTGCACTCGCTAAATTGTACTTTCTGTTTAATTTGGCATAAAGAAAGGAATAGTAATACATAAAATTAAAATTTAAAACAATTTATATGCTGAGATATTTTAAACGAGTAATTTTAGTCAGATTATAATCCAATTTCAAATCAAATAAATCAATTTTTAATCGGTATATTTAATTAAGTTGGAAATTATACGTGTTGTAATAAATTAGTAGTGCTCATAAATACATTTTTTACTTTTTACATCTGTGGAGGCTTTATTTATTATATTTTTTATACAACTTCTCTATTTATATTGATTGAGATTAGGATGTTATGATTGTAAATAGTACAAATGGATGGTTAATCACATTATACAACAAAGGTATGAATGTGTGTATAATTTATATTTATATTTTAATTTGTTTATACGCGATACTTTAACCATTTAATGATAAAATCATATTTTGTTGCATTATACAGAGTTCTAATCAGAAATCACTTGGGTATAAGAGTTCGCGTTTATCTCGGAAATGATTAATTTCTTGTAATAGCAATCGAAAGTGACAAATGGCTGTGCTTAATGGACGTATTCGAATTCCACGCGCACTTGTAAAAGAAGTATTTACACCTGAATTATAAAGGACTTGAGCATCATCGTGGCGTGAGTTATATATTTAGGAAGGGTTATGGAGACTTGGATAGAGTCGAAGGATTGATACAAATTAAGGGAAAGTCAGTGAAAGAATTGTTAGCGGGACATACGTGTACTTGATTTCGTCTCGACGGCTTATGATAAATTAATAGTGGGCGAATACATTTCAACAAAGGTTTTATTATTAACAAAAAAAAAAAACATTTTGATAATAGGCTCATTGGAATAATTCATCTAAATGTGCCAGGGCGTTTTAAAACTGTATTACTAACGGTTAAGAGCGGCTGATCGCCTCACACAGTAAAAATAATGAGCATTGCTAAGTGCGTAAGTCAGGTGTGAAATGATTTGCACTAACTCGTTCGTTTTGTAATTTTAATTTGCAGATAGTGGCTTTGGCTGGACACACTCTTAACGCTATTGTTTGACATTGCACATTAACTAGAAGTTATTGTCGAGACGTCTGGGTCAGTGATGGAGCCCTAGTACCGGGGCACCCCCGTCCATTCGCGATGAAATTTCGGAATTCGAAGCTATGCATCGGCTATCGTCGAAGGTAATTTATTGTTTGACGTTATAACCCAATTACTAGTGATACTATTATTAACCCGATGTATCAAGTCCATGATAACTTGATCGTTCTCGTACAAATATGTACACACTAAGAGAACCAGAGAGGTAAATTTTGCTAATCATTAATTACACTAACGCAAGATGCTTTGATACATAAGGGCAATGGCTTGGATTTTTGCAGCGAGGTATACAACTTGGATCTCCGTAGTGAGGTTTGAATTATCACGAACGAATTCTTCTTTCTTTTCAGGTAATCAAATGCATTATTACATTCCGTTAATTCTTTATTCTATATTTAGTATTATTTATAGTTATCGGCACGGATCCTGCGAACTGACTTATTATACATGTGTTCTTTTCCGATTCCAAAGTCTATCTCTGCTTCTCTTTTCATTCATCCGTCTATCCCTTCCTTCTTCTCTTACTTCATTGTTGATTAATTGTATTATTCAAAATTGATATTGTTACATAATATCAAGTACCTTTCTCCCCGAGTATCGAATTTATCGCGTGCTCGAGTTTACAAAATTTAAAAAATAAATTTAATGATAATATTTGTAAGTAATAACGCGAATATATATATATATATATATATATATATGTAATTCTCTTCTTTTTCTACTTTAAATATTTAAAAAATACATTGTAAAGCTATAACATATTAGAAAATTTTTAAATACATTGACTTTTATCGATTATGTGTTGAATAAATAAATGTCTTATAATATTATCTGCATAAAAGTAACACCATTAATAGAAAATAAATAAAAACGTCTTCAAATTAAAATTGAAAATTCCCATTATAAAAATTAATAAAATATATTATCAAAATAAAATATTATTTTTTAAATTATGAGATTCTTATTTGATGCATCATTCTTTTCAATTATTTACATAGAAACATTGACTTATTAATATATTATAATAGCCAATTATTGCAATAAGAAGAGAAAGTGCTTGCTTTTTACATAAATCCAAATAACTAGAACGATTTAGTTGGTATTCGAGCTGTACAATAGTACCGTAATAAAGGTGCTACTTTCAGATTTACACTTAATATTACATTATACAACTTTCACACAATTAACGCAATCATGTTTTTTCTTTAATTACGATTGATTTTGTGACTTTTACAATGCACAAAAACATGTAGAAACTCGGGGGGGGGGGAATTTAGTCGCATGTTTATCGTTTCGATGTAAAGATGATAAGCTATTTTAGAATTTCAGTTGTAGGCTTTTTTGTCTGTGGATGGAGATGAAATTTCTTCAGTAGATTGGCCATACTAAAATTACCGAGAATATTGACGGTCAACATTTTAAATTATCATTATTATTATCAAACTTGCATAAATCAGTTTCGGTTTCTAAATACACATTCAACAGAATTACTGATCATACATTAGGTAGTAAAAATTTGAACCCTAGCGGTATATTGCGATTACATTAAATGAACAAAATATGCTTGCAGTAAAAATATAAGGACGAGGAGACAGTGCATAGATAACTTTAATGCAGAGGACTAAATTATCAAAATGAAAAGCTGTGTAAAGTGGTTTTCTCTCGCTCTCACTGATCAGCGTTCTATCAACGGATAAATAGATACATAAAAATAAACCAGCGCAGAGCGTGTTACGCTTGTATAATTTTCATCGACTAGATGCGGCTTACGAGTTGATCGCCCAGCCGACTGGTTTTCTCGACGAAAGCGAAACTGACTCGCATCCATTGACATCCAGTCTTTGTCACTTTAAGCCTTGTATTTCCTTTCCTGATCATAACCGCTTTTAAATAATTTACCTACCCGCTAGAAATTTACTCCATTTACAAAAATGTAAGTAAATTAATCAAGTGTTAGAATGTTAGCGGCGCCGGTTAGCTATATCGATATCCATAGGCGAATTTTTTTTCTTTACCAGATGCGATTATAATGTAAGAACAATAATATAAAGTTCAAAAATGTTTTTGTTTTACGCAATATTATATTGAAAGAAAATTATGTTTTTATCTTAATTATAGGGGTTTCGGGTGTTTTTCATGTATCTTATTGCTATTACTCATTGCTATTTTGACTAATAATAAATGACAAATATTCTACAAATGCAAATGCTTGTAAAAAAATAATAAATCTTATTATTTATTATTATTGTCAACTTTATTAAATATCTAATTTCAATTGAATTTGTCGTTTAATATTATATCCAATCATTTGTAACATCGTTAACATTCAGTAATTAACATTCAGACTCATAATATTTATAATCGTAAAAAATTATAGTTTCAAGCGTTATTAATTGCTTTAGAGTGGTTATTAAAATATTGAGTATTTAATAATGACAAGACACAATTAATGTTAGGAGATGAATGGATTCTCTCTACCTCCGAAAATACATAATGTTAATACGATCCATTTAAAACTTTACTAATTTTTCTGATTACAAATTTTGTATTTCTAAAATAATACAATTTATAATGTTTCATTGATAAATTATATAATAAATTTAATTTTATAAATAAGTTTTTATAATTTATGCCTCGCTATTTTTATATTCTTAATAACATTATAAATTCGCATCGCAAATTTAATACTCAATACTAAATTCCAAAAAATTTTATAATCTTCATGTATTGATATATATATATATATATATATATGTTATTATATTTACAACTCTATATAATAATGAGAATAAAGTCTTTGAACAATATATTTAATATTTTCTTGTACAGTATTTTGAGATACTTTCCTTGACAATTTTAAGTCTTATATCACTGTTATTGGATTGAGGGTAGACAAATTATCTGACTAGAAGGAAAATGATATTTAGAAAATTGCTTTACCAGTTCTTCACTTCAAATAGCCCAAATGCTTGATGAACCATAAAATTAAAAGAATAATAGAATAACTGTTATTTGAAGAAATAATGCGTGATAGACTGGAAAAGACAAATAATGGAAATTTTGTTAAAATCTACAGGTCGTACGAATGTCGATGACCGCTCACAGCATTCTAATTCTTAACAGCGTATTATCGTGGAGAGTAGCACGACTCAGTGAAGTAAACTTTTTTCGATACGCGTAGCCGTGAAATTAAATATAACAACACCAGCCAGTGATGCATGAGTAATAGTGTAAGCTATAGAAAAACCGCGAGAAGGGAAGAAGGGAAGAATAAAAGAGCGAAGAAAATATGGAAAATATACAACTCTGTGAGAATGCAGCAGTGCTAAATGCTTAAATTTCTTTTCATTATTTTACATTCGATAATTCGCAACACAACAAAAAGTATCAAAACTGAAAAAAGCAGAGTTTTTAGAGCTTCTTATAGGTAGAATTATACAGGGATAAAACAATAACTTCAATGATCGGCTAAATTATTTATTAATTGGTTATATGTTTATTTTCAATATTAATATAAAAGAAAAAATACTGTCGGCAACATGTGACGCTTCCGTCATCTCTTATAACTATCCAATTAAATTAATCAAAGGGTTGCCGTACTTAATTCAATATTATACTCGGTAGATAGACTACCGAGAGTTTACTTTCTTGAACTGCTTTAGACAAATTGAATTCATAAAAAAATTTATTTTCAATTGTAATTTTAATTATGAGCTTATTAAAGTAGATTTATTTTATTTGAAACACTATACATCAGTCTTTTATCACTTTCATTATATGTTATTATATAAGTTTTTAATTAACAGTTAATAGTCGATTCATTTTATTATGTTCAAATATGCGTATGGACGATTTTTTAAGAAGATTATATTAGTTTTATTAAATCACTAAATTTACTTAATAATAAATAAAGTGGTTTGGTAATTTGGTATTTGATAAAAAAATATTTTACGAAAATATTTAATATCCTGACATTATTAGAAGTGTAAATACATATTGATTAGAATTCATCATGTAAATCTAAATCTAATCTAATCTATTTAAATTAATTATGCGATTATTTCAAAAATATTTTTAAAATTCAGTGAGAATTTACTATTCTATATGAAAGCAAAGTTTTTTGTTGATAAATCATTGTTTAATGTTAAAGTTATATATATATATATATATATATATATATATTAATATTAATGGACTTTATTTAATAGGTTATACAATAGGATCGTTTGAAATTAATTTAAAAAAAAAAATGTTTTTTTTTGTCAAGAATGAGACAATTGCAGGTATTTTCTGAAAATTATATTAATATATTATATAATGGAGAGCACGATAATGATAATTTTAATAGTCTGTTACCTGATTTTATTTATTTATAGTTCTTTTTGACGTTTTTTTCTATTTTTGTCTTCGTGATGTATTTGAAACTTGCATTTAAGAAAAGGAGAAATGTTAAGTGCCTTTTATCCGGTTTGTCCAGCGATTGTATAGTGGATAAAGAAAGCGTTGCCAAGCTTAAAGTCCAGTGACTTTCGAAGATGTCACCCAAGAGGGACTGTATATTATCAGCACTCACTCTCGATCTGTTTAAAAAGTACCTAAAACGTTCGAGAGAGAGAGAGAGAGACGGGGGGGGGGCCGATGAGTAGCATTTTGGCAGTTATGCGGCTCATGCAGGCGATACCACCTCAAATAGAGCAGTGTGTCAAAATGTAAATAGAGCAAATAAAAGCCGACCCCATTCGTCGCGAAAAAAATTTTCTAGTCTTAGACACGGTACGACCCTGGCATCTTCATATTCAACTGTAATAAGCCTTGCATAAAATTCGTTTTTTCTTATTTTTCACTTATTTTTCTTTTTCCTCTAAGCTCACCTCAGCTGTTATTTATCTCACCGCCAACGCGCATTCACAATCAATATCACTATATTTTTACTTAACAATTTGCCGCTCAATTATACGTGATACAAAGGTAGATACAGAGAGTTGGAAGATAGCTTCCGAGGACCGTTAAACGAGTACCAGTGGTGCTCGACTAAAATAAAATCGCTCCTGTGCTAACAGGAGGAGGGTGTGATCGATAGCGAGACACGTAAAATGACATACGCTCGCATTTGAGATTAGATAAGCGAGCAGATATTGGAATTTTAAAATTTTGTGTGAAACGACGGATGAAGGAGTGTCTCGAATGTTAGCGAAATTTGTCGTGACGAGTACCGTACGTACATAACTGGCTAATATTGTTCAAAGTAAAATATCTTCTGCTTGAGATCATTCTCCCTTAATAAATGCGATAAAATGCATTATGCATTATCGGTACTTTTTTTGTCTCCGTCCTTACCCTATTATATTTTGAGCCTAAATAGAAATTTGCTGAGTTAAATACTGATCTCTTAGCACCGCATGTCTCTATCGATCAAATCTTTAGTATATCGTCTAATGCTCTTAATATATTATCTAATGCTGTATATGCATTGTATTCTTAGTTCCACTTAACTATTAGTAGTCGTTATTAAAACAAAAGCTTGTTTGTTTAGTGAGCCTATAATTTAAAAAAAATGTTCGATACAATCAGCCCCCTCGTCTCTCAAGATATAAGTTTATGTTTCCTTTTCTGCATTGCTCGCTCATTTTTATTTTCCAATGGAACAAGTGATATTTGTACGTCTTTCTGCTTGTACATAGAACTTGTACAACACTTTATTTAGATTGTAAATACCGAAACAAAATATTAAAGCAATAGAAACGGCAACAAAAACAACAACAACAACAACAAAAGAAAGATAAAAAGGAGGAGACTAGATTTTTTGCCAGTTATTCTTTCTTTGAAATGTATTACGCGTCGTTTATCCACACAATATTTTGTCTTCCGTGTTCATCGAAGCAACGAATTAATAAGGTCGACCATTCGGACATGTATTTACACGTACTCGCACTTTTAAGTGACCTCGACGATAAACCCGACCTCGTTAATTCAGATCATTGTGATTGATACATGTATATACATGGCGTGCTTTTATATACGACAATTGTAGTATCAAACAACGACGTTCAGTAGCGAAATGCTTGTACGATAAATCCCAGTGCATTCTCGTATCAAACCGTTTTTTTATTTATTTCTCATGTTTATACGACGTGATAAGACCACGACAATCTATCCGAATCGCTGATCCTGATATGAAAATGTCTTGTTAGATTAATGAGCAAGAAAAAATTGTAATTTTCCTATACTCAATGTATAATTTTTATTTTTAGTCTTTCTACGTTATTTTCAAAGCTAAATTATCACTCATTTAAATTACCTACTGATTAAAGTGTATGAAGCCATTACCATTAATTTATTGGTATATACGTATATATACATAATTAATTTTCATTTAAATATTCCGGTAATATCATTTTTGAGAAATTCATGGTAATTTGCAATAACACGAGTTGCACGTAATGTTTCGATTCTCATGTTGTAATACGAAGGTGATCTAGATTTATCGGCCAGATAGTATGGAAATTTATAAATTTTATTGAAAACTCGATAATAATTAGAACTACAAGTGAATGTAAAAAGCTATCCAGAATGACAAGAGGTTCGGATTAAATCAACATTAAGCCAAGTTAGGATTTAGAATTAAAATTTACTGCTAAATTGACGTATTTCAATATCTCATTAAATTAATAAACAATAAAAGCAAAATGCAAATGTGAATTATCAAAAGTATTGCATTTGAGAAACATAAATGACATTGTTAATCAAATATCGAGAGGCAATTGTCACTTATAATTTGAAATTTTTAAATTATAATATAGTCATATTGACAATATTTATGCATGCGAATAACATAAACGCTAAAAAAGAATATCGAGGAAATAATTTGGTGTACAGCCAAATTATGTATTTTATTCAATATTCCGAGAAAAATGGGATACACATTTTATAGAAGACATAAGAACTTACGTAATTAAAATATCGAGAAATTATATACCTCAATCAATTACGAGGACGCTGTTGGCTTTTCGAGATTAACAGATAGATGACATTGAAACAGAACAAATATAAGAATATAAAATAAAAAATAAAAAATAGAAATAATAATAGTCATGATATTTCAAGAAAACAAAGAAAAAATTAGATCGTTAGATGAAGTCGAATAAAGATACCGTCGATAAGATTGGCTTTGTAAATCTATTATTCAGCGTAGCCAATAATTTAACGAGGAATAGAAAAGTATACTTTAATATCAATTATGTTCAAAGTTTGAAGTATCTTAATAACATTCGATAATAGCTTCATCCGTGTCGCTTATTTGTCTTTTGAATAAAAATATTTAATGCGAAAGATAATGAACGTCTGTAGACACGATAACACTGTGTATTTCAATATAAATAGTAAAAGTTTATTATACATTATTGCAAGCTTTACATAAGAATAGTATTTAAGTATAGGAGTTTCGATGGTCTATACGATAAAAATAACATTTTAAATCAGCAATTTAAAGTGACTTTTTATTTTCACGTAGTAGTGACGCATATATGCGGGTAGATTTTACATTTAATATTTTTTATTATACAAATGGTGATTTTTACGATGTAGATAAACAGCGTTAAGCGTATGCATTGAATGTCTGGCAGCAGTAAAGTTGTAAAACATACGTTTATGTAATCAATACGGACAGATGGGGTTATATAATTAAGAAGATTAATTCGTAAGTCGCGATTTGATTAAAACTAGAGCAAGCTCCGTGTGTAGAATGATAAATTTATGCTTGAATTAAAGGAGTAAAAATGCCGTTTATTAGCTCTCCTAAGTATTTTTATTAATCAAATTACTGTAATAGATAGAAATCTTTTTTTTAACCCAATGGTAATGACTAAAAAATGCATGTCATGATGAAAAACGTCGCGTGATGACTTATGAGATAGCTTGCGTCTTTCGATCGGCTCCATCAGTTCGTAATTTAACCATTATTCGTCTCAAATATATGCAAGTTCGTTAGTTTCATCGCCACAACAATGAGGAAGTGCCTCATGCTTATATCTCATTGTCAAATTAGCAGCGGTAAGTGGTTAGCTTCCAATGTCTCAGGCAAGATCCTCCTCGCGCGTATGACAAATATTGTTCATCAATAATGCACGGCCATTCCCATCGTTTCATCAATTGGCTACGAAGCCGTTAACAAAGACATCAGCGTAAGGCTAGAATTACACGACGACAAATATCTTCGTCTTTCCCAATTTTTACAAAATTACTTAATAGTAGTCGATAATAATCGAGTGCAGGAGGAGGGGCGATGACAGTAATCAATGATAAGCATACGACTGGTTTTGTTGCAGGCGATCCCGTAGCAGCAGCAGCAGCAGCAGCAGCAGCAGCAGCAGCAGCATCAGTAACAACGTCAACGACAGCGACAACGGCTGCGAGCGCTAAAATAATTTCGTATCTGTGGTAGAGCGCACAAGCCGATAACGCGGCGACGTATCGCTGTCCCGTCGGATCGCAACCGCATGCGAAACTCTGGCCGAGGCATCATGCCCCTCGTCTCGTCCCGCGCTTATTCCGCAGACGAGCAGAGCCGAGCCGCGAGGCCACCGCCGGATATTCCGAAATAGCCATGAGATAGGCCGTGACCGGCCTCGCGCCAACAACCACTCCTTCCTTAAGAAACTCGGACGCCGATTCGATCAGGCCCCCAGAGTCGCAGCATCGTCCACTGAGCGAGAGAGTCCGGGTTGGTAATATAGAGGCAGGCATGAGCTACCGTGGGCAGTCATGGAGAACAGCACCGCTGACCCGAGTTTTTGCTGCAGCGGCCGAGGCGCGAGTGCACGAAACCCCAGTGCGGCCCGCCCGCCGGCTCAAGGTCAAGTGCTCTCCGCCCCCGGAGGAGCCGAAGCCGAGATGCGGAGGCTCGGGGGCAACGGAGGCAACGACGGAATCTCAATTACCTCCAGCGGAACGACTTCGAGGCCCGAGCACTGACCACGGCCTCAGGATGGAGGTCATGGCGTCGCTCTTCAAGCGTTTCGTCAGGATGAAGGAGCGGCTGGTCATCGGTCTCGCGGCCTTCACCATCGCCTTCACCATCCTCATCGTCATGGACTTGCAGCTCGATCTCGGCTACAGTGGTCACCACCTCCTCCCCAGTCACGGCAGGTTAAAAATGGCCGAGGACCCACAGCGCGACACTGTTTATAACAATTTCAGGTGGGAGACTCGACCATTTCTGACTCTTCTCGCTACCCCTACACTTTTCACAATCAACCGAGAATGATTAATCGTCGTAATACTATATTGGATCGAGTCGAAATACAAGAGTAAAATCCAACTAGCTAAATAAATGGTTGCAAATTTTATTCTCTCTCTCTCTCTCTCTCTCTCTCGCTCTCGCTCTCGCTCTCTCTCTATCTATCTATCTCTATCTCCATCTTTATTCCAGCTCGGTTTTAATTTACGAACAGTTTAATTATCGGTAGTGCGGTCGAAGAGCCAAGTCGGATGGGCGGAAAGCTACCGCGACTTCCAGCGGCGCGTCAGAGACTTTGCAATGATGTAAAAGTAATTGAGACCAAGCGTTAATAATATCCGTTTTTAGGCGAAAGTTCCTTCAGCGTCTTAACACTAGTAAGGAGATAATCTCGGGCTCAGGATCGGAGCCGACGAGCGTCACTCCGACAGCAGTCGAGATAGCTAAGAACTCGAGACTCCGGACGACTTCCTCGAGCCACTCGCACGACGACTTTGCCGACCTTCGGGAATACGTAGAGTTAGCAGAGGGTGTTGCCGTCGAGAGTAGCATCGTGCGTCCAAGCGCCGAAAGCTCAGAGGACAATCCAACGATCGCCGAGGTCAAACATTTGAAGCTGGGGTGAGTAACGAGAAGGTATTGAGATTACGTATCGACAGTCCCAACAAGATGTTACTTTCGCCGTTGCCCACCTGAGCTCTACTTTACTTATCCAGTAAAGCCGAAAGCAATGAGAGCTTTGCATCGAGTCCAAGCTTGCTTTTGCTAATAATCATTACCCACAACAATCAATTATATTTATAAACCGCTGTCTGTAATAAAAGCATTATATAACTGTTGCTATACTTGTGTCATAGATACTACTTTCCGAGAAGGAGGAAAAATTGAAGCTACGAGTAGTCTATAATTAACATTGCTGATTTTTTATTATTAATTGAAATTAAACGATACCGCAAGAAATTCTTTTACGGAAGCTTGTGTGATTGATGTTAGCCGATAGCAATCTATATATGTGCGCGTAAAAATTCCCATGTCAGATGCGTATATTCGGAGCTCGTGAATTTGTTAATAAAAATTCTCCCCCATAAAAATTGCAGAACTCTTGACAGCAACCGGCTTCAGCCGTTTGCGAAATCTGTGAGCCTTTCGCATTTTATGGAGTCGTTAATCGTATTTATCATTTAACATTATAGAATGCTAATATCGACGATATGGAGATTAATTAAATAATTGATATTAGAAAATATCGGTAGCGTTAATCGATCGATTACGGAATCTCCGGTAATTTTTTAAGCGTGCATTTTCAAAGTACGCACCTACACATCGGTCTTGAATATTAGCCAGTGGCTCTTTCATTTTCTTACAGGTGTGTAAAAAGGAGCGTCAAGCTAATTTCCATTTCTTATTATGCGTAAAGCTTTATTCTTAAGCTGTCCGCTGACAAGTAAATTATCCTCGCGAGATCGCGAATCACGATAAAAGGCATATAGTGCCGGTAGCGGCTCTCTGCTCCATCCTTTGAAAGACCACAGTTCTTACATCTCTCGCGCTTTCAAATGCACAGCTATATTACAATGCTTTCGTTAAAAAGAGTTTCGTTAAATTTAACCTTTCATACTTATTGTACTACTATATAAGAGATGACTGCTTTAAACCCTTAAAGATAAATATTTACAATTATTTTAAACATCCGTTAACATATGAAAGAATATTTTGGATACATTGGAACGCGATTAGATAAGCACAATTATGTTCAATAGATGTGGTAAGGTGATCTGTTATTGTTCCTAAAATGACAAAAACAAAAATAATAAAGCGATATATACGCCTAACCAATACTTTTGTTGCAATTAAGCAATTGATCTTAATTAGTTATTATTGATTATTATTACAATATTATAAAACGTTACTAACGTTTGCTGCGCAGCACAATTTTATAAAACAATTAGCTGTCATTTAAATTTTAGAATTCTTAATACCTCGAGGTACTTGTAAAATGTTTTCATTAAGAATTTTGTTTCTATCGTAAGTAGAAATCAGAGCCAGAGAAGTTTATTTATTTTTTAAATGCTTTTGAATGCTTTTTAAAATGTTTATATATTTTCACTCGTTAAACTTTTTCTTTCACTAGTAAAATGTTTTTTAAACAAAAATTTATACTCTTCTAAGAGTAAGAGATAAAAATAAGCAACATAATTACAATTATATTTCAACTAAAAACACGAAAAGTTAAAATAATTTTATTTTCTAAAATAGAAGTATTTATTGAAGTAATTTTATAAAAATTAAAACTTACCCAATTATACTAAACTTCTTTGATTAAGTCTATTTAACTTCTAAAGATTAAGAATCAATTTATTTGCTTTCAAAGATAAATAATCACTTTTATATCAAATAAAATTTATGAAGCTTTCGATTTTTTAATTCTTCTTAATCTAGTTAGCGACAATTTAAATACATTAGACTCAAGCTTGCATCGAAGTTCAATTAACATTGGAATTTTTAAAGAGAGTCAATAGTAATTTATGCGCTTGAGATTAACGAAATTGATTTCCAAACATTTTTTCGAGCTTTCATAGAACTTCATTATTCTAAGATAATTTTGTTAATTACGATCATTTTTAAACATTACGTAATCAAATGTTTACATATTCAGTTCACCATTCGCATGCTACTAGTTTTACTAAAATATATAATAATTACTTTTTTTCAATGTCCTGATATTAAAAAAAAAAAATTAAGATCGCTGGAAATATTTGTGTATATACATTAAAAAGGAAATATCGAAAGTAAAGGAATTTATGTGCTAATTTTTTTTCTCTTTTCTTTTTTGCTTATCAATGAATAATAAGCGAATTCCTTCAGTTGACGAATAAATTCGTAGAAGCTTAAATTCATTTGGCAAATATTATTTTGCCAACGTAAGAAAGATTTTGATGCCTTTAGACGCTCAGTATTTCTTTGTGGACGAGAACATATAGTGTTTACTAAAACTGATACTTATTTAATTTATTTTCAATATATTTTAGATTTATTTAAATTTCACTTTGTATTGAAATATATTAAGAAAATATTAAATAGCACCAAAAGAATACATAAAATAAAACGAGTAAGTTAGAATAAACGTGTAATGGAGTTCGTATTTTATATTTCTAAAATCAGATAACGATAAATATGAATCGCAAATAAATGCTATATATGAAGTAAATAACTAAAGATGTTTAATCATATAATTTAAACTACATCCTTAATAAAGAGAGAAAGTTCGCTAATAATGTATACAAAATCATGCTTGAAAAATAAATTTCGCGAACAAAATCAATCAAATTAATGGAAGCGGTTGTAATTATTGAGCATTAAATATACGAACTGATGATAATTTACAATAAAGTTCACACACGATAAAATAAAAATATTTTATATTTGACCTAAGGTCTACGATTTTTTATTAAAAGCCTTAAAGTGGGTGAATATATTTACTCGATATTGATAAGTCAAATTTAAAAATGCTGATTTTCTATTACAGCCAATAGCCGTATAAAATAGTATTAATTTGTAGTAAAAAAGGCTGTCAGAGGCTGCGATACTACTACCCCGGTTAATTGCCAGTGTGCGCTGGTAACCTAGAAAACTGCGCAATTACGTGTAATAGCTCACGCGCTTCGCATGCCTTACCATTCCAATCACTTTTTGTTCGTGGGTGATTTATCTAATATCGTCGACAAGGGTAGACGATGCAACCGCTGCTATTAACCATTTCCCGGATTGCGACAATATCATCTATCGAGCGGATATGACTCTACAGATGCCTGCTATTATAATTAAGATCATTTTGTCAGGAGCTAACAGCCTTCTTCTCACGTGGGTCACCCTTGATACACTCGTTCTCGTTGTGTTTTAATTGGAAAATTTGCCAAAATAAAATATACTCGTATTAGGGAATACATGTTACGAGTCGATTAAATTTTTGCCAAAAAAGTATACGCTCTCCGGTGTCGAAAAGCACCAGCTGGATATCAAGACAAACGTAATAAACGTGAACTGCATATTTTTGTTATTCAATTGTTCGTTGAAAAAATACTAATAAGGCTCTGATGTATTGCATGAAGTTTCTGCATAACTTATTATGAATGCATTTCATTTTTGTTTCGATGAATAATCATTAACTTATTTATCATTTGCATCGTTTTTCCGCCTATATTTCGACGTCGAACCCTCTTATAAAAGCTGCAGAATGATTCTTGAAAGCATTACCAAGGAGGACAGATGTCGAATAATGTTGTGCATTAATATCCGCGAATGGGTTCCGCCTTAAACAGTAAAGTGTTTCCAATGAAATTTAAAATAACCGTCTTTCGCTCGCTCTTACTTTCTTTCTTTGCTTAGGCGAGAGGGCGAGGGACAAGTATGAGCAAAAGCGATATATTTTAGCTTAACTGTAGACGGGAAGCGATGTTTATTTTCTATCAGCTTAATTAAAATTAGCGCGATGGTAGTTAATTCTATGTTAAATCAAGACACTGGTAATCATGAATATAACTTGCGCTAAAAGTGAATTTTCATTTGTAAGGCTTAAATTATGCTTTCTTTTATACCTCATGAGATCTGTGTACAATAACGCCACGTACGTATAACTTTTAGCATTCAAAATAGCTTCTGCCAGCTTTGGGGGAAAGCTATGACTGATCAATTATGACTTTATTTTCCTTCTGGTGTGCTTGCAGGTCAAACAGTACTCTGTTAGAGAAATTCCATTTGCAGATTCGGCGACAGGAACTGTATCCAAAAGGCTCACAACTAGTCGAAGATTTGCTGCACTTTATGGCAATACAGCCAATCTATCATGCTTGTAGGCATTATCGTTTGTTTTTTAATTTATTTTTTTTTTTATTTATTAAAGAACTACTATTGATCAGCTTTCTTTTTTGTTCTGTTTGTCTTCAGCCGAAAAATCCGGCGGTACGCAACTCAAGCTCGTCATCGACTATACCAACAAGATGCAAGCGCTTTTCAAGCCCATGAGGTATGCGCCTTTATTAATCTCAAGTTCTATGAGTGTTACTTAAGCTCCAACTCTGATCTTGTTTAATACTTAAGTACGAATTAATGTTATCGTACCTTTTCTCATAATCGCACAAAAAATTCATTCCCCCGATATTCTACCTCAAAGCTTAATACAATGTTTCTAAATTGTTGTTTGAAAGAGTCTTTTACATTGACTAATCATATTATTTCGAAAACGATTTAGAAATAATTAAAACTTCGTACGCAATCACTATTTCCCTCCCTGAGATTTCGATACGGTAACTTTCAATTTCTTTCAAAGTCAGTTTCTCCATTACTTTATAAGTGAAGATAGATTGCTGTTCCATACGAATTTTGTTGAAACTTTACACACTCGTAGATCGCAAGCGAGTTCGAGTAATATAATGTTATTTAGTGTATGAACTAGATAAGTACTGTACAAGCAAGAAAAAGTGCTGAATTCGTATGTGCATTGGATCGACGGTAACTTTAATTTAAATTTGTCGCTTTTATCGGTTTATTTATTCGCGTATTTGCTATACTACTTTCTTTTCCTTCTAATTTGTCAATTGCAACTATAATTGATGAACAGGATAATATTAAATCATAATATTAAAGTGTATATAATCATAATAATCATATAATCATATAATCATAATAATTAAATATATGACAAGCTAAAATAGCAATTATAGTTGCGTATTATATCGAAAGTTCAGTGCAGGAAAAGGGCATTCATTTTTTTCGATATAGCCTGTTGTCCATAATAATGACTCATAGCAAAGATAAATATCGGTTTTATCTGTATCTTCCTGGCCTATCCTCCCCCCCCCCCCCCCCAAACCTTAGTCACCACAAACCACACTACCATTTTCTGGAATGCTTAAAGACGAATAAAGTAAAGAGAACAAAACGGAGTAATATAAATATAATTAAATAGATAGATAGATACATAGACAAACAGATAGACAAACACATATATAGACGGAGAGAAAGAGAGAGATAGAGAGAGAGAGAGAGAGAGTGAGAGGGTCTTATTTAATTATTGAAATTTAATGGGTATCACCATAAACACAAAGATGTTCTCCATTACAATACCTTGACTTAAATGAGCGAATAAATCAGTTGTAAACTTTAAACTTTAGAAATGGTAAAATTTATTTTATTTATAATTCCTTTTTACTGACATTGCAAAATATATATTACATATATATACAATTTTTTAAAAATAATTCGAATAAATTTAGCTCAACAGAAAAGTTTAGTTCAAGTTATCTCAAAGTCATTCTAAAGCTACATAAATTTCAAAATAAAAAAATTAAATTTTGCAATAAAGGTAGTAATATACCAAAAATTTCTTATCTAAATCGTATTTTCATCTGCTTTATATATTTAATTAAAAAATTACTTAAATATTAAATTATTAAAAAATTTTTTGTGAAGTTAATGATATTCTGAAGAAATTTGATTTAAAGCCTCATTTATATATTTTTAACAATTTTTTAGTTATTAAAATTAATTTTTGTAAAGATAATATGAATAAGTTATAAATATATTTTTACTAAATAAGTAGAGAAATTATATTACTACTTTAAAATGAGAGATGCCAAATTAAAAAATTAAAATAATTAATGACTCATATTTTATAAAATTGTTATAATTACTAGATTGATAATATATATATATATAAATAGTGAATCTCATTGATTTGCTTTTAAATGATTTTATTTGTACAATTTATATTTATGTTTTATATTTTACAATTTTTCTGATGTAAGTAATATGTTAATAGATTATACTTTGACGCACTTTTTCATCTTAAATTTTCTAGAATTTTAATATTTAATATTTTAATATTTTACCAAAGTTATATTTCGTTAACTCCAAGAAAGATGTGGTAAGTTTATGAATGATAAGGGAATATAAGGAAACATACTTACAGTTTTAGTAACCAAATAATTTTTGATGATTTTGTCTGAAAACGTAATATAGTTAGGTAATGTTGCCTATTGTAATGGCTGATCATAATATTAATCGTCGGCGGCTTCATATCCATCTCGAGTGATGGAAAAAATGAAAGCGTCGCCAGAAAACCCGTGACGATAAGTCTTTAAAAGATGGGATTAATGATACGTAGAACTAGTTACGCGCAAAAGCTAAAAGAATTTAGTTTCAGTTTCGCTCTACATCAAGTTTGGTATTTTTCGTTGCGAACAAGTAGTCGAAGCGACCCGTTTGTTGTCGACCTTCAACTCATATGGATTGCGTAATAGGGATCCGTGGACATATAGCTGGAGTGGCTCGTGATAAGTGTGTGCAAGGAACGACGAATAACGAAAAACATTATTTTTGCAGATTTCCTCGAGAACAGCAGACACTCCCCAATCATTTCTACTTCACGGACTATGAGCGTCATAACGCTGAGATCGCGGCTTTCCATCTTGACAGGTCAGTGCACCATTTTTAACCGCGTTTTCAACAATAAGACGACATTTTTTTATACTAATGGCCAGTGGAGTAAAGTTTTCGAGGAATATAATGCATATAAAGCCCTTAAGAATGCGATTTTTATTTAACAGATAATTCAAACGGCTATTTTATATTTGTATAGATAGAGGCGCCTTTATATTCAGCGTACAATAGGACCTCCGAGTATATCCAAATGTAATTTTTGTAATCGTAAAATAAGGGATTTTGTCTGGAGATATTGAGCGCTCGATTATAGTTTTAAAGTTGTTCATTTGGTTTAGTCCTTGTCAATAAGTAACATAACATTTCGAGCGAGTTTGCTATTGTTTTGCGTTCCAGCGAAAAACGTCGTAGAAAATCAAGCAGTTGGTCTGAGAGTATGGAAATAATGCTCTATTTGGAAAAAAGTTTAAAAAATACCCGAAGAGTGTTTTTGTCGTTGTGACATATCAAAGAAAATCAAAGTATTGTGAATATTCTGGGAGGAGCCACATTATATATGAAATAAACCGGTACAGGTTATTGGGCTTCCGGAGGTGTATGCCGGTAACGGGTCGCTTGCTAAACATGACGACGGAGATATATCAAGTGACAGACAGCGACATCCTTAAGACGTTCTTCGTGAGTCCTGCTGGTAACCTTTGCTTTCACGGCAAGTGCAGTTACTACTGTGACACTGGTCATGCAATATGCGGGTCGCCGGACACCCTTGAAGGCAGCTTCGCGGCCTTCCTTCCGAGCAAGAGCGCAATACCGCGAAAGGTTTGGCGACACCCTTGGAGAAGGAGCTATCACAAGCGGCTTAAGGCTCAGTGGGAGACAGGTAAGTCGACGGCGCTCAGTAGTATCTTTGTAATATATCCAACTATTCCCTTAATGTAATGACAAATGAAAAAAAAAAAAAAAAAAAAAAAAAAAAAAAAAAAAAAAACGCGAGCTGGTAGCTCAACAATCGCAGCTGTTTGCTAATGAACATACTCGTGATGAAGGCTCCGATACGCCTCATACTTCGCATTCTTTGAATGCCTATATTTCTTACTTCTCACTGAAATCAAGCACAAATGCGAATAACAATCGCTTAACGAGAGCCTGCTAATTGATACGAATTTTTCTCGTCCTGGTATACATGTGATTTCAGCCTTTAATATACTCGAAACGAGGACAGCTTTTTGTCGAGATTGTTGAACATTTTCTCCATTTTCTTTTATATTTTAAAACTATTTCGTTTCTAATTAACCGTTAACTCAATTACGTCATTAGATCGCGCACCAAATATTACATGTGGTTTGGTCTAACAATATAAATTGAAAAGTGCGTCCAGGCGCATGTGATTGCACATGAATTAACAACGCCACACTTCCAGAGTCGGACTATTGCAATCTCGTGAAGGAACTGCCACCGTACAACGAGGGCAGGCGGCTCCTCGACATAATCGACATGTCGATATTTGATTTTCTCACGGGTAATATGGACCGCCATCATTACGAAACGTTCAAGATATTTGGCAACGAGACATTCACCCTACACTTGGATAACGGACGTGGATTCGGCAAACCCTTCCACGACGAAATCAGTTGTCTATCGCCGCTCCTGCAGTGCTGTATCATTCGACAAACTACATTGGATACCTTATTGACGTAGGTCTCTTCCTCCTATCTTCTACAATTTCACAAGTTGAAGAATGCAGAATCTCGAATAACGAATAATCGTAGTTTTTCATTAACTACGCTCATTGCCGCGCACTAGTTTGCATAGTTATATTTAGTGTGATCACCAGTGACTGTAGATTTTAAATGTTTGATTTATACAGGATATAATGTGCCATGAGTACTACCGAAATCGACACATTTTTCAAATCACTCATTCAATGTGTTTCTATAAAGACAATCGTAATATACTTTTAGCTCGAATATATTTACGAAATATCGATCAATCATCTCATTTTCTTACGATGTGTAGTAATTTTATACCTTTCAACTATGTGAAAGCAATTTCTATAAACTGACTGTATTCCAGTACATTATAGAATTAATGTTTATAAAAAGTTTAAACGTGGCAGATTTATATATTCTACATAGCTGTTATGTAATGTATGAACTCATTTAGGCCTTTTAGAAGATCCTTGAGTAAGCACGAAAACACATTTAAAACAAAACAAAACAAAACAAAACAAAATAGAACAAAACATAACAGAACAAATTCTAGAAATTATACGTAAGATATGATAATTCCTGTAAATTGTTGAAAGTACTATTAGCAAAATAACTGATTCTCATCTCGTTATTTCTGTACCTTTGTCTAGAAAAAAATCAAGAACTGTAAGCAGCCGCGCATTATTTAATCAAGCTTAAATGGGGTTATTCAACTCGCGCCAACGAGGGATCGCTATACTTTTATTAATGCACGTTTCTCGGTATTAAGTAGGGGAATCGGGGAGCCACGCGACTAACTTACATTTTTCTATGAGCTTGAAAATCCCATGTCTCGCGAGAATCCTTAATTAAATTAAGCGATTAAAGCCTATATCAATGAGAGTAGATTGGATTAAATAAAAAAAGAAAAAATCAAATTTTTCGTGGCAAGAGAAGCGGGATTGTCAAGACTCTTTCTGTTGGCGCGTGAAAATACACGTTATTGTCAGTTAACGCCACTGAAATTAGAAAGGTTAAATGCGTATGATCATTCCGACGGAAACTGCTCCATTTTTCTAATTACCGCAATCTTACCAATCTGCCCCACCTACTCAGTTTGCTCGATTCCTCGTATTATAATACGCCGCGAATCTTTCGCATACTAATCGTGAGCTCCGTCTCTTTAGACACACTGCGATAAAAATAAGAATGAACCAGCGACTCATTTAATGAAGTATATAGTCATGCATGTCGTGTCCTATGTCTACGCAACCATTGCAAAACAACCAAGAGGTCAATGAGCACGTTGTCAAAACTACATTTTTAATAGGATATTTCTTCGGCTCTTAAGATTAAAATCGCAAGTAAATGTTTCACGCAAAGCTCGTGCCTTTATACTTAATTTTTTTCTATAATTTATTCAGCATCGAAAATTTTTAGTAGACTCAATTACATAAAATTATTCGAGACTTTATAAGACATTATTATAACATAATCGAATGAACATAAACTTGTGATTTTTTCTTAGATAAAATTCAGTTATTTAAAAAGTAGAATTTTATTTTAAAATAATTGGCCCAAGTAATGTTTTTTTTTTTTTTTTTTTTTTTTTTAATTGCAAATATTTCATGTACTGGAACAGCTATATTTGATTTACTGTTTGACAGCGGATGTATTATATACCAATAGTTCGTGCTTGCTTTAACGAGTGCTTCGGGTTATAGGAGTTTTAAGTCTGTTTTTCCGCGTTTTTTCTTCTTTCTCTTATAATGCAAAATTTAACGAGCTTTGAGTAATATGGATAAATTACAGGTATCATAATGGTCCGATAAAACTCAGCAGTGCAATGCGCAATAGTTTGGCGAAGGATCCACTGGCGCCGATCTTGTGGGAGCCGCATTTACAGGCCTTAGATCGCCGAATTCCTATTGTATTACAGGCTGTGCGGGATTGCATCAATCGTAACGCCGAATGGAGTAAAATTTTAAAATCTGAAAAGGAAGAGACAAGCGATACTGTTCCCTTAAATAATTGAACAATTGAAGGCTTCTTCCTTTACAAAAAATACTTGATGTAGTTATTGTTTAGGTCTTACAACGATAGACTTTCTTTTAATTTTAATCTGCATAATTTTTTACTAAATAATGATGAACCAAAGCTTTGAATGGAAGTACGGTGCTTTTTGTTATAAAAAGTACAAAATGCTGCGTGTTTTTTCAGAATGTTATTGATGTGATTATGTAAATTATTATGTACATTTTAAAAGTGTAAAGTTTAAGATAAGTGTTGGACAATTTTTACTGTCGGTAATAAATTGTATATAAAATTCTGTATAAAGATACATGTTCCTCTTTAAAAAATCCACTTGACTTTTAATTCTTTCCCTTTATAAATTATTTCTCATTCCTAAACGACAAATATCTACTATCACCTACCTCGTGCTAAGGCAATTTTAATGCTTGTTTATATGAACAAATTCAGTACATTATACAATTATATAAGATACATCGGCGTATTTTAAATTCAACATAATTTACCCAAATTACATAAATTAATAAATTATATAAAATTTCTTGACCATGTCTAGTTTGACTTCGAAATTTCGTATACAAATCATGCACTTCAACTTGGTTTTGTAAGCCCTTTATTATAGATAACGCAGTGATTCATAGGGTTAATCATTATATAGTCGAAAACGTAACATAAAGAGGTTTAAATTCACCATACGACAGACGACAATAAATTGATAAAGTTTAAATATGGCGCAGCAAGTCGACAACGGTACGTCTAAACCCTTTGACATGGCATATCGAGGTCATTTCGCAACACTTAAAGCCCTTATAAATCAAAATAGCTTGCTAATAACACAAACAGATGAGGCACGTAATAAGTAATTGCCTTTTCATCTTTTTATCATTCTATTACATCAATTACAAAATCTAACCTATATTCCTTCACAGAACTGCAGAATGCTGCTTCATTGGGCTGCTTTAGGTGGTCACGACGAATTGGTTGATTATTTGTTACTCGCTGATGCTCCTGTAGATGCTGTGGATGACGTAAGTCGTTTATCTATTCAAATTCTTTTTATTTAGAATACTTCTAGTGTATTGAAATGAAGAAAGGTTATATATATTACCCATGGAGCAGAGGGATTACGCGGCATATATTACTTAGCGTCCATTACATCGTGTAAATCATTTTATAATCATTTTATCAATATATAATAATATACACATTATTAAATGATTTAAAATTTATGTGTATTATCGTTTTCAAATTTATTTCATTATAAAAATTAAAGACTTTTTTTAGATGGGAATGACGCCTTTAATATTAGCGGCTTCTGCGGGTCGTCATAACGTCGTCAATACTTTATTAAAAAACGGCGCCAATATAAATGCAAAGACTTGGGAAGGGCACTCTGCATTGCAATATGCAGCATCAAAGAACTGGAAACTTATTTGCACGAATTTGCTTGCTAAGGGAGCAGATGTTAATATTGCTGACATAAGAGGCGCTACACCTCTTCATAGAGCAGTGTCAAAGGGCAACATTAATATTGTAAAGCTGCTTTTAACTGTTGAAAACCTAATTATTGGCAAGTCATATTAAACAAATATATATATATATATATATATATATTCCTATGTATTTTAAACAATTTCAAATTCCTATTTCACTTTTCCTAAATTAACAGATCAGCAAGATTTCTATGGGAATACAGCACTTCATTTAGCTTGCGAAGAAAATCGTCTCGATGAAGCTAAACTCTTAATATCAAGTAATGCTGTTTTAACTATACGGAACAAGGAAAAGAAAATCCCTCTAGATCTATGTAATCGTACTTTATTCAAACAACTACTGCAGGTTCCTCAATGTAACAAAACAGAATGCGAATAATTTTCATGTGTCTTTGTACTAAATAAATAAAAAATATAAGTTATAATGCATATTATTAAGAACTGTATATAGGAAATGAATATGTCACTTCCAATAGATAATAAAACATGTAAAAAAATATATTTTTAATAATGATAAGAATAATATACATTTAAATATAGCTGAGCAATGATGGGAATGTTCGTTATGTGAAAAATTAAACACAATACCTTTGTAAACTAAATGTTTCTGTACTTTATTATTATATCTCCTCTTGTATATGTAAGGTCCAATCAACTGTATAATCTGGGCGCGCGTGCAATCGCGTATGTGTTCGATCTATATAAAATGTATCAAAACTCACTCTTTCTATATTTATTAATATTTCGTATCATTTGCTTGCCATATTTCTGAGTTTTCATTGAAAGTACCTCACTTCGCTAATCGCCACCAGAGTACATAATATATAAAAGAAAAAAATAAATCAAATTTGAGACTTGATGATTAAAATGATGCTAAAACACTATTAACAAGTGTGTATACTGGTGTACAACGATACATGCATCAAGGAAGTGAGCGCACTTGTGAATTCATTTTTATATACAAAATTAGTAACGATATTCGAGAGGCTTTCGAATTCAACGATCCTGCAACGTTACGCATAATTTCTGTTAATCATTATAAGGCCCTAGTTACATTAGATAATTGGTTACTGTTATCATACTGCGCAATATACGTATGAATTTTAGTCACTGACATTATTAGTTTCATCAAAAAATATAATAGTCTTTTGAGTTAGTCTATTCGTTCGTATTTCTGTTCCTTTTAAAATATGATGTATACATATTGTAAATGCCTTTAAATACACAAAATTTCGTAAAATGCTTTTGTAAAATCAAACGTGCGAGATTTTACTTTATCGAGAACTTTCTTATCAATAGTTAATTCTTTTTTTCCATTTACGCACTTATTGTTACTCGCTCGTGTAACTGCATATGCAGCTCTCTGTTCACAATAATAAATTTTAGTAAAGATACGTTCGTTAAAATATATCATTTAATTTGTTGGTACTTTTTGCTTTACTTATTGTTCCCGTAAAAAAAAAGGAAAAAATACATAATACATTTGAATGGTAAGTCATGTGGGCGACCAAACTGAAAGCTTAAGTACTACACCGGAATAAAGGCGTTAAGTAAGTATTAGTCACTCAATTTATGTTAAGGCATATTCATTTTACACAAGCGAAAAGGAACATAAATTATGATTTTTTTTCAGTTTTCAAAATACCATCAAGCGAGTAAAGTTAAAAGCACCGAAAGGCCAAAATATCACATTGCGAACCCTTTAAAATGAAAGCAATCTCATTAATGCAGCTTACCTACATTATCCTCTGCTTTCTTCAATGTGTTTTAGTTTTTTCAGTATATTAGTATAATAGTTGAAATAACTTCATCATTTTCGTAATATAATATGTATACGAATAACGCTGATCGTAATGGTAATTGTAAAATAACATAATCATAATAATACAATAATAATAATAATTAATTAATTAATTATAATAATGAATGTCTTATTACTACCTTAGAGTGTTACAGGTTTATAAACTTTTATTGCTCGTAGCAAAAACCTCTTTCCTTTTTAGTTTTGCGCGCGCGTATCATAACTGCTTGACCTCATACATCATAAACCGTTCTACGGTCTCTCAATTTCCTCTTTCAATATGGTTGTAAATTTATGTACATGATCATTAAACTTTCATCTTTCATTTTACGTTCACTTTTTGTTCGTGCGATGGCATCTTAGGAAACTAGTGTATACTCATAATTCTTATTATGTACTCCTAGTTAAAGTGGGATTGAATTTGGAGTTGAGATTGTTGGGTGGGGTATGGGAGATAACAAAGACTGTCTTAAGCAGCGATAAATAGTAGCTTCTCTGAACGCGTGTTTTTGTTTATATGCTTACTCTGTGCCAAAATAACCACGTTAAATTTTGCGAGATAATCGCGCTTTATTTTCTCTTCTGGGAATGCAACTTACTTATCCTTCTTCATTTGTTCTAACCAATTGCTTTTTTTTCATTTACCCTGGAAGCCTGTCTTTTCCCCTTTAAATACAAATGGCAGACGATGTATATATATATATATATATATATATATATTTTTTTTTTTTTTGTATTATGCGTTGGTGCGCATCGTCCTTGCCCATTCCTCGAGTTTTCCGTGCACTCTTTAATTCGTATTTTCTTCGCCGTCCATGCTTTCATCCTGCGTTGTCGAGTCGTCTCCGGAGCCACCAGTCTGCATCGAGGCGCGTTTCAGTCTTGCTGAGCCGAGTCCACTAATTGGTTGTCCGCCACGTCTGAAATCACCCATCAAACCTTTATCAAAAGCTCTTTGTCATCCCTGTCATGTACATTATATATGATGTTTATTATCATTGCTTGGTTATTAAAATTCTCATAAAAACAAATGCTGTATGATATTTAATAGCACATGGAAAAGAGAATAATGTATAAATATTACTTATAGAATACTCTTCTAATTTTATAATGCTTTTAAAAGAATTTTCAAATCAAACATGTATATAACAAATGTTAATCCACTCTCATGTAATATAGTTAGTAAAGAATTGTTTAATGAGCGTTTTGACGGCGTCGCATGCTCCATGCTTCATGTAGTTAAGAGTCGACCCGTACTACGTATAATTTTTGTAAAACGCAAATATGCGAGGGGAAAATGATATATTTTTTCAGTCAAGAGATGCAGTCATTCGCGCTTCTTAATACCTACACATTTAGCGAATTAATAATTTCATCCTTCCAGCGGCCACGATAAGTCGAGCCCAATGGCCTGCTAGTGTGCGTTTTTGTATCTAACTCGCTGCAGTCGACGAAAAATGAAAATAAAAAGACATGAAAAGCAGCATGAATATTTACTTTTTGAAAAGAAAGCAGAAATGTTTTTCTCATAAAATTATCGATTTTACTGATATTTTCTTTACACTGCAAATTTGAAATATCTTTATAGGTCAATTAAAAATAGTTTTTCAATAATATAAGTAGTGTTTATCCTTCATTATGGAAAAAAAAATCCATTAAATTTCCAATTTATAATATTATAAAATTAATTAATGTGGACTTCGAATAGGTAAATATAATGGATAATAAACAAAAATAAATAAATAAATAAATAAAAAAGTAAAAGCATTTTTCATAAAGTTTCAATAATATTAAGCATCTATATGTACTATTTATTTCATAACTCTATATATATAAGAATGCTTTGACACCATACGACTTTACCGAAATAAAAAAAGGTTTTCCTTCTAACAAAACGACATAACTAGGGCATTGCAGAGTAAATTGCTATTATATATATATATATATATATATATATATATATATATATATATATATCTATATTAAATAATGTTCAACGTAGTTGAGCGATTTTCGATAAATAATATAAGCGTAGATATTCGTAAAATAATTTATTTACCTCAGCTTGTTTTTCAGATTAGCTACTTCTCTCGTTAGAACTTCCTGCGATTCTATCATATCTTCCATTTCTCTTTGCTGCTTTCGCTTCGAAGCCTTGTGCCTGCTGATCTCCTCCTCGGCTTCGTCTAATAGCCTCTTTAAACTTTTCATCTTTACATTAACCTTTTCAACTTGCTCCTTGTATTGCTCGGCGTTTCTTCTCTCATCTTCAACTTGGAGTACTAGTTCCTTGACTTTCTTATCCAGTTTCCTATTTATCTTCTGTTGAGCAAATCTCTCCTTTGTCTCTGTATCCACCTGCTCTTCAAGATTATTGATTTTACTCTCAAGAGCCTGAATTGTTGCCTTGGATTTAGCACGTTGAGCTGTCTCAAGTTCAGCCAATTTGGCCTTCAGTTCTTTATTCTGTCTCTCAAAAAGCGATCTATGGGATTCCAATTTCTGCATAGTTGATCGTTCAGTTTGTAAATCTGTCGTAAGTTGCTCTATAGAAAGTTGTGCTTTCCGGGCACGATCCATGAGAACCTACAACAATACAATAATTAAAATAAATCTACTTTTTCAAGATTATACATACATTTAAAGTTGAAAATTATTTAATTACAACAATAATTATATTGAAAATATTATAAAAATATAAAGGCAATATACTCAAGATAACTTTAAATTACATACATTATAAGAAGTTACGAGGCAACTAGTACATTTGTTACATAAAGTATTAACGATTTTATACAAATTATAGATTATAGATTTATTCAAACCTCGTTTGTTGATTGTTCTTCTTCAAGTTCTTCTTCGAGAGTAGCGATTCTCGCATCAAGACGGCGTTTCTCATCCAAGAGAATCGTACCTTTATTGGCGTTATTATTAAGTTCTTCCTGAAGTTCATCGCGCTCAGTCTCAGCAACCCGGCGCGCGCGTTCACTATTGGTTAAATCTTCAGTGAGTTGCATGACATCGGCCTCAAGGCCCTTGACTTTACGCTCAACCTCCTTGGAGGCCGCAGCAAGTTCGTCCCTTGCAGCCCGTGCCTCTTCCGTCTCTCTCGTACAGTCCTTTATTTGCGTCTGCAACTTCTTCAGCTGCTTGAGTGCATCTTCCTTGACTTTGTTATGCACCTCAAGCTGTTGCTCCATGTCTTTGTAATCCGCTTCGATTTTCTTTCGCTGAGCTATTGCTGCCGATCTCTGCTTCCTTTCGTCCTCTGATAACCGATTACACAAACATAAATTATGATGATTTTCAGCTTTCGCTTTTGTCCTTATTTTACATCAATTTTTTTAATTTATTGTTTTTAAGTTACACAATAATCGAATAAAGAACCAATTTAAAAAATGTTACTTTTAAGATAAATTTAAAAATTGTAGATTAGCAATAAAATTTTTTTTTTATTTACATTTAGAGAGCATTCATAATTGTCAGAATCAGTTAGAATTTTTTAAAACTATAAATGTTTCTAATTAGCAAGTACGATTGAAATACATTTTGGGTCTTCAGTAAATTTCAAGAAATATTTTATAAATTTATATATCATTGTATTTATTTAATAATTCGAAAATTGTCATAATTTCGAATTTCTTAGTTTCATTCATAATTAGAAATTTGAATAAATAAATGTCTGGATTCTAAGGTAATTAATATTTACAAAAATTAACTTTTCATTCCAAATCATATACTTCCTCCATTGCAAAATAAAAATACAAATTTTTTATTTTATAAATTTAAATTAGTCGTTAACTGTGTAAAGTTTAATTTAAGACACTTTAATAGCAAATTACGTTTTTTCATTTTTATAACAAATTTTTATGTAATTACTATTTTTGATATTTAAAAATCTTTCATTTCTAAACGTGGTAAATAAGAATAATGTATGATATGCTATTTTAATTCTTGTAAGTATTATATAAAATTTAAACTATAATGTAAAGCTCCAACATGAAAAATTATCAACACTTTTTGAACAAAATGAACACGCTTTAAAAATAACATCCTATCAAATAATAAATTGTAATTTTTTTAAAAGAGAACTTGAATAAAAAATATTTATATTATTTAAATTAGTTACAAAATTAACTGTATTAAAATTGGCAAAATACATTTACAAATAATAAATACAAATATATTCATATATGTAAGTAAAAATAAGGTGATCATAATTATATGTATAATTATATGGTTAGTAGTTTTAATTGCAATTGAATTGCAATATTTGGTAAATACAGCCTCAAGTAGAAGTACCTAATTCAGCTTCCAGGTCACGGAGCTGCTTAACGAGACCTCGGCGTTTCTCTTCGGCTTGCTCCTCCTTGGCTTGAAGCTCACGCTCGAACTGCGATCTCATGGCCTGCATGTTGACCTCAAGTCGAAGCTTAGCATCCTCGGTGCACTGGAGCTCGTCCTCAAGCTCTTCGACTTGGGCTTGTTGCTCGGCAATTTTAGATTCAAGTAGACGCTTGGCCTTCTCGAGATCATGAACATTCTTGTCAGCGGTACCCTGGTTGTTAACAAGCTCGTCGAGCTCGGCCTGCAAGCTCTTACGTCCGCGTTCGAGCTCTTCGACCTTATCGTTCAGCTCATCGAGCTCACGCGTTAACGACAGAACCTTCGTTTCTTTTTCGCGAGCTTCGCGTTCTGCGGTGTCGCGTAGCTCTGCATATTGCATCGATATCGCTTTCTCCTCCATTAAGACCTTATCGAAGTTCTTTTGTTTTTTTTCGAGTTCAATCACTTTGGCGCGTTGTAGATCGAGTTCGATCGTGCTGTCTTCGAGCTCCGCCTGGATCTTCTTTTTCGATTTGTCGAGCTTCTCATTAGCAGCCTGGAGCTCTTCAACCTGACGTTGAAGGGCTTCAATGTCCTTCACAAGGCGCTTCCTAGCTTCCTCAAGAGCCGCTGCCGATTCACTTTCCTCATCGGCGCGCTTTTTCGCTTCCGTATACTGTGTATACAAACACATTTATATTCTATTGTACGTATATTCACAGCGCATAGAGGGCTTTAGTTTTAAAGCATTTGCATAATTAGAAAGAAATTTAATTAATATATTGCGATGAAAAATTAATGCTTGGGCTCAAAAAACTGTTAAAAAATATTTATTTAAGAGGTCATCGACCACTTGCCAACAACTTATGCTGAGTTTATAAAAAGAAAATGTCTTTTTACCTGCGTGTTAAGAGCCAGAACCTGCTTCTCAAGAGTACGCTGCACCTCTTCTTCCTCATCGAGTTGATCGCGAAGGGTCTCTTTATCGCTCTCCAGTGCTCGTAACTTAGAGCTGAGGGCGAGTTTTTGTTTGGTCTCTTCTTCGAGCTGTTGCTGTAATTCAGTTAGCTGAGACTCCGAAGTCACAGATGCCTTCATCGCTGCCGATGCTTTTAGTTCAGCCGATTCAAGTTGCTGAGAGACGTTCTCTGCCTCAGTCTGAAGTTTGGCTACCTTCTCGGCCAGCTCTTGTCTAACGCTCTCGACCTCCATGAGCTTAGCGTTGATGTCGACAAGCTGCTGTTCGGCCTGCTTACGCCGGCGATCGGATTCCTGCCGGCTTGCGTTAACCGAACGCAGCTCTGTAGTCAACTCAGCATTCTCAGCTTCAAGCGTGCCTTTGATTTTTTCTAGGGCTGCCTTAGCCTTTTTCAGCGCGTCCATCTGTTCATTTATTGTTGTCAACTCTTGAGTATGCTTGTGGCGCATGTCCTGTAGAGTCGCCTCGTGTAGACAAGTTTCTTCCTCGAGGTTCTTCTTTAAAGTAGCCACTTCCTGTTCGCGTTTGCTTCGAAGTTCCTGTTGTGCTGCTGTCGAATCCAATGAGTCGAGGAGCTCGTTCTTAAGTGCTTCTAGCTCCTCGTTCAGATCGCGCTTAAGTTTTTCGGCTTTGCTCCTAGCGACCTTCTCAGCTTCCAAATCTTCCTGTAGCTCTACCAACTGTGACTCTAGCTCGCGCAGGGCCTTCTGCGACTGAGCTTTGATTGCACTTTCCTCATCTATTTTCGTTAAAGCCTGAGTAAGTTCTTCCTCACGCTTGCCCATAAGTAGCTGTAGTTCCTCGAGTTGCGCCTTTTTTTCAGCTAACTGCTCCTTTAGGTCTGATACTTCCGTTTCCACTTTTCTCTTGGATCTGTCAACTTCTTGACGTTGTTGGTGATCCTTTAATAATCGTTCCTCGAGGTCAGCTATGGAAGCTTCATGCTTCGTTTTCAATTTCGCCAAATGCTTGGCTTTCTCTTCTTCCTCTGCTAAAGCTTGCGATAAATCGTTAGCTCTTTCTTCCAATAATTTCTTCTCCTTCAAAAGCTTCTGATTTGTATCTTCCGATAATGCCAGGTCTTCCTCAAGTTTTTTTATTTTTCCATCGCACTGAACTTTTTCAAGTTGTAATTTCTGTCTTGTGGCTTCTTCCTCCTCTAATTGCTCTTCTAAATCACTTATATTCAACTGCAGTTTCTTCTTTTCATGCATAAGAGATGACGTTCTTTCTTCTTCCTCTTCGATTCGAGCCTCCAAGTCATGTAAAATTTCTTCAAGCTCCTGTTTTCTAGCGGCTAATCTCGCACGCATTTCTTCAGCTTCTGCGCACAATTCCACTTCAGCCTGAAGTTGTTCGGCAAGCATCGTCTTCTCCTCAATAGCTTGCTGATATTTGCGTTCGTATTCTTGGGCCGAATGCAATTGCATCTCAAGTTTGTCGCGAACCTATTAAATAGCAATAAAATAATAATAACTCACATTCAATTACAATGTGTACACTAGATTTACCTGTTTTAATTCATCTTCTTTTTGAGTCAGCTTTTCTTCCTGTTTCGTTACTTCTAAAAGAGGTTTGACTTTGGTATATAGACGCCACCATTGCCAGTTACGCAACTTCAAGTAAGCAGCGCAATTTCTCTGAATAATACGAATAGCATTGAGCTGCTGCAAACGCTTTTGATAATTTCGTCGTGCAAGAAAACCTCTACAAAATGCTTGAAAGTTTACTATTAAATCTGTTATTTTGTAATCCCTTTCTTCTTCCAAATGAGCGAGTACTCCTGCTCTAAAGAATATTTTAGACTGTCCAACTCTATACAAATTCGGATCTAACTCTAATGATTGGATCTAAAAGTTTAATAATCATAAATTAAATTATTAAATAAGTAATCAATTATATTATGTTTCACATACCATATTTTCACAAGCCTTCTTTCCATCCATAAATCCTTTAGGAATAACATTAGGCGTCAGAAGTTCATATCGTTGTCTAAATTCTTGGAAGGGTATTCTGTTGGGGAAACCTTGTCTGCAAATTCTGATACCTTCCAATACGCCATTGCATCTGAGTTGATCGAGTACTAGAGGCGCGTCAATTTTTCCAGCCCTCTTCTCATGATTTGGAATTATGCACCTAACAAAGTTCGGGTTGGTATTTCGTAAAGTGACCATCAGTTTAGCTAGTTGCTCTTTATACAATTGTGATACAGTTCTAAACATTCCCTTTCTAGTTCGCGCCCCGAATTGCGTGTCGGTAAGAGCTTGCTGGGCCATTCCCACAATTTCAGCGTCCTTCCAAATATGACAGACGAATGGATCCTGGGACATTTGCAACAAGCTAACGACATTTTCGTTGAGTGGATCCATATTCTTCATCAACCACTTATCAGCTGAGTAATCAACCTTGCCGGCATAATGAATAATTGCAAAGTCGGCCACACCACGAAAGTCAGTTTTCATAAATTTCGGATGCACATGGTGAGCGCCGACGAGCTTCTCGACGAAAGTCTTATCGGTGGCCTTTGGAAACCAGCATTCCTCGTCCAACAGTGCCATAATACCCATGGGCTTGTCAATTAAATCTATCGTTGGTTGAAGATCAAGACCGAAATCGATAAACTTCCATTCTATACCTTCTCGCTGATATTCCTCCTGTTCCAGTATGAACATAGTATGATTGAACAGCTGTTGAAGCTTTTCATTCGTATAGTTGATGCACAATTGCTCAAAGGAATTGAGTTCAAAGATTTCGAAACCGGCCATATCAAGGATACCAATAAAGCTCGCGCCTTGCCTCTTGGTACGATCGAGGGAGCGATTAATGCGATTAACCAACCAGCGAAACATTCGCTCATAGCATGCTTTGGAGATGGCCTCTACGGCAAATTCAACTTGTTCTTTAGTTTGTGCTTTCGTCACAAAATCTCGTCCAACTTTTATTCTAGGCTTAAGAAAAGCTTTGGTCATCTCGGTAACGTTTAAGCCGAGTAAATGTGAGATCTTTTGAGCAACTGTGTTATCTGGGAGAGTTGCCTGGTCTGAATTTCTTTCTTGGCGGAACTGCATTGAGCCGAAGAGCATGACGGCTGAAACGATGCGAAAAATCGATGAAAAGTCTTCGTTGGTCATACCCATGATATGCATCGCTTTGACTGTTGAATGGAATTCAGCAGTATCGTCTACACCGGGAACAGGCAATGCACCACAAGACAAGAACGGATAAAGCTTCGGATCTTCCAAAATGTATTCCTCTGAAATTAATTGCAAATTTCTTGATTATTAATATTATATTTTTATTAATCTTTTAACGACTCTATAATCTGTAGTATGAAAAAATTATCTAGATATAAAAAAATATTTAAACGTGGAAATATTTATATTTGAAAATTTGTATGCGATAACTACTATAAAACTATTTATTAAAATTATTTAATTACTTTTTTTTATAAAAATTGTAGATAATATTGTAAAATTTTGTTTGTATTGTATGCTTGTGGATAGTAAATACGCTTAATAATAATCATACAATAAATTTGTATTCAAATTAATTTAATTTAAAAACATGATAAATATTTTCGTAATCACAAATTAGATATACTTTTTTGTTCCAGAGAAGCGCCAGACAATAGCTGATAAAATATATGGAAAGTTCTTTCGTCTTTTGCTTGGCGAATGGCTCGTGATTTTTCTAGTAGATAAGTCTCGATATTTGCCCCAGCTATATAACCAGAGGCATCGAAATTGATCCTTATAAATTTACCCTTGAAAGAAAAGAGAGAATAATTAAATCAATTAAATGACATTAAATTTATTATATAATTGAGAAAAGTCTTACGAAACGAGAAGAGTTATCATTTTTCACAGTCTTTGCGTTTCCAAAGGCCTCCAAAATTGGGTTCGCTTGCAAGAGTTGTTGTTCAAGTTCACCCTATCGTGCAAATCAAAAGCATTATTTCATTATAGCCCTTTAGTACCTAAGGATATGAAAATTGCTCGTTTATATATGTAAATGAATGTATGAAAAAAAAAATAATAATAATAAGAAACAAATAAAAAAATATATATATATATATATATATATATATATATATATATATATGTATATGAGTTAGTTATTATGGAAATGCTAAGTCATTTTATGGAAATTTATTTTACCAACAAATTAAGTATAATAAATGATTTCAATATAATTTCAGTCTCAATGAACGAATGAATTTATACCAAATAAAATTCACATTAACCATTGAAGGTCAATACAAGATAGTTAATCGTGTGTTTTATGAAGGAAAAATCTCGTTTTTTGTTTCAGTGTGCTAGCAGCATTAAACAGTATTAAAGTAAAGGACTAAACACGACATTCTTCCTTTTTATATTATGTTATAAAGAATTATTAGCGATATTAGATATTTTTCAAAGATACGTGAAGATTTTCTATTTTTAATAGAGATACACTAATCAATAATAAAAAAAATTTAATATTGATTTTCTGATGAAGGGTTGCGAGATTTACAATTAAAAAAGCATTAATTCATTATAAAAATTTCGAGAGACAAATTTCACGTGTCCTTGACAAATATAAATTTAATAGACGAATGAAAAAGAAATGCTCGGGTCAAAAATAAAAATGGTGTTTTATGTAAATGTCATACACACATGCAGCGAAAAGACTATGTCCATTGAAAGTATGGGGTTAACAATTTATCAAGAAAACGCGCTTGAATATCAAGACACTCGCGAGACGTTTCTGATGTCAAGATCGAGTGGCGCGCAAAGTAAACAAAACGATGCACTAATGTCTACGAGCTTGATCCCGCGGAAGCTTTTGTCATGAGAATCGTTAACGTCACGATTGACAACGAGAAGGACATCGTGTGATAGTTCACGTGGTTTGGTCTCTTCTCTACATAGCCTGGATTGCAATCTACCAAGTTGTTACGAATAATTGATGATGTTATAAGCTAATATTGTGTCTTGTGTCGAGGCGTCGATGATAAATGAAAATTAGACACGGCGTTTGTAGTCAATTATGCATGTGTGTCTGTATATGTGTTGGTTATGAGTCGTTTCGATAGCTTGTACGTATATTTTTAATATGACTACGTATGCATAAAATTAGAGTAATGAACAAAAAGAAAAACTAAAAGAGCAAAACGTAAGTAGTTAGACGCGTATTATTGTGTGCTCGCGCACCTATATTACGTCTCCCACTCATAAAAAATTGGCCAATTTCATTCTCACGCGGCGTCTGTGTAGTGTGTAGCTAGATTACAATAAGTGTACATACATTGAGAGACGAATAAGAAGCACATTGTTAGTTAATTACCGCAAATTTATCGGAGCAAGTTCCAGTGCTCTGTTGCCAGCCGCACGCAAATAGTTAAGCAGATACAGGACAGAGGCGAGACAGACAGACAGGCAGGCAGACAGGCAGGCAGCAGGAAAAGGCAAAAAATACCAATATTATTAATTGCCCTGGAGGGTAAATTGCTTGCGTCAATGAAGAGGCGGCAAATGGGCTTCGATTAGTAGCTGTTTTCAAATGATATTTATTCTTTTTCTTTTTCTTTTTCATTAGCTTCCAATGTATGCGCGCGTCAGTCACGACTGAAATTTCATCAATTGCATTTACAACATAATCACGTCATCCCATACACTTACACTGAGAAAGCATACGCCATTCATTCGCCACGCTCTTTTCTCTTCTCTTTTTAATTGTCTTACTGAAATTTTAACCCGCAAACTAATCGAATCAATAGAAATACCGGTTATTAAGAAACTTACAATAGAGAATGTACGAGTTACAATTAACACCTTTCTCAATATAAGCGTCTGCGATTGTTACGATTGTTGTGTTGAAATTTTTATGCTCGAAAATTTTGAATAAGTAATCGGATAATTTCTCAAATTTTTTAAATGTATAGCAGATAGACGAGTGACGAGTGACGAATGATGAATGACGATTGACGATAAATGGTTGAGTCATTAAGCGCGTTGAACCCAAAACCATCGAGGTTAGTACTGTAGGTTTTATATATATGAAAAAACATAAATATTATAAAAGTTTGATTGAAGAGTTCTAATTGAGGGAAGCTTTGAACCAATAATATACCTGGTTCAATGCTTTCTCAAGGATTGACTTACTATTATTAATGCCGGACTCGGAGACTAGAGGAGGAGTCGTCGATAAATCAGCACCGAGAAAAACCAAAAAAACGTGATTTTATTCACATTAGCACAGCGTGTTGACAAATCCCTAGCTCTCGTGTATATTTTTCATTATTTCATTAAATACATGTATAAGGTTTAAAAATAAAACTGTCTGAAACACTTTTTAGTGGAGAGTTGGCTGTTTGTGACGAGACGCTGTCACGGCCGTCATCGGTGCTTTACACTTTGGATCCTTGAAGCCATCTCCTTTTTATTCTTCACATACCATAATCCGCAGTGATAACGGCCCCCGATCTAGCTTCCACTTTCCCAGAACCCGAACCGACCGAGCGAGTGACCGATCAATCGCCGAGCGCCACCATTTCGGGGAACTCAGTCTCGCGAAATCCGAACTCGTCACGATTTCCGTCTAGGTTCAATATTTTTAGAGGTGTTGAGTCGCGTTCTTCCCCGAGGAGTCTTCCCCAGAAGGCGGGGTTATCCACTTGCAGACGACCGCTGCTCTAAATACCTTTCCAGTTTTTCAGTCTAATCGACTAATTCGAATGAGCGAAGGATAGTGCTTGGTGCTGCTGCGAATTAATAGGTTAATTTGTAAATTCGTGTATAATACAAGTGCGTTTATACAAACACCTCGATCAGCGTTCCATAGCAATCATAAGTACCGTAAGAGAGGAAAGGGAGAAAGAGT